TATTCAGTATGTGTAAAATTTGTTAATTTAAAAATTTATTTCGATGACTTGTTTTTTCTTCATACTTTTTAAAATGCTCGTATCAGTTAGTCAGTCAGTAACAACGTGTTAGCAAGACATAGATTAGATTAAAACACATTCCATGTAATATTGTATTGATGAACACTGATTGGCTATTTCTTATCCAGTCAGCGCTAGTCGATACTTGAAGAAGACTATAGAATCTTCTAATGTAAAAACCATAAATATACTCTCTATCCTTGCTGCTACCTTGAAGTGGTGGTTGGGCTTGCTTATCGTGATGAACCAATCGAGCTCTACTGGCTGGAACAATCATTCCTCAAGATCCTACCATGCCAGACAGGTCGGTTGAAGAGCGGTAAGACTAAAAGCAGCAAACCCAAGGTCTGAGGACGAAGTCGTACTGCTGACTGTACAAGGGCCTCTGGAGGTAAGGTTTCAACAAATACGGACCTAACACGAAAATTATTCACAAAAAGGTCATGTGTAACTGACCTCAAGCAGTTGTCTCTTGAGCACTGCGGTCACGCTCTCAGGTCACTAAGATCACCTCTAACCCATTTTCTTTCTCAGGTATCTCCAGAAGAACCCATCCACGGTGTGAGCAACTGGGAAGTGATAACTGCCCTCATTCCTCTAACACTACTCAAGATTACTGTATTCACAATCGATCTCCCTCTATAAATATACTAACGTTCGACTGTGTTCTCATTTAGGTAATTGTCGAGTGAATTGATGTCCAAGAATACTACTAAGCAATAGGGATAGCTAGATAGTACTAGTAATAAGAGAATTTATAACACTTTGTCATTTTTTTTCTCTTTTAAGACTAACATCAAGTTTCCTAGGTAAAATGTACTGTAGAGTTTCAATTGTAACAAGATAAGTTCTTGTTTTGTCATGAGTTATACATCCTTATAATATTTCTCTTTTTTTTCTTCTTTCAATTTATCCAATATAGGGTTTATCATTGAAGAACAACCATGTAGATGTTATGCAATAGTAGAAGTAATAGTAGTAATAATAATAATAATAATCATAATTTGATGTATATATTATTATGTGTAAATGTGTGTGTATGCTTATATGAGAGTAGAGAACATAAAATGTCTATTATTTTGTTCTCAGCAACAGTTGATATTTCATGACTGCTTTTAATCCATTTGTTCCATCTTTTTTTTTCTTTTTAAAGCAAAAACAGGATTCTCTTTGTTGTTGTTGTTCTTCTTCTTGTTTTTTTTGTTGGTTCATTATTTATGTTCTGCCACAATTCACATTAAGTAAATTTTCTTTTTTTTTGTGTGTAATGATTTTCAATTGTTCAACAATGGATTGTCTTATTCTTTATGTATATTCATATTAATATACTATCAGGATGTGTATGTGTTGTATGGTAAATGTATGTGTTTCTGTTCTTTCTCTTCCTCTTCTTCTTCTTCTTCTTCATCTTCATTTTATGTACATATTTCTCCTTCTCAATGTATGTCGTTTAATCTTTATTTTTTTACATTTTAAAAAGAGAATTAGTAAATAAAGAACAAAAAGAAAATAATTAATGTTTTATGTATAAATTACTTATGCTAACATATGAACACATAAGTATTGGTACAAAAGGGTACCGAATACATATGCGCTATACAAATCCATTTGATTTGTTAGTGGGATGTGATACTGTCCGGGTGCTCAGACTGAAACAGGTGGTTTTCTTAGGAGGTTATACCTCGAGCCATCAACCTGAAGGTCTGATCCACAAAGTAGTGCAGCAGCGTAAGTAGATGTAGTCTGTTACTAGCTGGTGGCCAATAATAGGTTTATACGCCGTTTGTTTCTTCAGGATACTGGAGCTCATGTACACTGTTGGTTTGGAATGAGGGTATTCCAACTCTCCTAGATGGACCTTTCGTGTCCACGAGATGTTTTCAATAATAAAAATGGGTCATAATTAGTTCAATGTTGAATAATTTTACGATATTTAAATTATTTAGCAACAATAATGATATAGGATTCATTCGGGAATATTTGTTCATCATTCACATAGTACAGATTAGAAAGTTATTAGAAAAAGTGAGAAATAATGGAATATATCTAGATAAACTATTTTTTAACTGTGTAAGTATTATCAGAAAGGGGGTTTTGTGGAGATTGTAGTAATTTAATAGTTGAAATCATGAGCCGATTAAAGCCGGACCACCATGTAAAGCCTGGAAGCTCTGGACGGCCGTTTTGTGCTAGTATGGGACTCCTAAGCCATGATACTATAATATTCACAAAACCCACTTTCTGATAATAATTTTCATGTGCTCATTAGTGAGTTTTGAGTAATTTATACTGTCTAGACATCGACATTGTTGGATGCCAGCTCAGTGGTTTAGCGACCGTTAATCCTGGGTTCGAATCTCACGGAGCGGGATTGTGGATGCGCGCTTCTGAGGAGTCTTTCGGTAGGACAAAACGGCTGTCTGGTGCTTCCAGATTCTTCACGGTGATCAAGCTTCATTCGACGTATTGTAGTAAAATTATCCTGAGTTAGATTTGTTTTAACTATTTGTATTAAGCGATTAGTATACTCACTTTGTTATGATCCATGTAAAGCGTGGCACAAATATATATATATATATATAATCGTGGGATTCACATAGTCTTCACCTTCCTCAAGTATCATGAAGTGATGTCACTTTTTGTTTCTGACTATAGCTAGCTTACCTCCAACTTACTCTTATTCCACGCGACATCGAGATTTACGGTGGTTAGCCATATTTAGCACGTGTCACGCACTCACACATAGTTTTGAAAGCTTATAATTTACTGTGGAGCTAAATAGTGCAAAATTCAAGTCAAACCATCACCAAAGTGACTGACATGCATTCCTCTTGGTATGTGCTTTATACTAAATGTAGACGATCGTGATGGGACTCGTGGATCGAATATATTTTACGATGCATGACAGTATTAGAATCGCTAAATCCACTGCAAACCTTTGCTGAAAAAGATAAATTGGAGCTAACAACCATCGAATAAATTTCATATTTACTTTTTAATCTCTGTATGCCACAAACAGTTGGGTAATTTGTTGCCGCACCACATATTTTGTGCTGTAATCAAACATAGGGAACTGAGTAGTGATTGTTATGTTTCCGCAATATTGAGACTTCAAATGAATTCTAACATAGCGGCAAATTAACTGGTATTTCATTGCCACATTCTGCAGATTCAGTCGGAAATCACAAAAATTAATTATTTATTAGCTACGGTTCCCACAAACCTGAGATTACCCATTTTAGGGTTTCTATTTCGGAATTTGAAAGCTGCTTTAATTGTATGACTATAAGAGAACATAGTTACCTACTTCACTCATCTACCCAATATTGATGTTCCAACTACCATCTTCAAGTGCGTAGCTCGATATTACTCATTTAGATATACTTGTTAAGTGGCAAACGAAATAAGAAGTGCATTGCGATTTATGCAATATGGAAGGGTAATTTTATTCCTCACGATAGGTATAGATGTGTGATTAGTGAGTATGTTCTCTCAAAGAAACACGACCAAGAAAGATCATTTAAAAAGTGTCACTGAACTACAATATACAAATACTCAAGCCGTTACTATACGTTTGTAGAGAAAATATGGTTGATTAGTTTCGTGACCACCTGTTTTACAATGGAACTGTATATAGTTCGAGTCACTATAGAGACCCCTATTTATCGAAATTATAGTAAATGGATAGTGAGACAGCTTTTGAGTTGCATCACATAAATTATTGATTCTATATTCTTTTAATCTTTTTGATTTCAGTCACAAAGTTTGCAACATAGATTAATAGAATTTATTACAATAGTCAATGACTTCATAAGCATATGCTGCAGTATCTTAAAATGACAGTTTGGAATATACTTTCAGTCTACCTATTCTTATGCATAATGTATCGAGATTAGAAGCGTTTATATATGTTAAATACAAGAAGCAATCACCTGAACACATGAAAGTCCGTAGCTCCATCAACCGCTTCACTATCTGTACTTATTAATTTGTATTTAATATTAGGCACTAATCATTCGATAATTCTGTTATGTACTAATGTTATGCTTCAAAAGTGTCTGGGGAAAAATAAGATTAACAATCAAGCATAAGTCTATCTACGATGGAGCATTTTTCACATTCATCAAGTAGTGTATAATATCATTACATTGTGTTTAAGTACACATTCAGTGTAGAATATGGATTTATTTTTCTGGATCATATTGCATGACGTTAGGGACTACTGGTTTATTTTTTTAACGAAAAAGTTGTGATCACCAAGGTGGCCGGACGGAGTCTTGTCACTTCATATAACAATAATAAAGTCGACCTTAGCTGTGAGGACAACCCCGAGGTAAACTCAAAGAAGTTCAGAACGAGCCGAAGACATTCCATACAATTATCTTTTTGAAGAACATTCCCGAATCTCAATGTGTACCTTCCCTATTGAACAAATGCTAAAAAGCATTATATACGGATTGGATGACTGTAATGATGATTTCGTTTTTATTAAAAACCATAAATACTTGAGTGTTTTGTACCATAATTGACATTGTTCGGAATAAAATTCCCTCTCATTCGTCTTCTGTCTTCTAACTTGAGACTTGAAGGGTTCTAGTGTTCGAGTACTCAAGTAGTACGCAAGAATATAACAGTTAGTCAGTTACAACATAAGATCAGGCACATATATGCATCAGTCCAAGATGCCACACCTCATTAGCACAACAACATGAACACTGAATTCATAGCAATAGTTAGTTCAATGGTAGTAATATATAAAAGATTGTATATAAGGTTATATTACAGGAAGGAAGAATTAGTACGTAGAAAGAAAGATATGAAGCGATTTTAATCTCATAGTTTAAAGGAAGATAGAAAGTGTATACACCTACACACCATTGTGATCGATTCTCAGCCATGTCACACAAAGTCTCCAACCATCGGTTACAATAGTCATGCGGACCCCAACCAAGTAGTCTGCATCTCTCGATATGGCTAAGATTAGAAGTTAACAAAGAACGAACAAGATGATACAATAGAACGTATATGTATTTATCAAAAGAGAAAAAAATTTACAAATAAAAATGAAGTCCATTAAAATAAAAATCTTTAAAATCATTCTAAACAACAATCATATAAAAATAAATACACAGTTATTATGTATCTAACCAATGTACAATAGAATGTTTATGCAGTTCATTAGTTGAATAAGATGAATAGTTATCATTATTTAATTGATCTATAGTAGGACATGTTTGTATAGATTTAGGACCAAAGTGATATAAACAACCTGTTTGAACAGTTACATATAAACCTTGACATAAAATTTCACCTAAATCTTTTGAATTTGTATGATAATGCACATTATTATTATTATTATTATTATTATTATTATTATTATTATTATTATTATTATTATTATTATTAGTAGTAGTAGTAGTAGTAGTAGTAGTAGTAGTAGTAGTAGTATTCAACAATGGTCCGAAGCAAACTGATGTTATACGTGCATTTTCATCATTATCTGGGAGCTGTTAAAGGCAACAAAAAAAAACAAACAAACGACAATTCATAATAACATTAGAGTTCAGTTCATAGTTAATTATTGTTTAGAGTGTATACCACAATATCAATCATGTTATTAATTGAAAGTTATTGTTTCATCATTAGTTGTATAAGCGTTGGTAACACCCAGCAAATGCCCTGGTATTACCGAGAGTGGGGAGAGTCAGCTTTTCCTCTCAAAATACTCTCATATGGCCACGTGCATACAGCCACTGACAGGGAAGTCCTACTCACTTAATTCTCGCGGTGACGGTGTTGTTTACGAAACTCAGAAGACAAAAAGCGAATATCTGGCGCTTTAACCGGCTTGGTGGATACGGAGGAAAACCCTGATTTCGAACCAATGCTCTACATGGACTCCAGAATTCTGAGGGAACAAATGACGTATGAACGAATAGTTGATCACCGGCTATCATGAGACTGCATCTCTTTACGTTGCTCCACTGCGTTGTGGATTAGACCTCTGGGTCAAAAGCTTCGGTCTGGGGACCCGGACAGCCCACACACAAATCAAGTGACTTGTGTGGCGCATATATATTCGGCGCCCCTTTGTACCAACATTTATACGTTCAAATAAATAAATAAATGAATAAGAACTCCATTAAATATGGAATCTAGGATCTCTAAATTTCATGGCAAGTGTTCATCCTAATTTTCGAATGATTCATCATACACTTTAATGGTAAGAAGAAATAGTTGTTCAATTCGATTGATTCTTTTGAAACCATATTTCTTATAATTAATTTTCCACTAATGATATAAGGTGCTCAATGAGTTCCTAAAGTTTAATGCTCGTCTCACTGAAGCGAAAACATCGTTGGAATTTATTAATGATTGAATATGGAATGATAGATATCCTAAAATATATTGGAAATGTTTACGCCGGAACAGAGTTTACCCGAATGCCAGAACCCTTAAACGGCATGCGCTTAACCAAACGGATTCATTAAAATTGCACATAAACAATCTAGAAAGAAATCTTTCACAAAGAGAATATATGCTCGATAACATACCACCGGAAATAAAATCACAATTTATGGATTATAATAACATGGTGGCAAAAAGTAGATCAGAAAAAATTGGAACAAAACTAATTCAGTCACTGGAACCTCATAAACCTGAAAGAAAATTTCCTATGGACCCTGAGCGGTACGTTTATAATTTCTCTAGTGTTACGTTAGACGCATTGCAAGTAGAGGCATTGTCACTCGGCCCTAGGTTTTGCGACTATAGTAATAAAATAAACCAACTAGATACAGATGTACACTTTGAAAATTTATTTACACAAACAACAGATTTGGTGCCTACTTCTCCTGATGAATTAATCAGGTTTAAAGGTGTCATTACCAAGCTTTGATTTGATAATTTCGAATAAATTGAGCATTGGGTTGATTGTTATAAATAAAAATAATATATTTGTAATATCCCAATGAGTAGAAAATTGGATTTTCTGACGTTTCGTGGCTTAGTATAAGTCACTTCTTCAGAGAATAAATAACCAAATTAAATTAATCCACGTTTAAATAGTACAACGGAACAATGATTGTTCCGTTTTTCTACTCATTGGGATATTACAAATATATTATTTTTATTTATAATCAGGTTTAAGACCACGTTGGTAGACATCTGCCAACAATACAAAAATAGTAAATGTACGGTGAAAATTCCACTCACCAAACAGTACCGAGATGCTTTACATGTACTTAGGAACGACAATACTCTAATCATAAGCAAGCCTGACAAAGGAGAGGGGCTAGTTCTTATGAACAAAGCTGATTACAATAATAAATATTATTATTGTTATCTTTTATGTACGGTATTTCATTTTGCCGATTTCCTCTTGACCAAGCACCGAACTACTGTTTGTCCGATCACCACACTATGCTTGTGTGCACGACAGGCAGGCAGATGGCAGTGAGCACACACACACAGGATACTCAGTCAAATGAGACACTTATTACAAACCTGAGGTTGATGTTGTGTACTGTGCTCCAGAAGAGGCTCGAACTCTCAACCTCCGCGTTATAAGTACGGCGCCCTAACCAATTAAGCTATATCCAACCTTGATACGCACACATTTCTGTTATATCCTACATTGTCTTCCTTGTTTTCAGTGACACCTTAAATGAAACTAATCTGTGACAAACATACCCAACTGTCCTGGGAAATATTTATTTATAATATGTTTTATCAGAAAGGGTTTTGTGGAGATTGTGGTAATCCCAATAGTAGAAATCACGAGTCAATTGAGGCTAGACTACTATGGAAAACCTGGAAGCACTGGACGGTGTTTTCGTCCTAGTATGGGACTCAGCAGTGAGCATCCACGATACCGCACCCCACGAGGTTCGAAACAAGGAACTATCTGTCTCACGCGCGAGCACTTAGTCACGAAATCACTGAGTCGGACGCCATCCAATGGTGTTACGTCTAACTTCAATCAATCCATGAAATTCAGCGACACATCCACCATTATCTTCAGTTGGTTACTATCTCACAACTGACCCGGTTGAACTCCACTGGTCACTGCTTCTCACTAGAACTCCAGGGAATACCTCTTGAAGCCAGTCACTAGTGAGCATATGTTGATGGTTATCAGAAGGGGTTTTGTTAAGATTGTAGTAATTTCGCTCGAACCCGGGGGCGGGATCGCAGATGTGCACTGATGAGGAGTCTCACAATAGGACGAGCAGATGATTACTATCAGAAGGGGTTTTGTGGAGATTTTGGTAATTTTAATAATTAAAATCATGTCAGTTGTGAGATATCAGCTCACTGAAGACAATGGTGACGGTGGCGCAATTTCGTGGATTGGTTGAAGTTAGACATTAACACCGTCGGTTGCCGGCTCAGTGGTCTAGAGGTTAAGCGCTCGCGCGCGAGACTGATAGGTCCTGGGTTCGAATCTCGCGGGGGCGGGATCGTGGATGAACACTGCTGAGGAGTCCCACAATAGGACGAAACGGTCGTTCAGTGTTTCCAGGTTTTCTATGATGGTTTAGTTCCAATTGACTTATGATCTCAACTATCAAATTACTGTAATATTGACAAAAATACCCCTTTCTGATATTAATAAAATATCCTTTGAAATAGACAAAAAAATACTCAAGGAATCAATAAATATTCTAATGATTAATTTAATTAGAAGATCGATAATTTTGTACATAGACACAGGTCAATAGGTTGAAAAAAATGACTGTAACTGTGGTAACGTTTGAATGAATAGTTTTCATTTAATTACTCTGTGAAATATATCAATGTCCTAATCAAATCTAAATTTGTTTAGAAGCAATTGAACTGTATTTGAGACATCATTAGTAGTTGATTAAGTTCCAACACAGTTCGTTCAGTTTGTACAGCGTTCTGTTGGCTACATATGAATTAACATTAGGACCATGTTTTAGTTCAGCCTTCTTTTTGATATCAATCAATATTGAACAATAATACAGAAGCCCGGACTAGGAACACCTTGTAGATCGTAAATCACTATTTGTTTCTTATAGATGAATTGAAATCGATGCTTTAACTTTTGAATTTCAAAGTACGGGTTGTTTTTATTGTCAATGATGGGCTTTAGAATCGTCTCAGACTGATACTACCAGTAGACAAAGTTAACAGTTTTACTTTAAAGTATATGAGAGAATAGATAATTGTTGATGGAGTACCAAAATCTTCCTCGTCGAAATCTTCAGAGGCTCAGAAACTCTAATAAACGTCTTATTCAATCCGCGTTGATCAGAAACTTCTCGAAAAACCCCAGAAAGTACAGAACTACGTCTCACGGTTTTGATTGAATATTCACCTATACTGTTAATATATTTGTTATGGTTCCAGAAATTTCCGGGATTACAAGGTCGTATAAAACTCTATAAGTACTCCTGTTTTTTTCTGTACATAAATTAACTTTGGAGTAAAATGTTTACTTGCAATTCGCACCTCTCCGCTGTTCCGGTCGAAGTGTGGAAATACTTGACATTATGGCAGACCAGTTAACAAGGCAGGTTGAGTGTATCGGTAGCAAGATTTAACAATAATGTTATGGTTGATTAGTGAACAAGCTATAAATATACATGAGGAATTTTGGAAAAATAAATGATCAGTTCTTTGCCATAGAGGACTAGATACTGCATCACTCAATGGAGGGGCTTGGAACTTCATGAATAGGAAAAGAGTTACATCAGTTCTACATGACATGAAACTGATTTCTCTTTGTAATTGATAACTAGACTTCGCATAATGCTGCACAAAGAAATAATCACGACTAGGTAATTTTTAATTAATATCATGAGTGATCTAAGTTTGAAGGAGTATACTTACTTACTTACACCTGTTACTCCCAATGGAGCATAGGCCGCTGACCAGCATTCTACAACCCACTCTGTCCTGGGCCTTCTTTTCTAGTTCTATCCAATTCTTGTTCATTTTTCTCATGTCTATCTCCAGTTCTCGGCGTAATGTGTTCTTTGGTCTTCCTCTTTTCCTTTGACCTTCAGGATTCCATGTGAGGGCTTGTCTTGTGACGCAGTTGGGTGCTTTCCTCAATGTGTGTCCTATCCACTTCCAGCGCTTCTTCCTGATTTCTACCTCCACTGGGATCTGGTTTGTTCTCTCCCACAGTACGTTGTTGCCAATAGTGTCCGGCCAATGGATCTGAAGTATTTTGCGTAGACAATTGTTAATAAACACCTGTATCTTCTGGATGATGGCTTTGGTAGTTCTCCACGTTTCTGCCCCATACAGTAGAACTGTCTTGACATTTGTATTGAAAATCCTGACCTTGGTGTTGGTTGACAGTTGCTTTAAGTTCCAGATGTTCCTCAGTTGTAAATATGCTGCTCTTCACATCTGCATCAGATCCACCCTGTTCATCAATGATGCTGCCCAAATACGTAAAGGTTTTTACATCTTCCAAATCTTCTCCGTCAATTGTGATTGGATTGGTGCATTTTGTGTTTTATCGGAGAATCCTGCTTTTCCCTTTGTGTATATTGAGACCTATTGCTGCTGAGGCTGCTGCCACACTGTTCGTCTTCTCCTGCATCCGTTGTTGCGTTTGGAATAGAAGGGCCAGATCATCTGCGAAGTCTAGATCATCCAACTGCATATTAGATGTCCATTGTATCCCGCGCTTCCCTTCAGATGTTGACGTCTTCATGATCCAGTCGATCACCAGGAGAAAGAGAAAGGGTGAGAGTAAGCAACCTTGACTAACACCGGTCTTCACTTTGAACGACTTTGTCAACTGTCCTCCATGCACAATTTTGCAGTGTAATCCATCATATGGGTTTTGTATGATATTGACTATCTTCTGGGGCACGCCGTAGTATCGAAGAAGTTTCCATAGTGTTGTTCTGTCCACGCTATCAAATGCCTTTTCGTAGTCAATGAAGTTGATGTAGAGTGATGAATTCCATTCAATTGATTGTTCCACAATGATCCGTAGAGTTGCGATTTGGTCTGTACACGATCTATCCTTACGGAATCCTCCCTGTTGGTCACGAAGTTGGGCGTCTACGCAGTCTTTCATCCTGTTTAACAATACCCTGTTGAACTTTTCCCGGTAGTGAGAGAAGAGTGATGCCCCTGTAGTTATCACACTTGCTGAGATCGCCTTTCTTCGGTATTTTGATCAGAAGTCCTTCTTTCCAGTCTGTTGGTACTTGTTCCTCATCCCAAATCTTATTGAAAAGAATGTGGAGTATCCTTGCAGTTGCCGCTACGTCTGCTTTTAGTGCCTCTGCTGGGATGTTGTCCGGTCCCGCTGCTTTGCCACTCTTGATTTGCCTGATAGCCATGCTGATTTCTTCAATTGTTGGTGAGCCAACATTGATTGGGAGGTCCGTGGGTGCTGCTTCGATGTTGAAGGAGTATGTATAGTATTTGTTTAATAGTAATGTTCAAACAAATAGAAATCTTATTCATTGAGATCTTCAACTGATTGATGTTAGACCACCATTGAAAACCTGGAAGCACTAGACGGCCGTCTCGTGCTATTGTGGGACTCCTCAAAAGTGTGAATCCGCGATCCTGCTCATAGGATTCGAACCAAGGGCCTTCAGTATCGCTCGCAAACGCTTAACCTCTAGACGACTGAGCTGACCGGTATCCAACTGTGTTAGTGCCTAACCTCAACCAATCCACGAAATTGCGTGAGCATTCCCCATTGTACTGAGGTAGATACTTTTGTCTATCCGACACGGATTAGCTCCACTGGTCGTGGATGAGCACCGCAGAAAAGTTCCGCAACAGGAAGAAAAAGACATCCAGTGCTTCCAGGTTTTTAATGATGGTCTAACATCAATCAGTTCAAGATCTCAATCAATAACTTAATAATCTCCACAACCCTATACTGAAAATAGAAATCTAACATAAAAATTAATTAAAAAATTGAATCATAGAAATTTGAATGAATCTAATCCACATAGACAAACACTTACCATATATGTTCGTATTGTATCCAATGTCCATGAATTCAACCAAACTAATCGACCACCTGGACCACCAACTAATAAACAATTCACACCTCGACCTTCAGATACAGTTGAAAATGCCATAGGAACTAAAGGATGATAATTATCATCATAGATTTGTAATAAAAGTGAATCTATTAATGGATCATTGATTTCAGCTAGAAAATCTAAAATACGATTAGCTATCCAAACTCCAGAACAAGAATATAAACCAAGCCAACAGACTGAAATTAAAAAAAAATTTTATTAATAGAAATGAACAAAAAAAGGAACCAGTGAATAGTGCATAGTGATTCATTATTAGCACTAAATGAATGTATGATGTTATTTGTCGTTCAGTTCAATGACAGATTAATGCTAATAATGTTTGATTGATATATTTTATGGAATGGGAAAATGAATAATGCTTGTGAGAAATATGTTCTGATAAATGGGTCATCTAACAATTTAATAATTGAATTCATAACTCAATTAAAACTAGACCACCATTGAAAACCGGGAAACACTGGACGACCAAATTCTCCTAGTATGGGACTCTTCAGTAGTGCATGTCCATGATCCCGCCCCTCTGGGATTGGAAACCAGGATCTATCGGTCTCGTGCGCAAATTTGTGCCACCGTTTACCGTTCATATAATCTTTACAATGAACATATGAGTACTAATTTATCTACGGAAAAATAACCTGACTGTTCATCATAGCTTGTTTTTAATCACTTTATCACAAAATTATATCATATTATAAGAGATATCTAGTTCTACACAATTCGCTTAGTGTATCATCAGTGGATATTTGATCGGAAATTTTTATTAAAACTTAATTTAAAAAGAAGTATAGAATTACAATTTATATCGAACTTTTGTCTATGATAATTATTATTCAAATTCATCAACCCTGTATAAGTTTAAATACTTGGTTATGTCATGATTTATACTTTCTATGTGTTAGCTAGTTGATACGAATTCATCTGTACAAAATAAATTAAATGGAGTGGAGTTCCAAGTCCTAGCTTGGAATCCTGAAGAGAAATGGAAAAGAAGAAAGCCAAAGAACATGAACATGATGAATAACAACTGGAAAGAGCTGGAAAGGATTGCCCAGGACAGGGTTAGATGGAGAGTGCTGGTTGGCGGCCTATGCTCCTCCACGATGAGTAACAGGCGTAAGTAATTAATTAAGAGTTCCAGCCTGAGATTGAATGGTTGAAAGTTAAATAATATTAGCAACCATGGTTCAATTGATCCAGTAGTCAGATAAATATTAGTTTACCTTTTAAATAGAAACCAATTGATGATTATGTCATTAACCAGCAAAAAATGAGTCAATTTAGTCCATAATCAATTTATATGCTAATTAATCACAAGGATGACATATTTATTTATAACACTTTAATGACTTGGATAGACTTTTGTTCTCTAAGCTGGATGGTTTGGTCGTAGAGCTTTCATCGTCTACCTGAAGTGTTTGCTGATGATATCATTCAGAAGAACGAGAAAAGCTCCACGACCAAAACCATCCAGCTTAAAGAACAAAACTCCATCAAAATCATCCACCTGAGCTACAAAATTTCTCTACTTCAATGACTTAAAATTAAGGAAAACTTTGTCAAGATATGTATGTCATTTGAAAAAAAAGCTAAACTTTAGTTCATTTTTATCGGTTGGTTAAATTTTCTCAGTGATTATTAGGACTGTAATTGGTTAGTCACTTATTGGTATACGTACATCTTATATGGATTCCATCGATGCAGCCGTTTGTACACAAACATTTTAAATCGAGTTGACTGGTGTCTAGCAGTGGAATCTATAACGCACGTTTCTTCTTACTTGGAAATTATTAATAAAGAAGATTCAAACAATCAATATAAATGAACTAAGAATCACTCCCATCAAACAAGGCAGTAGCGATTTGGACTCAGTAGGTAAGTGGATAAAGTGTCGTTGTTTGAAGCAAAAGGTACTTATTTACAGTTACGGGGTGGACATCAACTATGGGGTGCAAGTAAGTCCGGCTGATGAGTCTCAAATAGGACAAAACATGAGTCCTGGATTCCACTACTAAGGACCACCCATCTTTGCTTAAAATCTACCAAACTTTAGTGAAATTTCAACGAGGTCATATACTGAATGGTTTATACAGGTAAATCTTAAAACATATTATTATCATCAAAGTTACATGATCGAAGAAAATTGATTAATTGGACCATTATTCAGTTTCATAGTCAGAAATATGAATAATGAAACTATCATGAAAAGCGACAGAAACTGTTGTGGAATTGGAAGAACGTAAATTTGTAAATGCCTGACCAATGTCATGTTTTTCGAGCCGTTTTTAGTGTTGTATGAACACCATTTGGCTGTTAAACGCCATGACATATCTTCGCTTCAATCAATCCATGTGGAAAAATTGCGCACACACTTTTCGTCGTTTTAATTTCGTAAACAGCAGTAATACCTCGAGAAGACAATGAGCAGGACGTCCCTGTTAGTGGTTGTATGCACGTAGCTATGTGAGAGCATTTCGAGAGGGAGAGCGGATTCTCTCCACTCTCGGCCGTACCAGGGCATTCGGCGGCACACAGAAGGCATTCAGTAATGAAATAACAAATAATCATCAGTTACCATAAACAAAATGTTATGGAATCTCAAATAACAGGATGTTTAGTTAAATAATAAGAATAATAAAACGAACAAATAAATATCGGATTGTTAATTACCATTAAAATTAGGATGATTCCATTTGGCTACAACTAATTCACCGGATGTTAAATTGAAGCATATTCCATCAATACGTTTAAAATTATTCAATAATACTGAATCATCATTGATATTTATAAAATCAGCTGTTGAAGTACTACTGCTACTACTACTACTACTACTACTACTTAAAATAGACTTCTTTTTCTTCATTTGTATATCTTCATTACTTTTATGTATGGAATTCTCCACAGTAAGATGATTAGACGAATATCGTCTACGGGGTTGTTTTAAATCATGAATGCTATGGTAATCCTGACCGGTATTAGTAGTAGTGATACTATGACTTTGACTACTATTTGAACTATCACCGAATTCATTTTGTTGATAATCATGATCATTAATAATATTAGTATTAATTGTTTTAATTAATGTTAAACGATATCTATCCCATAAACATACATAACCTTGATTATCACCACTAGCAATTAAACTATTATTACGATTAATTACTAAAATAGTGATTTCATGTCCAGCATGACCATATAATTGTTTCCAACCGGTAATTTCCCATAAACCAGCGGTTTCTTTATTATTATTATTATTATTATTATTATTATTATTATTATTATTATTATTATTATTATTATTATTATTATTATTATGATTCTCATCATGAATAGAATGATTAAGAGTTTGAGTAGGATTCATCGGGGTAGTAGTAGTCAGTTTTGAATGTTTCATATTTCGTTTTGTTGATTCTTTTCTTGATCGTTTATGAATATTTGCTGTACAATTTAGTTTATTTTCATTTAATGATGATTCTCCTTGATAATCCTGTTATGAGGAAAAGAAAAATGAAGACTGTTTTTTGATGTGATTATATACATGAAAAAAGGATGAATGACATACAGACTGAGAGATATTATCTACAGAACTATTAAGAAAGTAAAGAGAACTAACAGTGGAATCCAGGACATGCGTTTCGTCCTATTTGGGACTTGTCGGATGAATGTACCTGCATCGCAGAGTTGATTTTTGCTCTGGGACTCGAACCTAGTACTGTTCTCTTCAACCGACATCACATTATACACTTAGCTACTGAGTCCTGATAACCACGTGCTTGTGCAATGGGGTGAAGTTGAATTCACATGGTATTGTTGTTTACTTGAATCTTCCCATTGATGTTTAGGACTGAAATTGACCAGTCTCTTATTGGTATATGTACATACTGTGAGTATTGACTAGATATTGTCTTAATTCGTAAGCATTATAAGCAAAGTTGGGTGTACCTGCATCTCAGAGTTAATGTTCACTCTGGGACTCGAACTCAGTACTGTTCTCTCCAAACACCATCGCGCTATCCACTTAGCTACTGATAAATAAATAGAAAAACAATACCAAGTGAATTCAATATTTATAATGATTCTAGGAGTTGATTTAATGATTTAGAGGTTAAACTAATTAACCTTCAACAACTTACTTCTAGGATGAAGTCCGCTTTATCTAAGACAAGTGAGGAATGGCGTTACACTAACCAGAATACAAACAATATAGCTTATAGTTGGGTATATAATTCTATACTTGGTGAATTATCTACAAAATATGTTCAAATTTATTATTCTGATTAGGGTTATCAAATGACACATTAATATAGAATAATTAGCAGGTACATCCACTCTTTGTGTTCTATCAAATTTATTTCACTGGATTATACTCATTGAATAACAACTTCAAACCGTAATCTTTCCGATTACTGTTTATACTTTTACTACCTCTATCACTATGGGATTTGAATCGACCATTATATCTGTGTGCAAATGTGGTATGGCAACTCGAACTGATATACGTACGTACGTACGAAGTTCTACGTTGTTGACTGATTAACTGACTGACTGATAGAATAATTAAAAGTCATAGATATGAAGAAATTTGTGAGGATTTTTTGTGAAGTTCATTATTTATTGAAAAAGTGAGCAAACATATGAAATACATGGATACAAGGATCTTATGGATGAATTAGATACTAAATATTAATTCTCAGTTTAGGCGTTGTGGAGATTGTTAAGTTTTTGATTGAAATCATGAGTCAATTGAAGCTAGTCCAATGCTTCCAGGTTTTTCATGGTGGTCTAGCTTCAACTGACTCATGATTTCAATCAAAAAAGATATTAATTCATTGGTTTGAAATTCTTGGCCTCAATTTCTGGAAGGATCAAGGGAGTACACTGTTAATCCATAATAACATGAAACAGATAGCCAACACTATGGTTCTTGATAGCTGGCTAGCTGAAGTCAGTTCATGAAGCAAACGATCTTTGAAAATCAGATATTTCTTAAAACAAGTACGTTTATTAACATTGATCTATGAATTTGCTGGTTGTGTATTGAGTTTAATTGTATTGTTTGTTGATTTGGAGTGAACTAATGGTGAGGCGTGTGAAAAAGTTTAATAACTGTTTGATAAAAGAATTAATTTTCAGGTGCATGACAAACGTCCACTACCGATTTAACAATAAACACTATAAACCATTAGATGGTGTAGCTATGGGATCAACACTGAGTTCTCTCCGGGCAAACATTGTGTTTGCAAAGTAATAATTAACATTCATCTATCAACTACATTTACGCTTGAGAAAGAACAGAGTAATAGCATATCATTTCTAGATGTCCAATTAACAAAAAAGATTAGGCAAAACATAAAAGAGAGGGATAAGTAACGAAATCCCAAATTTCACGATAGACATAGCTCTACAGTTCCGCAAAAGAAACTCAGTAAAAATACTGACTTGTTATGGCAAAATGATTTGCCTTCATGACGCTATTGAAGATGAATTGAATAATATTCGTAACCTTATTGGAAGGAATAGATATAGAGCTAAATTCGTCAACAAACACGTCGACGAAATAAAAATTAGACTAAAGGCAACGACTGTTCCGAAGAAGTTACTGTTTTTGAAGCTGCATTTCAAAAATGAATCTAACAATGAAATCATCATATGTAACTCAGAATCTGACACATGTACATCGGTCCAAGTTGTCATATCATATTAGTACAATTCGATAAAGTTATTTCAAGACGATTCAGAGCCACCTCATTTGAAGTTTCTAACCACTGGTTACGATAATCACTCAGACACCAACCAGGTAGTCTACACTTATTAACATGGACAAGTCCAATTGTCAACGACTTAATAAATAGTTGCCACGTCGTGGTTCGGTCGCCCCCAGCCTTCTTCAATCTACCTCTACATCAAACAACGTTGTCCATCGACGTATGGGGTGGTTGGACACACGAGGCACATGTCTTAATCCCTCCAAGTAATGAGGATTTACTAACTCATCAATAAAAACATTGAAACAAAGGTTCAAAAAAGCTATGCGAGAAACGTTTATTGAACCGAAACTGAATGTGGTTTCAAATGAATGTCTGAAGATTCGTGTGTTTAACTTTCATCAGTTCATAATTACATTGAAATTCAACAGTATACAAAGCCTTATATAAACATTCACGTGCACTTATCAATTCAATTACTCCTGCGAAGCCACTTGTATTAGGCGCATAACTCAACAACTCCGTCAATGTACATAAGAACACTATCCGTGTCGGTTGAGTTAAGGACAATTGAGGTTGATCAGGAGTTCGATTGGTGAAACTACAATTTATGGATGACATTTGAGCGATGCCCAAGTGACATTGAGAGTGTCTACCTACTTATTAGGGCTAAATGAGGGTTATAAAGAAGTCTGAAGAATAAGGATTACGATACACAGTTGATGGTTAGGGTCAGCAGACACTATTACACCACTACTCAATCAGAATGGTTTTCATTGAAATCAGGAACTGATTTAAGTCAGGTTACCATCGACAACTTGGAAGCACTGGACGGCCGATTCGTCACAGTGTGGGGACCGCTGTCAGCGGTGCGTACCCACGATCCTGCACGCTGGACTTGAATCCAGCACCTACAGTCTCATGCACGAACGTTTAATCCTTACATTATTCAGTCGGCAATCAATCCATGACATTACGCGACCATCTTCCATCGATTTCGGTGGGAACCGTCTCACACCCGACACGGGTTAGCTCAATTAGTAACAGCTTCTTACTAGAATTATTTCATTGTTGTAAATTATATACATCTTTTCACTAGATTACATTGTCATACTGAGATACGACTATTGTGTACATCTTCAGTAATCAGTTTTCTCTTGTTGTCCCAGCTATTTCTTTTATCTCAAACTTTTAACCGTGATCTAACCTTTGATACTTTTGTTGGGAATAGATCAAGCTTCACTTTATGTATCAATTATGTGCGAAATTCGTTTAATATAGCGTTTATTTATGTTCTTAATATTTCTATTATGTAATAATTTGGTATAACATTTATTAAAGTTCGAGTTATTCAAAGTACATCTGTATGTAAATGATCATATTGAAATGTGATTTAAAAAAATCTATTCTTGATCTGGTTGGCATTTCTTTAGAAAGATATTTTTCTGCAGGACGAGGTGGCCAACTCCGACTAAATGCCCTGATACGGTCGAGAGTGGAGAGAATCCGCTCTCCCTCTCGAAATGCTCTCACATAGCCACGTGCATAAAACCACTAACAGGGAAGTCCTAATCACTGCCTTCTCGAGGTATTACTGCTGTTTACGAAATTAAAAGGACGAAAAGTGAATGTCCGGCACTTTAACCGGGTTAGTCGACACGGATGGAGAGTTCACCTACGAGAGGTCAAAAAACCTGATTCCAAACCATTGGTGCACATGAGCTCCAGTATCCTGAAGGAACAAATGGCGTATGAACCAATTACTGGTCACCGGCTACCATGGGACTGCATCTCCTCACGATGCTCCACTGCCTTCTATATCAAACCTTCAGGTCAAAGGCTCAGGGTGTGACCCCCTAAGAAAATCAACTGTTTCGGTCTGAGCACCCAGGCAGTATCACGGCCCTCACACAAATCAAATGAGATTTGTATGGCGCATATTTATCTGGTGCCCCCTTGTACCAGTATTTATGTGTTCGAATAAATAAATAAAAGTGACGACTCCAAACCCAAACATTTTCCTCCTCTCAGGCTTTGGAACGGCAGTAATTCGAGAAAAAATACAGGCGGAGTTTAGAGCTTTGATAGTCAAACAAATTTCTACTTTTCATAAAATGTTTTTTTTGTCAAGTGTTGAATTATATCTATTCTATGTCAGTCATGAAAACTAACTTCTAGAGAGAAGTGGGATGATCAAATCAATCCGTTTTCAACCACTAAGTTGTAGGTTACAACTATGCATTCCACACACTTCAGTTTTGAATTTTGTGTTGTAATAGTATCACTAGCTTTAACACAATATTGGTTCAACTGTAAATGAGTGATACTATAGCGTAATCAATATTTTCCATTCCAAATTCCAACTGTCAACTAGTACAAAACCTAAGCGAGACTGATTGAAATGACTCAAAATCGTTTGTTACGGCTTGGATTTCTTGGATTTTGTCAGATGATTTCATCCCTCTGTTCTAATGAGATATGACAGTTTGAACTGATGAGTATACGTAGCAGATTCTACATTGTGACTGACTGATTAAATGTAAGATACTTATATCAGGTACAAAATTACAATGACTTACTTGTGGTAACCAACTGTCAATGGATGAAATATCATATAAATTTGTAGGCAATTGTCTTACATATATTGATCCAAAACAGGTACCAACAAATAATTGAATACCATGACTTGAACTAGGTGAAATAGCTAATGAAGTAATTAAAGGTTTTCCAGTATCGAATGGAAGAGGATTTGAATATGGTAATTGTAAGTTTATCTCATCATTATGTTGATGATGATGATGTAGTTCTGATGGAGAGGAATCAGTAGTTCCAGCAGGTTCGTCATAAGGATAATTAGAAGAAGCATTACAAGTACTATGTGATTCTTTGGGTAAACGTTTTATAAAAATATTTAAAGTTCTATTGTCTAGTAAAGATGGTTTCAATTTTATTAAATAAGGTACAGGATACAATTGATCTTGTAAATTACTAATGTCTAGTAATAACGATACCCATATACATGCATTTGATTCACAGTGAAGAATTTTCCAATACCATGAACAACCAGTATGAACATCTGTTGTGAACGATGATGATGATGATGATGATGATGACATTTCTGTAGAATGAGATGATGAGGATGATGATAAGAAAAATTCACCAATTTCATGATCAATGTTGAAATCAACCCAACCATTCCAAGAATGATATAATTTATCATTATTTATTGAAGAGATATTGTTAAGTTGATTCATACAATGAAGTAAATGAGTATCTTTCGTATTGAATTCACACCATATAGAACCGGTTAAATGACTAAGAAATGGTATTTTTAATAGTTCAGAATGTTCCAGTGGATTCTTTGTACTTCTCGATACTGATAACTTTGTATTGATGAACTGTTTCTTCCAAATTATTTCAAACTATACACATAATAAAAAGTAATAGTTATCATCATAAAAAAACATACAAATAAGGGAAATATTATTTTATTCAGTAAGCGATTTAATTTAAACAACCACTGAAAACCTGGAAACATCGGACTACCGTTTCCTCCTAGTTTGGGACACATGAACAGTACAGATCGACAAACATATAACCGGAAATCAAACTCATGACCTTCGGTTTTGCGTGAAAGCAGAGCACTGACTCGGGTGCTTGAAGTCTGAGCCATGTTGGTAGATGCAGACCACTTGGTTGGGGTCCACGTGAATATCGTAACCAATGGTTGGAGACTCTTGGTGACATGGCTCAGAACCGATCACAATCGCGTCGGTGTATACACTCTCTGTCTTCCCTTAAACTGAGAGATTAAAATCACTTCATATCTTTCTTTCTATGAACTAATTCTTTCTTCCTGTACTATATGCTTATATGTAATCTTTCTTTTATATATTACCACCACTGAATTAACTACTTTTATTAATCCGGTGTTTATCTTGTTGTGTTAATGAGGTATGGCAACTTAGACCGATGCATATATGTGCCTGGTCCTACGTTGTAGCTGACTTACAATAGTACAAAGGTTTAACTCCAACCTCAGGTTGCAAGGTAGTAGATAAAAACTTCTGAGAAGTCCAACTTTAGGACGAAACGACCTAGTAGTGCTTCCAGGTTTCCAATGGTTGGCTAACTTAGATTGGTTTTTAGTTTCAATATACTTCAATAATCTCTACAACCACTCTAATGCAAATACTACTTATAAGAACGATTTTAGTCAGGGTTGTACGTTTCACCTTATGCGAAAGTGATTAATTGAACAGTGACGCCATTTTAAAGTATAAGAATGTAAAATGAGCTGAAAAATCAATACTTTGTTGATTTTCGAGTCACAAAAATGAGCAAAAAATATACACCCAATTTGAACTTCTACTTCATGTATTGAATACACAAGCTGTATCTATATAGAGTCCATATACAATAATTGTCTAGGTTCATGCTTAACACCCAAATACGTACGGTGACTTGATGCTTACAGAAACCAACTAGTGATAAATAGATTGCACGTTCAAGATTCAATCAGTTTACGAGACATGTTATTCGATGTCATCAGTGATCCATGTCTTACATTTCCAATATAGAATAAACTAATTAAAATCAATTAATCAACCAGCTTTTTTCGTCATCATTTGTGACATCTCAGAAGAGTGAGATAGAATCAACAAAATAAATACCAAGGAAATCAGAATAACAATAGTGTCAATGACTGGATACATCCGTGACACTAACCGATTTCAAACCATTTCATATAAGGTCTTTCAATTATCAATCATGATTACTCTACATTCTCATAAATTCTCTTAGTTTATAGTCTTGTAAATAAGATATTATGTGTTAAATATTTTAATGACTAAGTAGCCTGTAGCTCTCCTATGGTTACTGCCGGTCGCAAACCCGGGTAAAGGAGGAGGGTTGGGCGTTAAGTCAGTATCCCCATCCCGTAGAAAACAACCTTGCTAAAAAATATGCTAACTACTAAGCAAACGTAAGGAGTACGTACTGAGAGGAAATAATATTTAGATACGATCAATTGGTGTGATACTTTATGAACTCAATCAATTAATTGTACACTTACAGAGTTCACCTGTGGACTACCTGCCCATTCACCCCATTTTAATCCAATCACAGTTTCTAATGGTGTGTTGTCCAGTTTAACTGATGAGTATTGCTTTCCACTCACAGAAAACGTTGCTGCTTGTAATGAATTCTTATCGTCATCATTGATATTATTACAGTTAAATAATGCGGGTGTAGAAGAACGTCTATCTCCAACGTCCTCTTGACTCGTCATATTATACATTGTACCAGTGGATTTACTTTTAAATTTTGACGTCATATTCAGTCTGGCTTCATTAGAAATCGGCAATTTACTGAAACAAAGTTTCAAAATAATACAAAACAAATGAAACGAGATTATTAGTAGGACACATAAATGGGCAAATTATCGGATAAAATGGAATTACGCCTGTTAATTCGAAGAACATATTGTCTTGAGAGTCAAAGTCAGCCATCAAAAGAATGAATAGTATTTGATAAAAATCGGAAAGGCGAGACCAGTAAACGATTGGCTGAAGAACACTGGTAGACACCCTATGACTCACGAGGGGTAAAATGTGTGAGCAATAGCAATTAGTACTTTTAATAACACATCGGATGTAGTCAGGAAATATTTTAAATTTGTCAACCAGGAAGCTGAGTAAACTGTGCAATGGTTCGCTCCATACTGCTTTACAGTTGTGAGGTAAAGGACGCATATTTGTTGCAAGTACTCTTTCATAGCTGTCTATGAAGGCAATGGTCATAAACGGTAGAACCAATGAATGAGCGATCCTGAAGTTATATTGGTAAAAAACAAAAAATCAATAGATGAGGCTATAGACGGCCATAAACTTAGGTTGGTTAGTAAAGATGTTACATTTCCCTAACCAACACGTACTACAACGGTCAGTGCTGACTGTATTCGTCATAGGTTGGAAAAACCTACAGATAGGCTAGTTAAGACAAAGCGACAATCCAACTTCTGTTCTAAGTCATGAAGGTGGGTGGGGACTTCTTAGTTCAGACCCAGGCAATATTCGTAATCAATAGTTGGGAAAGTTCGCTGATCTGATGCGAAATCAATTGGTTATCGATTATTATCAAAGCAACTTGACTCGATTTTGGAAACAATGAATTTATTTTCATGGTTACTTGAAAAATATACAACTAAACTCTATCCGATACATAGGTGTTAAATAAGAAATTCAATACGATTTGGTTAACAATGGCTGTCATCATATAAACATTCAATTTCTAATCTTTGAAGTCATTGTAGCCAATAGTTAACAAATAAATAATGGGTAATATAAATTTTCTGATAATTAGGAAAATCAGATGTTAACCATAGTGATTGTGTCATAATTTTTTCCTTCAAAGTTACAGTTTATATTAGATGAAAAATATGGCAAATTTTTATATAACTAATATGGTATTTTCTATCACTGAAAGAATGTTACGCAGATAGGCAATTCTTTCTCTATGTAACACATCTACACCGCTACCAGTAGCTCGTACTTCCATAAGAGCTGCGTCCAGACTGTAACCGATAGTAAACTTTAAAGAGGAATGATAAAGTTGAAAAATCCTGTCTCTCTAACTCAAACACTGGATTAGAACAATGGAGAAACATGGTCGGATGCTTTCATTCATCCTAAGTTGCTTGTATATAAAGCTTTTAGGATACTAATAAAATAATTAGGCAGATGTTTCTTCAACAGACAATCAAAGAATACAGTTCAGTTAAACGTACTAAAAACGCCCCCTGATACCAAAAGGCACAAAGATTGTCGACTCGTAATCATCTTTATAAAATTAGATGAGACTAAGTCAGTCAGTCAGCTACAACATAGGACCAGGCACATATATGCATCGGTCAAAGTTGTCATACCTCAATAACACAACAAGATGAACACCGGATTCATTAAAGTAGTTAATTTAGGGGTGGTAATATATAAAAGAAAGATTACATATAAGGATATAGTACAGGAAGAAAGAATTAGTTCATAGAAAGAAAGATATGAAGCGATTTTGATCTATTAGTTTAAGGGAAGACAGGGAGTGTATACACGGACGTCATTGTGATCGGTTTTGAGCCATGTCACCAAGAGTCTCCAACCATTGGTTACGATATTCACGTGGACCCCAACCAAGTAGTCTGCATCTCCCAGGTGAGACTAAAGTAAATCTGTGTTCAAAAAATTTAGTGTATAATGTTTCTAATCTCAACGACTAGTATTCACTTCTGACTGACCAATTCTAACTAGCATGAAAAGTAGATTCAGAGAATGCTTAAGAATATCAGGAGCCATCTAACATTAGAACATGGTATTTATGATAAAATATTAGATTAAGAATAACACAGCAGTTTGACAAACCTAAGTTACTATCATAGACACTCAATATGCATACTTAATGTGTTTGATTTCTCTTTTTTTTGACTTACCGACATGGATGAGGATGTTTGTGAAATAATTGTTTCGGTGTTTGACCATAATTATTAATCATACCTTCAATAGCTTGTGCTAAAATAGGATCGTCTATTGTATCCACATTGATTGAGCCAAAATATGTCTAGTAAGTATTGATTAAGAAAACAAAATAATATTCTTTTTTATAGAAAATTATTAACATACTACTAGAATAAAGTAGATAACAATCATTAATTTCATACACATAGTTCTTTTTATAATTTTGAAAAGATTAAGAACAAACATTCTAGTAGAATAGCATGAATTCATTTTTTTATTTCGTCTGATTCTCGTCAGTTGCTCACAATCTGGGATATTTAAGAATCATAATTACATAATGGGTTTGATTGGAAGTTATATTGAAGACACTTTAGTAGAGTATAGCAAGGGTGTAAATACAACATTGATTGTGACAACTGTTCAAACGGTCAAAAACAAGTCAATAACTAATGTATCAGAAGAGGTTTTGTGGAAATCGTAGTAATTTCAATAGTTCAAATCATGAGTCAATTGAAGTTAGACAACCATGGAAAACCTGGAAGCACTGGATGACCGTTACGACCTACTATAGGACTCCTCAGCAGTGAGCATCCACGATACCGCACCCCGCGAGGTTCGAAACAAGGAACTATCAGTCTCACGCGCGAGCACTTAACCACTAGATCACTGAGTCGGACGGCATTCAACAGTGTTAATGTCTAACTTCAACTAATTCACGAAATTCAGCGACACATCCACCATTGTCTTCAGTTGGTTGCTATCTCACAAGTGACCCGGTTGAACTCCACTGGTCACTGCTTCTCACTATAATTCCAGGAAATACCTCTTGAAGTCAGTCACTACTGAGCATATGTTGATTGTTATCAGAAGGGGTGAGATCGTGGATGCGCACTGCTGTGGAGTCTCACAATAGAACGAAACGTCCTTCCAGTGTTTCCCGGTCTTCCATGATGGTCTAGCTTCAATTGACTCATGATCTCAACTATTGAGATTACATAATGAGTAAACATTAATAGAAATAAAATGAGTAGAGCACAGTAGATAAAATAAGATTACAAATTTGGAAGATACTTGAAATATAACTCCATGATGTAATGGATAAAAGAAGTAGTTTAAAAAATATATAAAAAAATTTGAGATTCAGCGAAGGAATATTTATCACCAAGGTAAGGAAAGATTAATAAACATGGTTATTTCAAAACAATGTTTAACTTCCTAAGTCACTGGTAATTATAGATGATAGTGATTTGTAGTTTAGAAAGATGATATTCATTATTTTGCGTTGTTTATTCTCATGAAATCATTGACGGTTGAACTGATATATGTAGGTGAATGCAAAATAATCTCAATCAATAGTTAGGAAAGTCGGGTGATATGATTCATAATTGATGTAAATGTTATAGATGTAGTCAGTCTTTGCCTTTTCGTTCAGGTGTTGATTTTCAAAATTATCCTAAACTTTGTTATTCGATGAATTCCTTCTTATTTCTTGGATTATATTGTTTATGTGTAATCTTTTCTTGTACTACTAATGCTAATAGTATTGCTACTATAATGTATGCTACTTATATCGACAGACATAAGTAATATGGAGTACCAGTAGGAAGTGGAAAACCTGGTATCAGAAGGCTAAGAAGATCGAGTTGAGGAGAATGGAAGGAAAAATAGAAAGCAATTATGAACTGGGACAACTGTACAGTGTGTGAAGGACAAATGATGGAAGTTTGCAAATGAAGTATTCTGTGTATGGTTCTCATATTTTAGCAAGAGATTCTGTAATTTAGTTTCAAAAATAAATTGGTGGTCACTATCTGGAATGTTCGTTTACTACACTACTAGCCTGACATTATTCTTGATAATTTCACCCCAATGTGACGATATGGTTTGGCGAAGTGAACCGACGTACATTCGCGTCAGGTTCTACCTTGCTTGAGACTGAAGTGAACGGTTTTTATTTATAAAGGTCTTATTATCTTTCCAGAAAACAATATCATCAGTAGTGATATGAATTCAAAGCAAGATTCTTTACTTTTATCTTATTAATGTGACTTCTGAGCAATGAAAAACGTCTGGAATGAGAGCAGATAAGAGTGTCATCCTTTTACGAGATCGGCTCACTTACACTTGACTTCTTAATTCCAGTTCCTTTTACTAGTCTGAAAAGTTAACTTGTGTTACCTACAGCCACTGCCTTTTCAATCTCTTGCTTTCGTTGCCCACCACTGCTCACAGTCGTTCCTCAGACTTTTACTTAACCTAGATCTGATTTGTTTTTGTTCTTCATCGTGTTTAGAGCCTGATGGGACGAGTTTACGAGAATCCTTCAGTGCAATAGACTTAGAAGAAATCCATTAGTTTTTTGTAACCTCTCTCGAACGAGTGGGATACTGTAGTAAGCCCATTCAATTATTGTATTATTTATCTGCTCACTGTAATTTAGACAACTGATCCACCATGTAATTTTCTGTGTGAGTCTGATTGAGCACATGTCAATTTTTAATATATTCTTCCATTGGTTGTAATACACAGATAATCAATAATTTATCCATACTTGATCAACACTTATAAATATATATGGATTTTTAACACACACACACACACACACTCTTGTTTTCCCTGTGTGCTTGCTTCCTGTACGCTCGCGGATTTTACCAATCTTTAACAATAAACTATCTCTATAACTGGTGTTCAGGCTTTTGAATAATCATCTCGAGTACATCCATAATTCTACTAGGAGATTTAGCCTGCATTAAATGTTCAGTTAACGGGATACTATTTGTTCGAGTCATATATAGAGGATACTAGACTCTACAATACCATGAATTTCTTATATACCAAAGAAACTATCGCTAAGAAACATATCAAAGTGTTAACTTTCAGTAATAAACAAAGTAATGAAACGAAGAAAAACACTTTAAATAATGACTAGTAGTAGACTAATTTGATGATACACATCATTTGAATGTGGACAAAACGAATATTGTGGATTACAGTGTTATTTACTTGTTTACAATTAAATCAACTTGTATCATATAACCAATAGAATTAAAGGATCCATATATTCAAGAACGTCATGGTATACCAACAACAGTTAATCGCATATCAGTTTTTGAATATTAATAATCAATAATAATAAACAATATATCAAAAAAATCTTACATATGGATGATATAGATTCAAGGAATCTTTAGCATTTTGTCCAGATTGTTTATAACCAAATAATAAGTCAATCCAATATGATAAATTCATTGATACATAATCACTTTCTAATGCAGCACGACAAATTAACGTGAATAAACGTGGATCATTTTTACACCAACTGTAAATGAGAGAAAAACGATATACATTAAGAGAAAAGATAAATAGTCAATCAACAATACAGAACCTAACTTGTATATGTAACGGATTAAGTTTGTTACGTAAGATGAGGATAATACGATGAAATTATTAAGATAAATATCCAAAATACAAGAAATAATATGAGTATTAGTAGCAGTGGTAATAAAAGAAGAGTTGATTATAAATCATATCGCTTGGGGAGAGAGAATCAACAGAAGGAAAGGTTCGAACCCAGAACCTACTGCTTTCGAGCGTGAGCATTTAACCACTAGACCAGAGTCAGTCGGCATCCAATGGTGTTAATGTATAACTTCAACTAATCCACGAAATTCAGCGACACACCCACCATTGTCTTCAGTGAGTTACTATCTCGCAACAGACCTGGTTGAACTCCACTGGTCACCACTTCTTACTAGAACTCCAGGATATACCTCGAGAAGCCAATCATTAGTGAGCATATGTTGATTAATATCAGATGGGTTTTGTGGATATTATAGTAATTTCAATGGTTAAGATCATGAAACAGTTGAAGCTAGACCACCATGAAAAACCTGAAAGCATTGGACGGCCGTTTCGTCCTATTGTGGGACTCCTCAGCAGTGTGCATCCACGACCTCGCCCCCTGCGAGATTCGAACAATTTCGTGGATTAGTTGAAGTTAGACATTAACACCGTTGGATGATGGCCTGCTCAGTGATCTAGTGGTTAAGTGCTCGCGCGCGAAACCAGTAGGTCCTGGGTTCGAATCTCACAAGGGGCGAGGTCGTGGATGCGCACTGCTGAGGAGAAGAAAAGGTATAAAATAATTTTGAAACCCAGGATCTAAGAGAAGATAAACAGCAAATGCGTCACCTAATAACATCTAACATTTTCTTTTGTATATGTATTACTACCATTGAATTAACTACTTCTATGAATCCGGTGATCATCTTGTTGTGTTAATGAGATATGGCATCTTGAAGCGGTGCACATAGGTGCCTGGTTCTACGTTGTAGCTGACTGATTGACACCTAAACATTTAATCAAGATAATCTAAATCAGGTGGTCTTAATCTATCAAAATATCTCACAGAAGAAAAAAAACGTATAAACCAGTGGTACATCTTAGTTTGGGTGCCTCTAGCTTTATTCAAACATGTGTTTACACTAGCTTACATTAGTTGTTGAAGTAGTCAGTGGTTAGACATAAATAACACATATCACGGTCACCTCAGTTGATGAAAATTCACAGTTTCATCAACTGGTTTGCATTATATATCAATTACCCTGTGTCTAACCTAAACATCAATCACTTGGTTGCTCCAACATACACACGAAGATATACCTAATAAAAAACCTACAGCTTACGGATCTCTGCTACTCTTAAAGGTCGTGTTTTATAACCATATTTCGTAGATAAAAGAGAAATCAACAATCGTATACAGGGATATGAACTGTTATTTATTTATTTCAACACATAGATAATGGTACAAAGAGGCATCAAATACATATGCGCCACACAAATCTCATACGATATGTGTGAGGGCTGTGATACTGACCGGGTGCACAAACCGAACCAGGTGATTTCCTTAGGGAGCCACACCCTGAGTCTTTGACCTGAAGGTCTGACCCACAAGGCAGTGGAGCATCGTAAGGAGATGCAGTCCCATGGAAGCCGGTAACCAACGACTGGTTCATACGCCATTTGTTCCCGCAGGATACTGGAGCCCATGTGCACCATTGGTTTGGGATCCGGTTAAAGCGCCGGACATTCGCTTTTCGTCCTCTCATTTTCGTAAACAACACATCCGCCACGCGAAGGCAGTGAGTAGGACTTCCCTGGCAGAGGCTGTATACGCATGGCCGTGTGAGAGCATTTGGAGAGATGGCGGGCCCACCCCACTCTCGGCCGTACCAGGGCATTTGGGGGCCATACCAGGGTATTTGGGGTATATTCGGTTTCTACCAATACCAGGTACCTGGTCAAACATTGAAAGAGGTACATCGGTGTTTCAACATATAGGTGTCTAAATCAATCAGTCCAAGTTCAAAGTTATTTAAATTGACAACTGACGTAGTTAATTTCCTAGATACATGTTAATTACAAAGAAAAATCATATAAATAATAAGATCACATTAGCTGGAAAATAACTAACAACCAAGGAGAACTATACAGCTGTTGCCTTTTAGTTAGAAGCTTTTCAGAATTAAGCCAATACAACCTTGATCAGGTATCGAATCTAAGAGTCTCTAGTGCAATAACTCTGTTTCACACATTCTATATTGTTGAATTCCATTTCTAAATGACCTCATACATGTTTATTCAAATATATATACATAGAAATATTACTGATAATCATTGTTACTCCAATTCTTTCTTTAACAAATATGTTACAATTGAATATGAAACCATGAAATAGAATGAATTTATACTATTCCATCTAAATCGTTATTACAGCTTTATTGAAAATTCATAAAGGATACTTTAGTAAACTTTTCACTAATTCCGTAATAACATCTCAAATTTAGACATTGAATGAGTCTTAGTTGAATTTCTCTAAGATCTATTAGTTTCAATAAGAGTTGAATATCAACGGCATTGAAACAATGTTCACTTTTCTTAGTATAGATAATCAAATATAACACTTAGATAATAAATGTTTAAGTATATTTACTATAAAAGTACTAAGACGAAAAATAAGATAGTTCAATACAACTGATGTGGAGCTAATCAGTGTTAGGTAGAGACTGGTATCTACCTCAGTACAATGGAAGATGATTGCTCAATTCCGTGGATTAATTGAAATTAGACATTAACACTGTCGGATGTCAGCTCATTGGTCGCACACAAGACTGAAGGCACTTGGTTCGAACTCCACAAGGGAGATCGTGAATGCACACTGTTGAAGAGTCTCACAATAGGACGAAACGGCCATTCAGTGCTTCCAGGTTTTAAATGGTGGTCTAACATCAGTCTGTTCATGATCTCAATCATAAACTGATAACATTAGTGAGAAAAGGGGAGAAAATAAAGAAAAAAAGAAAGAAGTCATAACTTACGGTGGTAATTCAACATTATCTACACTATCACCTGGTTGTCGACAGCCTAATTTCAATCCACTTCGATTAATAAACATTTCTGGTTGGAAATAAAATTCTGGTACTAATTCTTTAACACATGAAACAGAAGTAGTAGCTAAACGCCATGTTGTTGCAATTGAATGAAATAAACGATCGGGTACATCGAAATTATTATCTAGAAAATGAAAATACACATAGATAAACAATAATATTATTCTGTTTACATATTCATGATTAGAAAAACAAAGCATCAACAGTAAGAATAAATAATCAATAGTCAGTTCCGAAATTATGTTCCATACTAGTTAGTAAGTTATTAGTCAGTTAGTCAGCAACAACCTAGAACTTCATACGTACGTACATCAGTTCGAGTTACCATACCACATTATCACACAGATATAATGGTCGATTCAAATCCTATAGTGATAGAGATAGTAAGAGTATAAGCAGTAATCGGAAGCATTAGGGTTCGAAGATGTTATTGAAGGAGTATAATTCAGTGAATTAAATATGAGAAGAGAAAAAAGAAAGCGACATGAATTCAGAAGATTAGAATTTGGGAGAACACAAACAGCGGATGCACCTGCCCCATTGCAAACGATTTTGAGCCATGTCATTCAATGTCTCTAACCATCGGTTGCTATCATCTCGCTGATCCCAACCAGGTAATCTACACCTACCAACATGACTCAGTCCACTTGTCAGTGACTTCATGGATTTGTGCCATGTTTTGGTCTGGTAGTAAGTTATTAACAAGTCATAGTAAAATGGTAGTGCACGGAATATAAAGTCATTTATTTTAATGAGTACATTAAAACTAGATCGATAAAACTGGAACAACACTAAGAACCAGAAAAATATGATATTGGTTACAATGCAGTCAACCAATTAGTAAAAATACAAATCGAAAGAGATCAGTTAACATTTTGGCGAGACTATAATTTATGGACGACCCAATCAGACTTAGGACAATAGGTCTTGGAATTTTAGATGATCTCAGTTCGTCATGAAAAACCATAAATCTAACTCTTAACCCTGACTGTCAACTATGAATAATAATCCTTATCCTTCAAACTGCTATACAACCCTCATTCAGCCTTAGTAAGTAGGTAAACACTCTCAAGGTCACTCTGGCGTCGCTCAAAGGTCATCCGTAAATTATAGTCTCATAAACATTTTCTAGCTTATTTTAAGAGTAGAAAATGAATTAACGATATAGTGGATTCCAATTATGAATTCAGTTATTTGGCAGATTGCGTTTTGTTATGTCCTTATGGTCCTGTCAATGGATCACATGACTAAGTCGCCAATCAGAATACCGACTTCTACGACCTTCACACTGTGCTAAACCGATGACACGTTAATCAGTACGAGCAGCTTAGAGTCAAATCTGAGTCCTTATTTGTTTTTCTCACTCAACCATGTCCGTTTAAGTTCAGAACACATTCTCAGCTTCCGCTGTATGAATTATGTATTTCAAACATACGTAATTTGTATACAAGCAAATCAGACCGCATCACAACATAAGATAAAAAATGACAGGTAGATAAGATAAAGTCGAAAGTAGCTGTGAGTATGGCATACCGTAACTAATAACGGAAGCTTATAATCAAAGGAATATGGATATATGTACAGTATAGTTACCTAGTCAGTCAGTTACAACGTAGAATCAGGCATTTTCGAGTTAGCTCCGTACTTGTTGAGACCTTACCGCCGCAAACGGATATTTGTGGGATAAGGCGAGTTGTGCAATTTTAGGGTCGACCTTTTCTAATTCCACCCTTCTATGTGGGAAGGAACATCGCTGTTATGCTGGTTGTCTGAAGGAAACATCTTACTGTCGTCACACCTCTGTACCATCAGCAGTACGACTTCGCCCTCAGACCTTGGGTTTGCTGCTTCTAGTCTTACTGTTCTTCGACCGACCTGTCTTGCATGGTAGGACCTTGAGGAACGATTGTTCCAGCCAGCATAGCTCGATTGGTTCATTTCGATAGGCAAGCGCAACTGCCACGTCAAGGTAGCAACAACTGTCGGGTAGTTACTCAATAGTTATACAATAAGAATACATATATAATAACAGTCTATAAATAGATCCTAGCGGTTACTATTAACATATTCTTCGTCCGGATATAACACATTTGGTTATTGATATGTCGGTATCATTATCAGTCAGGTAAGTAATGTAACGGTGAGTGCCTTCTTAATTCATGAATTTAAAAAAAGAATAACCAGCGAATATAGGTTATCTTAGAAAGTTATTTATGTACATTTTCCAACTATCAGTAGTGCTGTTAAACCAGTCACTAAGAGACAATTAGCACAGGTTTGTGATTTTAATCTGAAGAAGTTACTTAAGTAATCGCATACCAATAACCTATGCTATCTGGCTCATTAGTCATGATCGAATTCAATCGATCAAATAGCAATTTAGCTAATAATCTAATTGATTTAACGTCGTGCACAATTTTGAGATGCTAAGTAGATATAGACGTCATCCGTAAACTAATCAAGCCATAATTGATCTCCTGTAGAACTAAGATATTTTAATTGATTCATTATTGAGTACTAACTAATTTTATGTTAGTTTACTGTTAAGTACTGATTAGATTCTATCAATCAAGTTGGAATCATACTCTCTTATATTTCCAAAATCCAAAATTAAGATGTACTATATAACATAAAGTGATAGAAGGGAAAAATAGTAAAAGTCCATTAGTTTTATGACAGTTAGAACTTGTCAGCAAGAAATAAATTCGATTTAGGAAGAATTGATGTTCATAATCTCAGAATGAATGGAAATTTATATCAAACATAAATCCATTTTACTCTGTTAGTAATTCACTCTACGACTCTACTTCACTGATTTCGACCTATTGATTTGCCAAGAAATTAAAGACATATTGGTTGACGTTGGTGAACTGGATGAATTTAGACTTCCGCCCCCCCCCACAATCGGATCTCGGCTTAGAGGCCAAGTCTTTACGCTAGAGATTGAAGGCCATGAGTTCGAGTTTCCGATGCAAAGTTGTGGATGTGCATTGTTGAGGGAGGAAGACAGTTTTCTTAGGTTTTCAACACTTGTCTACTCTAGATCGGTTCGCGATCTCAGCTTTTAAGGACGCTTAAAACACATGTGGCCATTGTGAGGCGATTACTGTTTCTTAATCATTGACAAATCTAAGCTATGTGTGAACATTCAAATAAAAGACAACGGTAAAAATCCAAACTGTTAAGGGAAATAAGATAAAAATGCCCTTGTATAGTTCACCTTGAAAACGTAAATGACGAAAAGTGTATGGGGGTAAACGAACAAGAAAATGTAACACAATTGCTTCATTTGAACAATGCGCTGGATAATGATATGGTGGACAAACACTACTTAAATTCGATAAAGTAGACGTTTTTGATTTTATTCCCGATGCTTCTGGATGTGATGTAGATGATGTTTTGGATAGTAATTCAGCTTCATTGAATCGTGCTGCTACAGCTTCAGCTCTATTGTCTTCTTGTACAGCTATTGGACGATCTAATCGTCGAAATGAAGTTGGTTGGGTTAAGTCTAACACAAGACTTTCATAGTCCTTTAACAAAAAAAAGAAGACCAGTACATAAGTCGACAGAATTCCTTAACCAGTTAACGAATATTTTAGTTGGTCAATAACAAAATTAATAAAGTAAATAATATAGAGTTTTAAGCATACACTGAAGGGAAATAATATGCATCACAGTTTATTGAGGAAGAAGAATAGGAAAGCAAACTTAACAAATCATTAAATTAATAAGCATAGTAAACATCACGAACCGGCTTTAGTCAAACAACCAATGAAAGCTTAGATGTACTGAAGAACTGTCGCGTTCCAGTACGCGGCTCTACAGCAGTGGGGATTTACGATTTCAATAAGGTTTAAACTCATGATATTTAAATCTCTTAGCAAGTGCCTAGAACTTAGACTATTGAGTCGTTATACAAAGGTTTGGATTTTTAAATCAAATCAATCTCCAACCATTTTCTAATGCCTCACATTTAACAAGGTTGATGCTTTTCTATCCAATTCTTCCTGATTATCGGTGCTTGCTCAACACTAAGATTAGATGCAATTCAACCCCTTAAACTAAAAAATTAATAAATTATTACTCATTAGTGAGTAACTTCATTCATTGGCTGAGAACTTATCGATAATACAGAATAATCAACATGTTGCAACGCAAATCAATAAACTATTTAAAATAAAAACAGTTTTACATATTGAAATGAAGCCACTCCAAGGTTGACCAACTGAAAACTGCAAACTACACATATCAATCATTTAGATCTGTACATTTCAACATTGTCCCTTAGATGTTAATAGGAGTTATTTGAAAATTTTATTTTGTAATTTCGGGAGTTCAATCGTAGTAACCAATCAGGTACATGCATTAATGATGAACTGTTTGTTACTACCATTATCTACGTAAAATAAGCCTAAAAAATGTGTTTCGTCCATGTTATTAGAAGTAGAAGGAATAATAGGAATTGAAGAGGGAGGTTCATTATGAATACAGTGGTGTTGAGTATTGTTAGAGGTATGAAGATGGTTATCACTTCCAGGTTGCTCACATCGTGGAAGGGTTCTTCTGGAGGTACCTGAAAAGGAAATTGGAATAAAGTAGGTTTTAGTGACCTGAGGGAATGACTGAAGTGCCCAAGGAACAACTGATTGAGTTCGGTCAAACACGACCTTTCTGTGAGTAATTTTCGTGTTAGCTCCGTACTTGTTGAGACCTTACCGCCAGAGATGGATAGCGGTGAGATAAGGCGAGGTATGCATTTTTAGGGCCGACCTGTTCTAACCGCACCCCTCCTTGTGAAAAGGCAACATCTCTGTTATGCTGGTTGTTATCTACGATATCGAACTAAAAATATGCATTTATTAAAGTATAAGACTTGAAATGAAATTTTTGATAAAACGTACGCTTTCAAAATAGTCCATACCTGTCCACTAAATGAACAAATAAGTGTAGAAAAGTTCAAGTACGATATACTTAGTGAATATGGCAACATTACAGATAACCACATCCCAAGCATATACAGTTAAATACAGAATTTAGATGCTGTTCCATTCTCTGAGCTGAATAATTTGGTTGTGAAGCTTTAATTGTTCTTCTGGACGACATCATCAACACAAACTACGTGAAGCTGTACGACCAAATCATCCAGATCAGAAAACGAAACTCTACCTTAATCATCCATTTGAGTTACAAATCTTCCCCACCATCTCAAAATACAGAATTTAAAGTAAAAGTAAACAGAGAGGAGAACATTTTAATAAAGTACTCAACAACAAAAATATAGGCATACACGTATAATCCATGGAAATATAGGATATTGCATTAAATCATTATAACTTCGACCAGCAGTTGTGTTTAACTTCATTAAATAGTCAAAATTTGATAATTCACCATTTAACCATGCTTGTTGTACATTTTGTAATTTACATTTTTTTAATTGTTTAAAAGTAGAATGATGATAGTGATGATGGTGACCATTCGGTGAAAGAGGATTGGATATTTCAGATTGTTCATTTGTATTCACTAATAATGGATTATAATAGTGATGAATACAATAACATGAATGATGACCAATTAAAGGAGTGATAGTTTCGAGAAAATTATCCCTGTCCTATGATTTAAACGAAATAAATATAAGAAAGAATTATTATTATTATTATTATTACTATTATTATATAACAAAATATGTTGTTTGTAAAACTAGGATAAAATATAGATTTTGATGGTGTTTTGTTCTTTGAGCTGGATGGTTTGATCGTGGAGCTTTCATCGTTCTTCTAAACAACATCATCAGCATAAACGTCAGGTAGAAGTGAAATGTTCGAATTTCTTCGCAGACGACTAACAGCTTATCCTATCGACCTCGATGTTGATTGGTTATTGTTGACATTTAACCTGTGATTGTTTAATTCTTTATTTTGATTATATCTTCCGTTGATTTGAATCTTGGTTCTAGATTTATCCATGATTTCTTGAGATTGGTTGATAAATTGTATTGATTTCGATGTGTTTGTTGATTGTTGACTGACCTGAGTGCCAAGTACATGAAAAATAATTTGGTGTTTTTGATATCCCTTATGTCCAAAACTTCAATATTTTCCCAGTCGAATACGTATCCACAGTTGTCCACATGGATTAATATGAGCGAGGATATGTCATGGAGTTTGACCTCTAATTGATATTCGTGATGGTGAAGATGAAGAGGGCGTCCACTTTGCCCGATGTGGCATTTTTCGCAGTTGTAAGAATTTATTTTTTAGATGATGTTCAGTTTTTCTTCATTTGTCATTTCGTCCTTTGGTTTGTATAGGATGCATCCAGCTCAAAAAATATAACTCCAATTAGATCACCCACCTGAGCTACAAATCTTCTCCATCATTACAAAATATAGAAATTAGAGTGAGTAATATTCATCTTGGCAAATTAACTCAATTAGTATTGGGACTAATTGTACTGATAACTATACTACTGATTAAAGTAATATAGTAATTCAGATGATATATATATATATATATATATATATATATATATATATATATATATATATATATTTTAAACAGATCATAGAACAAGTTAGTATAATATTTGAGGAGCAAAATCAACAGTAAGTAATTTCCTAGATTACACTGTAAAGCTCATGATTTCTTGTTGATATTAATTGATGGGATGAGTGAAAAGTTGAGAAAAGTGATATCATCCATTTGGATGGTACATATAATATTTAGGTTGCTCATATAATGAATAGGTACAAAACTAAAGCAATATGTGCATTCGCATCGATGACACATTCATTATCGTCGATCAGTGTATTGGAAAAAGAGAACTATAGGAGAAGTTTATTAGTGCAAATTCGGTAAAATGAAATCATTTGTGAGGAGGAGGAGCTTTAAAAACGACAAATTACAGTTCGTCGACAGTTTCATCAGGCACATAAGATAATCTATTCAGTAGAAATTTGTCTTTAGAACGTTTATCTGCACGCATATAAACACTATCCTTAGTTTCATGGCCATTTATTGCAAAATAAACTTAATCAAATGTTTAACAGGCACATCAGAAAAGATATGGTCAGATAACAGGACAAACACACGAGGAAAAAACACAAGCTTTTTGCTAAAAGAGTTCCAAATCATCCATCATTAGAGTCTATATAAGCTTAAAAACGTTAGAAAACATTTTATCCAATACTCGTTGAATAGAAGTCTTGCGGAGAAAAGTCTAAACAATACAGAACCATGTCTTACGGTTTGACTGAGTATTTACCTATACTGTTAATATATTTATTATTGTATTGGAATTTCACGATTTTGACTAATATAGAAATTAGTCAAGATTACGTTTTTAAAGGAACTCAGCTTTCCTCATCATCATCATTGATGAACAAGGAGAATCAGATGCGAACGTAAAGGCGAGGATTGGCAAAGCAAGGACAGCATTCCTATAATTGAAGAACATATGGAAATCAAAACAACTTTCAACCGATATCAAAGTTACAATCTTCAATACGAGCGTCAAGACAGTTCTATTATACAGATCTAAAACTTCGAGAACTATCACAATCATCATCAAAAGAGTACAAATATTTATAAATAACTGTCTACACAAGATACTCAATATCCATTGTTGATGGGATACCATCAGCAATAACCTACTGTGAGAGAGAAAAAACCACCTTCCAGCTGAGGAGGAAATTAGGTAAAGGCGATGGAAATAAATAGGACATATATTACGCAAATCATCAAACTGCATCACGAGGCAAGCCCTGACTTGGAATCCTGAAGGGAATCAGAAAAGTGGAAAGCCAGAGAAAACATTACGTCAGGAAATAGAATCAGATATGAAAAGGATGAATAATGACTGGAAGGAGCTGGAAAGGATTGCCCAGGACAGGGTTGGATAGAGAATGCTGGTGAGCGGCTTATGGTCCTTCACGAGGAGTAACAGGCGTACGTTATTAACGTTTTTAAAGCAGAACCTGACAACCCAGAACAAAAGACACTAGTTGATATATTTATAAATATATCTATCTGACACAAATACTAATGTTGTCAAGTGAAGTAATAATAATAATAGAAACTATGTGACTCACATATCTAGTAGAGTCTTATGTACTTATTGTTTAGAAACTTTTATTAATAATGATAAGTAGAAGTTCAAAGACGAAAAAGAAATGTGATGTTCGCATAGACAACTTCTTCAGATGAAAGCTGATTTATTTAATTTAATTAACTTACTTTAGAAGAATACATAGCAAAAAGCATTGGTGCATTCACATCTGTTTCATCGGGAAATATTTCTACTGCAATATCACGCAATGAATATCGACGTGCTTCAATATGATGAATTGATTTGAAAGACCATGCAAACCATAATCGATTAGAAGGACTTTGATAAGGATACAATGATTCCTAAATAGGAAAACAAAATGTGATTTGATTGGTAGATTTGTATAAATACAATAATACATAATCTTTTGGGTTGGAAGAAAAATGCCACAAAAACAGGAAAATAAGATATGTACATAAATATTGTCTCATAAGTATGCTGGGATACTACAACAAAACTTACTGTAACTTGAATTCTGAACTACGTCTTATGACAATCTCATAGTCACGGAGTTGTATAGCCTTTAAAACTTCAACCAACGAGTCATGATAGTCCAACAGATGTCAGGATTACGGATCTATCTTTTATGCTAGACTCTATATTTCGAAAGTGAGAAGCTTTCTGATTTTTTCTTTCAATACCAGCCTCAGCTAATCATATACTTTACGGAATCCATCAGTATACAAATAGATGTAGAAAGGTGTGAATATATATTTATAACCGTCGTTGTGATAGATCGATTTTTTTAAAGTAATAAAATCAGTCCATAGAACGTAATGATAAAAAGATATAAACAAAAAACCTCAAACGGATAGATTTAAGAGGATGTTGGACATTGTAAAATCATATTCCATATCCCTCATCTAAGGTGATATATGGTGTTTGTTATTTATATCAACAGACATAAGTAGTATGTAACACTAATCGGAAGTGGAACTCCTAACAGCAGAAGGTTCAGAAGATCAAATCGAAGAGAATGGAAACAGATAATAATTGTAATAGCAGTGAAGGAACAATGAAAATTGAGACAGTTGATGGAGGATTTGCAAATGAAGTATGTGTTGAGTCGGCTTTCCAAGAACTGCAACGGAGACTCCAGAGGCCCTAAAGGAGCCATAGAGTCCCAGCCAATCAGAGCATAACGGAGCTTTCTAGAATATCGACGAGGTGTGCATAATATTCCTTTTAGCGGATTGGCCAAAATATGTTGATTTAACAAATGTTAACATCTATAAATACCCGTGTTTTTCTGTACAAAAATGAAACTTTGGAGTAAAGTGATTTCGCTTATTTTGCGCCTTTTCTCTCGAGTTCAGGTCGCTGTGTAGTTCTAGCTTGCGGGTTACCAGAATAGCTTAGGAACCGAATAAAGCGTTCAAATTAACAAGACTTATTAGTATGGTTTTCATTTTTACGAAAGAACTCTGTAATTTTATATTAAACAATGAATTGATCATCTCCACCTAAGTAATTGTTTACTATAGATAAACGACATTCATGATAAGATCTAATTTGACCGTAAAATGTCCAGTAGCACCATTTTCCAAACAAAACATAAAATGACATGAAGCTAAAAGAGATTTTGTGTTAAGAATTGATTAAGAAAAATCAATATAATGCGCTAAGTAAAAAAAAAACAACTGAATTACCTCAAAACTAAATACAAAACAAGGTGTTGAACTCAGTAAAGTTCACTAATAAAATGATAATGAGAATATGCTTTATAGTATGTAATTTAAAGTTTTTTTATTTCTAATGCAAACTTATTCATACCTTAAAACAAGAATTGTAATTCATGTCATGAATGTATGAAAGTAAATGATAGGGGGAATTGAAGGATTTCAAAAAGTCATGATCAAGTGAATGAAAGTAGTGTGGCTAAATGAATGAAAAGCAATCTCTAATTTACTCGTCTATGCTAATAGTAGCTTTAATATGACTAAAAAAATTAAGTTGCAGGTATGTACATTATGCTGATAAGTGCCAACTAGCACAAAACCTAAGTCAAACGGATCATTCTGGTGACAACTTCCAACCATTTAATATTTGACTACAGCAGTAAAGAGAACGTTTAATGCTACCAACCTCTGCCTATCGTATTCGACCCGATCGATGGTGATTCCCCAATTGAACGATAAGTTACCTGGTTATACCACTTCTATGTGTATCTACGAATTCAGCTGCTCCTGTGGAGAAAGCTATATTGGGCTCACTATCAGGCAACTGAACCAACGAGTTAGTGAACACCTCACTTCGTGGTTAGGAAAAGGTTACGTCAAAACAATACGCAGCTCGGTTCTATCACACTTGATCGATAGCGGTCATATAGTGGACAGAAACAAGTCGTTCAAAGTTATTTATCAGATTCCCACTAGTTTTGCTTATGGTGTTCGATCTCGTCTCTTACACATAGCAGAAGCTATAGGAATACGAGCCAACAAGCCAAGTCTTTGTGTTCAGAAGAAATTTGTAACATCCTTATCTCTCCTCTGGCCTTAAGTAATAAATGAATTTATTTTCTAACTTTCTCTTCGTTTATTATTTTTCTTCACCCCTTCCTACCACTTTATTTTCTCTCAACTATACGTTTCATGGTCCAATTATCTGAACATTTCTTATTACGTCATCTTATAATTTTATAATTGTTATCTCATTGTCTATATTTTCTCCTAATCATTGACCTATTTCAGATTATGTAACATTGATTTGAACCTTTATTATTATTGCTTATCAAAAACTAATGCGCCTGTTGTCACACCATCAATTTGTACTTTTCACATTTTACTTATTATGTAATCTTTTCCATTGTTATCATTGACTTATAAACCACCTTGATTAGTTTAATTCATTTCGTATATGCATATAAATATTACTGTATATTAGAGTAAAGCCTGATGAGGATCTAATCGAAAACAATATTGTTCGCTTATGTGTACGTTGTTCTAAATTTACAATATGGGAATATTTCAAATTTAATATTTCAACATATTGTATACTATGTTAAATTACAATTCAACTTAGTAGTTACAACTTGATCAGCAAAAAGGATTGATAAACATGACATTCATTGTTACAATTACTTAACGAGCGAACGGTACTCGGTTCGAGTCTCAGAGTAAATATCAACTCTGGGATGCAGGTAAATCCAGCTGACGAGTCCCGAATGGGATGAAATGCGCGTCAAACTGGATTCCATTGCTAACCACTATCCATCTTCGCTTAAACAGTAAAAAAAGTGTAGGTCTTTGCCAAGCATTTTTAACTTACAGGAAATAACAAGACACAAAGTAATATCGATCAAATTGAAATAATAATAACAATAATCTACTTACAATCTCAATAAATTGCACATTCTTACTGTCATTATTATTACAATCATCATTCATCAATAAATTTCTATTCATTAATGGATCAGGTTGAAATCTTAACCATGTTTGACCAAGTATTAAATCACCTTCAATAGGTGGAATATGTAGAATACCAACTAAACGACATGCCCAAACAGCTTGAATATGATATCGGCTAGCTGATGCTAATTGTATTAATGGAATAGATGATAATGGTAAACATAATGGTAAATTATGCCATGTACAAGCTGCACCAATTACAGGTGGAGAATGATTCATGATTGATGGTAAACCAATTAACGAGGCAAGTGGATGTGATTGACGCGCGGATACTGTAAAATTAAGAAACAAGAAGCAATAATATTGATATAACGATACTTTTCTTTACAAATAAAACCAATATTGAAATGGCGGCTTAAAGTTGAATACTAGTTCAGTGTGGGTTATTGATAGTAAATAGTGTGTTACTTAGTATATATCACTAAGATGTAACTGAAATTTTGAAGGAAATGATGATTCTTGTAAAATTTCAACCCCAGTTATCTAGGTTCACATTGAAAGATTTTACCACTGAGGTATTCAGGTTATGTACCGGCTAAAATGGGTTTCAATACCATAAGAACGGCCAATACTAACAAAACTGTATATACAATTTATGCTACTGTTAACACCATGAAACGCAAGCCTAGGATTTCCTGACGACTACTTCTAACCCTGTTACATCCAAATGGAGTGTACGTGATATCTAGTCACTCAGACTAGCTTATTAACACAATTTGATCAGCACTATTGATTAGGTCTTAGTGTGGCCTATTAGTATAATGTACACACCAATGAGAGGATTATACTGAGATTCTGCAACGAGACTGATAAAATTTAATCAACACTAAATGTTCGAACAAAAATGACATTGATTACTACCATTTATTGACGAAACATTTGCAAATATCAAGTTTTACAGGATGTCAAATGAAAGCATCTCCGACTGTGGAGCTAGATGAAGCAAACCTGAATATCAATCAAATGGAGTATCAGTTCTTTCAAGATTATTAACAAATCAGGGTGAAATAGTATCTAAAGTACATTAAATACAAATTAGTTTATCTGAAAGACTAGACCATTTGTGATTAAACAATTTAACTTGGTTCATACAAAAACAAATATGATGTATTATGTGGTTCCAAATAAACATGATAAGGGTTCACATCAAAATGTTTCAGTTCTACAATTGGAAAATTTAGTGAATAGAAATAATTTTAATATAGTTTCGAACTCAACTCGTTAGGTCGACTTGAATAGTAGATTATAATTTAAAATAAACCTAGGAGAGATTCCATGATATTTTGATTGAGATCATGAAGTGATTGATGTTAGACCACTCTTGAAAAACTGGAAGCACTGGATGGATGTTTCGTCTTCAGCAGTGCTCATCCACAACACCGTTCGCGGGATTCGAACCCAGGGCCTTCAGTCTCGCTCGCGAACGCTTAACCACTAGACCACCGAGCCGTCGTCTAACAGTGCTAATGCTTCGCCTCAACCAATCCACGAAATTTCGCGACCATCTTCTATGGTACTGAGGTATATACCTGTCTCTACCCGACACGGAATTGCTCCACTAGTCACAGCTCCTCACTAGAACTCAGAGAATCCCCTCACGAAGCTAGTCACTAGTGAGCGCATGATAATTATGAAAATGAGGTTGTGTAGATTATTATGTTTTTGATTGAGATCATGAATCGGGTGATGTTAGACCACGATTAAAAAACTGAAATGCTATCGCATTATCCACTTAGCTACTGAGTCCTGATAGCCACCTGAACATCAATTCTGGGATGCAATGATATCCAGCCAACAAGTCCCAAATAAAACGAAACGCGCGTTTTGGATTCCACTGCTAGCCACTATCCATCTTTGCCTATAAAATTGTATGTTTTCTTAATATTCACCGACTAAGACAATATATAATGAATTTAATTTCTATCCAATTACGTATACATACAATCTGTTATCATAACACTTTGTTTCACACCATATGTCTCTTACACACTAATGCCAATATCTACTTTAAACATTGTTAACATGGATTGGAAAACATACTTAGTATACAGTGAACCGAAGAACCATGTACCTTATTTATATTTGATAATTTTGATATTTTGATTATATTTTCCTTGAAAAAGCTTGAGCTAGATTATCAGACGAAACGTTGAATTTACTTCAAATTCATTTGTTGAGATTTTACAAATACAACATTCTTCCTCTTTATATTTTTCATTCATCTTACTTACTTACGCCTGTTACTCCTAATGGAGCATAGGCCGCTGACCAGCATTCTACAACCCACTCTTTCCTGGGTCTTCTTTTCTAATCCCATCCAATTCTTGTTCATTTTTCTCATGTCTATCTCCATTTCCCGGTGTAATGTGTTCTTTGGTCTTTCGTCCTCCTTTGGCCTTGAGGATTCCATGTGAGGGCTTATCTTGTGATGCAGTTGGGTGCTTTCCTCAATGTGTGTCCTATCTACTTCCAGCACTTCTTCCTAATTTCTTCCTCCGTTGGGATCTGGTTTGTTCTTTCCCACAGTTAGTTGTTGCTAATAGTGTCCGGCCAACGGATCCGAAGTATTTTACGTAGACAACTGTTAATAAACACTTGTATCTTCTGTCTCGACATTTATATTGAAAATTGTTCATCCATCTATTCAACAATAATACAGGTATTACATAAACAGAAAAAACAATAAATAGATAACTAAATCTAGTCTTTTCTTACATAGATTCGATCGTGAAGTTGTATGTATTAAACGTTCAGCCATTGGTAAATGTGTATAATAAAATCGACCATGTTGACGTAATGAATCTTCTACAGGGTCAACACACCAACCAAATGGAGTAGAGTCCGAATGATAAAATAATCCTCTTTATAAATAGAAATAAATAAACAAACAAGCAAAATAAGCAATAATAAGAGCTTTATTAACAACAACAAAAATGACACGAAAATATCAGTTCGATTTCTTTTGTTTTTATTCAATTAACTATGTTTAGTTCTAAATTCACTTGGTATTGTTTTGAGATTAGATGGTGGTTGGATGTAGTCGACAGGAAACCCTGGACGCGGGTTTCGTGCTACTTGGCACTCGCCAGCAAGGTGTACCTGTGTAATCTTGAGAGGACTGGTGCTCCCTGGAGGATTCAATCCCGTGTCACCCTCTCGACTACCTCCAACCACCATCCATTCTCATTACATAGTGCCCGCAGTGTCGAGTCACTTAGACTGGTGGCCACATTGCAACATAGTCGATAGCATTCGATCTGCACTAAATAAGGACTTGACACACATGACATTGATCACCACCCAGTGATCAATCAATTGTGACTTGGTGTTGTCTATTTGAATCTTCTCATTGATGTTTAGGACTATAATAGATCAGACACTTATTGGCATATCTGCTATCCTGTGCGTGTTGCCTTGATATAGGCTTCATTCACAAACATTATAAGCAAAAATGGATAGTGGCTAGCAGTGAAGTCCAAGACGCGCGTTTCATCCTATTTGGGACTTGTCAGCTAGATATACTTGCACATCGGAGTTGATGTTCCCTCTGGGACTCGAACGCGCACTCTGGATTCCACTACTAGCCACTATCCATCTTTGCATATGTGTAGTCCTGTTATTGTTTCTGAATGGTTATTGATTATTTTCAATATTCAGTGTCAGTGGATCCCATATGTATAAATTTACGGAATTGTAAGCTCTCTTTTTATTCATATCACTTCCAACCTCTTACATAGGGACGCCTTTTGTCATACATCGAAAAATCAATAACAATATACCTCTCGACTAGATATAAATGTATCAACAGATTAATGTTACACCAAAGGAATCACTATTAAAATATTTTGTCTTAATGATTATCTTCCTTACACTTCTACATAAGATTAAACAAAAGTTACCATTTGAATCATGATGAAGTATATACATGTCACAAACTGTCTGACCATTACTACATATCTCGATACTATCGATTTATAATTGATAAGCATAAAAATCATTTTTACTGAACGACATAAACCAAACAATTCATGTAATACTATTATTTGGCTGCTTACAGTGGAAGTAGATAGAACGGGGTTCGAATCAGAGAAGGATCAACTATAGATTAATGGCTTCAAAATCAGATTCAGTTGATTTATGGATTACTTGAACAAATGACTTCATATCTCAAGTATTTCCAAGACTGTTTGATTTAGGACTATGAATATTAGTGAAGTCTAGAAGGAACATTTTGCTTTATTTAGTGAACACACTTGTACCTACTTAAATCCCGAAATGTTATTCTAAATGACCTAAAAGATAACGAGGATAACCCTTTGGAGTTTGAAGTAATGAACAATCGATTTGGTGAAAGCATATTCAGTTGACAAGTAACAGACACAAAGAAACATCTCTCCTAAATATTCGCAACATTCAATAAACAAAGTAAAACTGTAAATCAGAACGTAAATTTTCATTAAAAAAATCAATTGTATTACCTGCTATGACTTAAATGCTCAGCTACACGAGCCCAAAGTACAGTACCCAATGGGCCTACAATACGTTTACGTTCACTATAAGCATCTAACCATGCATTATGACCATCAACGCATTGTTTACGTGCTTGACTACACAATTGTGTAATAGGAAATTTTCTTGGTAAATATTTTTTCGATGAAGCATTCAATGATAAAAAGAGATTTTCATTATTTGTTAATTTGTTATTAGTTGATTTTGGCCAAAACATTTGTATCAATTGAACAAGTATTGACTTGAAAAGTTAACAAAAAAAGACAAACCCGAAAAAGAGTAGATTTGGATAATTCAGTTAGGAATACAATGGAATTAGTGAATACAAACAAATCTATGAAGTCACTTACATGTGGACAGAGTGAGTCATGTTGGTAGATGTAGAATACCTGGTTGGGATCCGCGAGATGATAGCAATCGATGATTAGAGACCTTGAATGACATGGCTCAAAATCGTTTGCAATGGGGCAGGTGCATCCGCTGTTTGTGTTCTCCCGGATTCTAATCTTCTGAATTCTTCATGTCGCTTTTCTTTTTCTCTTTCCAAATTTATTTAACTGGATTATACTCCTTGAATAACATCTTCGAACCCTAATCTTTCCGACCACTGCTTACACTCTTACTACCTTTACCACTACGGGATTTGAATGGACAACTGCATCTCTGTGCTAATGTGTTATAACAACTCGAACTGATGTACGTACGTACGTACGAAGTTCTACGTTGTGACTGACTGACTGACTGACTGATAAAATAAATATGTAGGCAATATTATAAGCATTGTTATATGAAGATGAGATTTCTGTTGAACAATTAGGTAAGCTGGAATATTAAATACTAATTTAACTTCTAACATTAGGAAACTTAAAAAAGACAGAACCTAGAACTAGCAAGATCTTAAAGTGAATAAGAATATGTTCAACCACAACATCAGAATATAATGACCCATATTTCTAACCACAAGACATGAAGATTTCGATGCTCCATTCCATGATTGATACCAGATAAACTTTGTTTAGAATGGAAGGAAACATTCAGTTAACCCCAACTGATTTCTGCTTATGATTGCGATGACAGTAATTCACATGAAATTATAAAGCTTAAAAAAGGCCCAGAAACTTCCGTTTGCCAAATTAAAAAAGTGTTAATCACTAAAACTGGTCACAAAAGTTCATAGAATGGTCTTCTTGACAGAATTTTAAAGATTTGAAATCTTCATTAAGATGAGATCATGAATTTATATAACTTGACAGATTATTGAATATTCCACTAATTGAAAACATTTCACGATGTAATCCCTTGAACTTTACAATTCTGGTAGATAAATTGCTCATTTGTTTACTTTTAACTAGATACTATAAATTTTCTTCAACCAAATATCACTACTTTTAGACTGATCTCTATCAGTTCGTATGATTAGTGAAGGTTGATGATAACAGATACGAAAATCATTTTAAAGCTTCTTATCTACTTACTCAAAGCTGAGAAAAAAATCATAAACGTGTAAAGGAAATCATATAATTACTTAATTTTTGATTGAGATCATGAACTGATTAATGTTAGATCACCATTGAAAATGTGGAAGCACTGGAAGACCGTTTCGTCCTATTATGGAACTCCTCAACAGTGCGCGTCCACGATCCCGCTCGTGGGATTCAGACCCAGGGCCTTCAGTCTCGCGCGCGAACGCTAAACCTAACGGACCACTGAGCCAGCACCCAATGGTGTTAATGCCTAACCTCAACCAATCCATGAAGTTGAGCAACCATCTTCCATTATATTGAGTTAGATACCTGTATCTACCCGACACGGATTAGCTCCACTGGTCACGGCCGTCCAGTGCTTCCAGGTTTTCAATGGTGGTTTAACATCAATCGGTTCATGATCTCAATCTAAACTTAACAATCTCCACAACCACTATACTGATAATTACTTAATTATTATTATTATTATTATTATTATTATTATTATTATTATTATTATTATTATTATTATTATTATTATTATTATTATTATTATTATTATTATTATTATTAGTGTGTTACTAACAAAGGTTACTCAAAATGATTTTTATCTAATTTAATTATCTAACACTAGTGGCTCTCTTCTCATTGGTTTCTACTACGTACAATGTCCGTCAACGTTACTTCCAAGTCCTCATTACCCTATATACACTAAGTTGTACCATTTGTAAGGTGTTTGGATATCGAATTTCCCCATGGTTTATCTTCTTCCTGTTTTAAAAGCTAACTGTTAGAGTGTGGCGTTACAACTACCAACATCGAGTCTGTAATAAAACCGTTCATATTAGAGAATAGCGCAATCACTTCTCGATTCGCAAGTGCCGTGAGCCCATACAGAGCCTTAACAATTAAATATAACAAACTGGTAACAGAAGTTCATCCAATTAATAAACACCATGAAAATATGAGAAAAAAATCTAACTTGAAAAGAAGTAAAATACTCGCTGCCTTCTCCTGGCGAGGATGTTGGTTACGAAATTCAGAGGACAAAAAGTGAATAGCCGGCGTTTTAACCGGGTTGATGGACACGGGGAATCCACCTAGGGGAGTTAGATAACCTTGATTCCAAACAAATGGTTTACATGGCATCCAGAATCCTGAAGGGACGATTGGCGTATGAATCAATCGTTGGCCAACGTCTACCATGGGACTGCATCTCCTGACGTTGATCCACTACCTTTTGGTACAGACCTTCAGGTTTAAGGCTTAAAGAGTGGCTCTCTAAGAAAACTGCCTCCTTCAATCTGAGCACTCGAGCAGTATGAGGGCCCATACACAAATCAAGTGACTTGTGTGGCGCATATGTATTCAGTGCCTCTTTGCACTAATATTTATGTGTTCAAATAAATAAATAAAAATGGGGTTTTGTGGATATTATAGTAGTATAATAGTTGACTTCATGAGTCAATTGAAGCTAGACCATCATGGAAAACCTGGAAGCACTGGATGACCGTCTCGTTCTATAATGGTACTCCTCAGCGGTGCGCACCCAGAACCTTATCATTCTCACGCACAAGCGCTTAGTCTCTAGACCAGTGAGCCGGACGGCATCCAACGGTGTTAATGTCTAACTTCAACTAATCTATGAAATTCAGCGACACATCCACCACTGTCATCAGTGAGTTACTATCTCACAACAGACCCAGCTTCTCACTAGAACTCCAGGAAATAACTTCTTGAATCCAATCACTAGGACAAAATGGCCATCTAATACTTGCAAGTATTCCATGCTGATCTAGCTTCAATTGATTCACGAATTCAACTATTAAGTAAATTAAAAAGAAAAAAACAATATTCACAATTACAAACCTTTTTATCATGAACCATAGATACACTTTTATTATTTGTAGATAATTTTAAATGTATCAATTTGTTTAGATCAGGCAGTGATAATTTCCATTGTTCACCAAGTTTTTTATATTCAATTTTAATTATATCATGATATGTATACAATTCAGATGGTGTAACATGATTGAATTTCTCTTGTATCCAAGGTGATAATAATATAGATGGTAAATTTTGTATTGATTTATCACTGATAATATGATTATTGATAAGTATCATTTCAATAATTGTATAAAGTTGAGTTAATTGTTGATTTATCATATTTGTTTCATTATTAGTTGATAAGTTGAATAATAAATCATGATTTATATTATGATGCATATCTAATGTATTGGATGATATGTATGTGAACCATATTGATAGATTTTGATGTAACCAATATTTTATAGCAATTAGATTATTCCAAAATGTAGGGGAATACTAAATAATTAATAAAATAGAAAATAGGATATGAATAAATATGTTAGATCCCTATGAGAATAATCATTGGTAACTTTGGGGATCTATTTGTGGACCACTAGTAAACGTATATTTTTATCGTATAGTTGTTAAGAAACTAAACTATACATATTCATGTCCCTCTTATTATGAGTTTTATTTTTACCTATGGACTATTGTTATACGATTTATCATTCATGAGTTAAACTTAAGTCTACCAATCACTATCTCCCATATTCACAGCCACATTTGGCTAAATCTTATACAGGCGTTGTTTCCTATTTTATTGGTACGATGTGGTAGATCTAATTGGGATATGAACCCAATGTGTTTGAAATAGATCAATGTTCCTGCTATGTCTAGAGCTTAGATTCTTAATATACCACGTACAAATTGAGCATTCAAAAGCTAGAAACATCCAAGTCATTAATGAGAAAAACGAAGACAAGTGAAAGGAATACTTTTCCAAATAGTGTATATTGTGGTACAAAACTGTCAGGTATTTATAGTTTTCGGTAAAAACGAATTTATCATTCAGTCAGTCAGTAACAACGTAGAACTTCGTATATACGTACATCAGTTCGAGTTGCCATATCACATTGGCACAGAGATGCAGTTGTCCATTCAAATCCCGTAGTGGCAGAGATAGTAAAATTATAAGCAGTGATCGGAAACATTAAGATTCGAAGATGTTATTTGAAGAGTATAATCCAGTGAAATGAATTTGAAAAGAGAAAAAAAAGAGACAAGGAGGATTCAGAAGATTAGAATTTGAGAGAACACAAAGAGTGGATTCACCTGCGCCATTTCAAACGATTTTGAGCCATGTCATTCAGGGTCTCTAACCATCGGTTTCTATCATCTCGCTGATCCCAACCAGGTAGGCTACACCTACCAACATGACTCACCCGTTTCCTAACAACTTCACTACTTACTCGGTGGTCCCAGGATATACGAGCAATGTTTCGAAGACATCTATGATCAAATACTAGTAACCGACGAATATCCTCAACTCTTACCGGCCATGTTTCACTGCCATGAAGAAGGACGGAACGAACTGCTGCGCAGTAAACACGTCCTTTGATTGATAGACGGATATCTCACCTACGCCATAAATAACGCAAGTTAGCAAAAGCTAGTCGAGCCTTCTGTATCCGTGCTGAGATTTCATCACACACCAGACCACAAGGGCTGATGAGACTTCCAAGATAAGTGAAGCGGTCGACACGCTCAATTACTTTACTCCCTATCATTAGTTCAGGTGTCAATGCAACCCAATCCTGGAGCAACATTTTGTATTTCGAGAGGGGGAAGCGCATCCCGAACATGCTTGCATTGTTGCTTAGAGTGGTCAGAAGACTCTGCATTTTGTCAGCGTCTTCACCAAATAAAACTATGTCATCGGCATATTCAAATTCAACACGTGAATCTCCTGGTAGAAGTTCAACCCCTGGAAATTTAGACGAGGAAAGTGTCATCTCTAAAAGCACGTCAACGACAAAGTTAAACAAGAATGGAGAGAGTGGATAGCGCTGTCGAACACCACTTAAGGTAATCAATTCTGATGACAGTTCGCCATGAGCTCTAACTCGACCAGTTCAGTTGTGTTCGAGTAGAGAGCATTTACAAGCTTAATGTACTTCTTTGGTACTCCTTTCAGTGACAAACACTGCCATAGAACCTCACGATCAACAGAGTCGAATGCCGCCTTAAGGTCGAGAAATACTACCATTGTGGGGCGTCTGAATGTGTGTCTGTATTCTAGAACCTGACGTAGTGTGAATATCTGATCTATACAACCACGTCCAGGTCGAAAATCAGCCTGATTTTCCCTAGTCTGTTCTTCACAAGCTTTAGTATGTGTCCAAGTATTATTGAAGCTAATATTTTAGACACTATATAAGTCAAACTAATTCCTCTGTGATTTTATATTTCTATTTTAACACATAGATAATGGTACAAGTAGGCACCAAATACATATGCGCCACAGAAATCTCATTTGATATGTGTGAGGGCTGTGATACTGCCTGGGTCCCCAAACCGAAGCAGGTGGTTTTCCTAGGGGGCCACACCCGGAACCTTCGACCTGAAGGTCTGATCTACAAGGCAGTGGAGCAACGTCGGGAGATGCAGTCCAATGGAAGCCGGTAATCGACGATTGGTTCATAAGCCATTCGTTCCTTCAGGATACTGGTTCACATGTGCACCATTGGTTTTGAATCGGGGATTTCCAGCTCCCCTAGGTGCACTATCCATGCCCACCAACCCGGTTAAAGCGCCAGACATTTGGTTTTCGTCCTCTCAATTTCGTAAACAACACTGTTGTCACGAGAAGTCAGTGAGTAGGACTTCCCTGGCAGAGGCAATATACACGTGGTCATGTGAGAGCACTTCGAGAGGGAGAGAGGACTCTCCGCATTCTCGGCCGTACCAGGGCATTTAAGGGCTCGTTAATTGTCACAAGAAGACTTTTGTCCTTTCTTAAAGACTGGAACAATCAGTGATTGAGACCAGTCAGATGGGATTACGTCCAGTTCCTAAATTCTATCTAAGACCTCGGTTAATCTCACTGCTAATACAGGACCACCATCCTTAAAAATCTCAGGAGTAAACCTGTCAGGGCCGGCTGCTCTCCCTCGCTTCAGATTTCCTATGGCTTTTTCAACTTCGTAAAGAGTCGGAGGACCTACATTAACTTGCCATTCAGGTTGACTGGAGATCGTGGCAAACCGAAGTGTGGCTGAAGGCCAGTTGAACTGATCCCTAAAGTGTTTTGCCCATCGATCCAATCTCCTGGATTGAGAATGAATAATATGTCCATCTTTCTCAGAGTGTTTCGCTAACGGTCGGGTTCCTAATTCCGGTTTCCTTAACAAGTCTGAGCAGTTGTCTGCTATTACCTATTGCCACTGCCTTTTCCATCTCTCTTGCTTTCGCTACCCACCACTGTTCACGATCATTGCGTAGGCTTCTTGTCAGCTTGCGCTTAAGCTGACTCCGCTGCTCATCATGTTCAGAGCCAGGTGGAATGAGTCTCCGAGCACCTATCAGTGCAATAGATGCTGCTGAGATCCAGTTTTGCTCCCTAACCTTTTGGTTTTCCGTACTAGCAGATATCATAGCTTTTCGAATGTCATTCCATGCTGCCTCAGGGTGGGCATCACATACATGGCTGCCTAACTGTTTTTCTAGTTGTTCCTGAAATATACTCTTAGTTTGACTATCATTAAATAGGACCGTAATAGGTTCCCTTGCAACGTCTTTCCTACGTCCAGTAAAACGCAGGCAAATACGTGCTCGCACTAGAACATGATTTGAATCTAAGCATGTGCTCCAGAATGAGCGACAGTCTTCTATCGAGCCCCTCCATCGGTGGCTGGTAGCGATGTGATCTATTTCAGTCTAACGTTGGGACGAATTAGGAGGTCGCCATGCTAACAGATGTTTTTGCTTATGCTTAAAGTTAGTATTTGCCAGAAACAGGCGGTTATCTGAGCATAGCTGCAACAGACGGTCGCCATTATCGGTCCTTTGAGCCACGACGCTATAAGATCCACCTAGGTGTCTTTCCCTATCGCTTAGTTTACCTACTTGAGCATTAAAGTCACCGGCTACTATTACTACATCACAGCGCCAAGCTTTTCGGAGAAGGCCGGAAAGCTTTCCGTAAAATTCATCTTTTACATCATCTGAGCTGCAGTCAGTGGGAGAATAGGCAGAAACGACGAAGAGGCAACGACGTGTGTCCCTATCTTTTCGGATCCTTACTGTTCCGTTTGGTTGGACAGCGCACAAACGGCTGTCTACTGGGATCCACTCTAAGAGAGCTAGTTCTGCCATAGGACTCAATGCTATACCTACGCCGGCGAGGCCACAAGAAGCAGCATCACGGCTTCCAGATACACAAACTGTGAATCGAGTTGGTTCTTTGTTTTGACATGGTGAGGTCAAATGAATGACGCTACTCGGATCCTGTATGCGCGTTTCGGAGACGCAGCACACATCGATGGCGCAAGATTCTAAAGTCCTAGCTAAGGAAGCCTGTTGTCCTATTCGGCACAGTGTTCGGACGTTAAGAGCTTCTACATGTAGTTTAGAGCGTGGTTTCAGGCGACCAGGAATAACGTTCTGCGTACTCGAATCGTTTGCCCTAGCGGTGCGAGGTGAAAAAAGGACGTGGGAAGGGTTAGTCAGGGAGATAAGAGTGGTAATAAGAGGTATGCGAAGGATTTGAATGTGACCAACTTGGTCTTGTGTGCTGTTACGGGTATAAGGGCTGGTGTCACTTTCTGGCTGCCCACACCGTGGAAAGGTATTTCTTGAGGAACCTGAAAAGAAAATTGGATTAGTGTTGGCCTGAAATATTCTTTAACAAGATGGTTCGATGGAATATCACCGGCCCTCTCTGAGCTCCTTAGAGCTTCTTCAAGTTAACCAGTGAACTGTCTGCATAGCTTCTATGATAATCGAGCATCAACAGGTGTTTTAAGAAAAATCTAAAGATAAAGCTTAATCAATATTCTGTTAACAATATGGTTGACATTAATCGGTGAATAACAAGCAAGTGGTCTAATAATTGATGACTTGCCACAAGACTAGAAAGTTTTAAGTTCGACTATTAAAGAGTTTCGTAATATCATGGAATAACTTTCTAGTGCTGTCTGGTGCCAAAAAAAGAAACCAATCCATAACAAACATCACATAGAAATGAATATCATAATAATAAGCAATTCAATATAATCTTCATTAAAAATCAACTTACCATTGGTGGCAGGGCTGCTAAACATGAATTTAACAAATAAGAGTCTTCATTAAATAGTTTTAATAAATAGGTAACTAAGAAATCAACAGCTACATCAAATTCTGGTAATTGTATACGTGAAACAAGAATTCGACCAAGTGCTTTATTGTATAAATTCATAAAATCATTCGTTGTTATATAATTTGAAATATTTGGAATGTTTAGTAAATTACCACTCTGCAAGAATACACATATTTAAAGAGAGAAAAAAAATGAACCAGTGATAGAGATTATAGATAAGTATAGTGTTGTGGAGATTATTAAGTTATTGATTGAGATCTTGAACCGACTGATGTTAGACCACCACTGAAAAACTGGAAGCACTGGACGGCCGTTTCGTCATATCGTGGAACTCTTCGGCAGTGCGCATCCACGTTCCCGCGCGCGAGATAGTAGGCTAAGCGTTCGCGCGTGAGACTGAAGGCCATGGGTTTGAATGCTGAAGCAGGACTAGTAAGGGTTTGATGTGAACAGAGAAACAAGAAGGCTTGACTTACTACGAAAGCTATTTTTGGGGACGTTATCTTGTTTAATTTAAAGCTTGTAAAATAGCAACATTTAATTTTGTGCCTAATCTATTCTACAGACTATAAGCTTTCGTTTGATGTTAAAAAGCTACTGTATTTTAAACGTAATCTTTTGTACTCTGTCTTCTACGCTAATCCCTAGTTTTGGACATAATTGTATTTTCCTAACTGTCTGTGCGTTGTGGTTAGTCATCTATCTATTCATGCATATTTTTACACTAATTTGAATCGGGAACCAAATCGGAATCGGGAATAAGTCGAGTAGTGTTTCAGTTGATTTATCAGCCAATCAGATCCTTCTTAGTGCAGATTAAATGCTATCTACCAAGTTGCAATGTGGCCACTAGTCTAGATGACTCGACATTGCGTGTACTATGTTGAAATAAGATGATGGTTGGAGATAGTCAACAGGAAACCCTGGAGAGCTGGATTTCATGCTATTTGGCACTCGTCAGCAATATGTAACCGGTGCTCCCTGATAGATTCGATCCCATATTACTCAGTTTCACAGTCAGAGACGTTACAACTAAGCTATTCCGGCCGCACCGAAATCCAAGACCTGTTATCCTAAATCTGATTATTTCGTCCATAAATTGTAGTCTCGCACTACAAATTCATTACATAAAACAGAATAAAAAAGGAATAGGAGAAAATAAACAGAAAAGCATATTTTTAATTAGTATGACACACCTGAATATGTTGTGCTGTAGTAAACATTGAAGTGATAATAGCTTGTTCCAAACTTTGATGCATGCATAAAAATAAACTCGTATGCTTTGAAAATAACAAATGTCTCTCTCTCATTATCTCACATCTAGAGTTCTTGTTGTTGTCATGATGGAAACAATATTTCGACAGATCACATGAAGTTTGTTTTCTATCAGCAAGATCATGATGATGTTGATTAGGAGTAGAAGGAGTAGTGCAAGCTTGATTCATATTTTGATCTACATCAACCTCTTCCCCTAAATCAACATGAAAACTTTGTATTCTTACAGAAACTGGAGAATGTGTTGTATTTTTATGCTTGGATGTTTCATGCATTGAATTTAACTGATTCAGGATATTAATCATTTGTTCATCTCGATAAGCTACAACAGAGAGTTGAATGATACATCGCATTTTACAACATGTGGTTTAGAAGAATTCTGTTTGTTTGATAAATTGGTCTACTAATATTTTTCTGAGAGTTAAAATGATTTATGTTAGATAACTAACATGCAATAACTCATTCGCACGGTGGTATGAAAAAAAATCTAGCTTTTGTCGATCTATTACAACTCCTTGTTGAGATCGTTGCCATAGTGCTTCAGAAGTTATACGACATAAGTCAGTTACGTTGCTAGAATAGTTTTATTCGACATTCTTTATAAAACTGAAAAAAACTCATGTAAAATCGGTAGCAGAAATAATCAGATACATTTCTTTAAGAATGTCTCATTGAGTAAAAACGATAGAGGTAAACGTATATAATGCTCATTTCTTCCAAAGAATAATATACATTTCATGAAATTCAAGCATCAGCAAACTCCGCATCAGTGGGCCTCAACATACACAAGGGGAAAACCAAGATCCTCAAATACAACACATAGAACACAAACACAACCACATTTGATGGCGAAACTCTATAAGATGTAGAATCCTCCACGTACATAGGAAGCATCATCGATGAACAAGAAGGATCAAATGCAGATGGAAAAGCAAGGGTCATATTCTTATAACTGAAGAACATATGGAACTCAAAACAACTTTCAACAAATATCAAAGTCACAATCTTCAATACGAACGTCAACACAGACAGTTATACTATACGGAGATGAAACTTGGAGAACTACTACAACCATCATCAAGAAGGTACAAGTATTTATAAATATTTGTCTACGCAAAATACTCAACATACATTCACCGGATACCATCAGCAACAGCCTACTGTGGGAGAGAACAAACCATCTTCCAGATGAAGAAATTAAGAAAAGACGATGGAAATAGATAGGACATAAATTACGGCAATCACCGAGCTGCATCACGAGGCAAGCCCTAACATGGAATCCTGAATGGTAGCGAAAAAGAGGAAAGCCAGAGAAAACATTACGTCAGGAAATAGATTCAGATATGAAAAGGATGAATAACAACTGGAAAGAGTTGTAAAGGATTGCTCACGACAAGGTTGGATGAAGAGTGCTGGTGGGTGGTCTATGCTCCTCCACGAGGAGTAACAGGCGAAAGTAAGTAAGTAAGCAATTCAAGCATAGACCTACACACACGCACAACCAGGTAAATGTAGGATCTTCAGAAAACACTATTTGTAACTCTCTAACGATAAAGAAACGGGTTTTCTATAACGGTATGAAAATACATTTCTATGCCGTTATTGTTATTCACAGTCAAAAGAATCTGTAAAATACTTCAACAGATTTATTAATTAACAGTTAAAATAAAGTTTCAAAACATGAACTCATTTCAATCAGATAATCATTGAAATCTAGCAAACTGTTTTATTTTACAATCAGACCAAACACCGATGTGTAGACCAGAAAAATGTCTAGTGGTATTTGTCATTTTGTTTTAAAAATCGCAGTCAATATTTAACGCAAAACAACATTTGATGGTATTTAATTCATTTTTATTTCGTATTCGTTGTTTGAATCATCCCATCGATGTTTGAAACTGTACAAACTAGTGCCTATCAGGACTTGGTAGCTAAGTGGATAACGTGATAGCGGACGGCACCGGATTCGAGTTCTGGAGTGAATATCAACACTGGGATACACATACATCCAGTTGACAAGTCTGAGGTAACAGAAGGAATGGAAACAGAAAGCAATTGATATGGAAATCCAGGAACAATGAAGTCTAAGACAATTATTGAACATTTTGCAAATGAAGTATTTACTATATGATTCTTAGACATTCTGTAATTTTGTGTTCAAATACATTTGATTATGGCCCCATTTGTGTTCTCGTTCCCTATACTATTATTATGAATAACAATAAGTAGCTATTGAATAAATCATGAACTAATCGTATCAAAAACAGTTTAGCTAACCAAAAAATGAACAATAATTATGGGTAAACATACGTGAATAAATCAGTACATTTACAGTACAATTTAATATCCATACTAAATGATTATAATGTAATTTTAAATTTTCACAAAGATACTTAACATTCCCATCTTCAGTAGCTGTTTGTATATCATCTGTAGTAATGAAAAACAGAGAAAGAGGAAGGGAAAGAAAACCCCAAATACAACGAAACATTGAAAATCGGTACAATCATCCAGATTATATCACAAAGTGTTCTTACCTAGACGAGCATTGAAAACCTGGAAGCAATAGAAACTCATTTCGTTTTAGTATGAGGCTTTATATTAGTGTACATTTAAAACCCCGCATCTGGGAATCGAACTTACGAATATGAATTAAGGTATGAAAAACTTACAATCTCGACAAATCCCTCAATACCAATAATAATTATTTCTAACTAACAATTCCATTTAGGGTGGAACTCTTGGAGTTTTAATGAGAAACAGTAAAAAATGACCATGCATGCTGAAAGAGAGCTATTCACTGCAGGGAGTGAGTGGGTGGGTGTTGCACAATGTGGTCAACTGATTGAAAGCAAAGATGTACGCGATTTAATTCCGGTACAAGACCAAGAATCCTAGTGTCGAATCCCGGACACAAGGTCGTAAATACACATTGTTGGAGTCCTATACCAGGACGAAAACGACCACCTAATGGTTCCAGGTTTTATATGGTACTTTAACCAATATCAGTTTTTTTATTTAAGCTATGAATTACTTAAACTGTAACGACTGAAAGTATCAATCGAGAAAACACCACGCTGCATAGCTGGTCGTTACCAAGAGAATTAAACCCATAGTCCTACATCGGACTTAATATCACATATTGTTATATTACATTCGGACGAATTTACCAAATAACATACGGGCATGTGTACAAATGTTTATCGAGAAAAGAAATCGAAGAATTTATTCAAGGGTGATGAAATACTTAATGAAATGAACTTATGAAAACTTAGAGTCAGATACAATAAACACAGGCAACATAGACGCATAGTTGAAACAAGTCATTGGATAAATCTTAAAACAATATTTAAAACTTTGTATGGGAAAAGCCGAGAACGGATTCTTAGGTTAACGGAAGCCTAAGCCACTAGAAAATTCAAGCATGTTTAGTGTTCAAACTTTAAATTTGCTCTGATAACGTTTAAGGGATAAGATTTACATTCATGGAATCGCAGTCCATTTGAATTTCAATATTTATAAGGTATGGAATATCTATCACTTTTTTTCCGTTCACTTAGTAAGTAAATGCTACGTATTAAACGAATTCATTTTCATTATTTTAATTGAAGCTCTTTTCATTCAAGAAGTATGAATACATTAACGTTTTGTGTTCATAGAAGATCTATGAAGATGATTCAAGTGAAATCTCTAGTGAAAATTATACTCAATGAATGGAAGTGTTGGAAAATCCTAGATATTTCATTTTAATTGAACAATGAAAAAAGGTTGGTTATTCTCATATATATTTGAACAGTGTGCTTATAACTATATGATAGTGATGGAGTTTTGTTCTCCTAACTGGATGGTTTGGTTGTGGAGTTTCCATCTTTCTTATGAACAAAATCATCAGCACAAACTTCAGACAGAAATGAAGTGTTCGAATTTCTCCACATGTGGTTCACAGCTTGTCCTACACAACTCGATGTCCATTGGTTCTTGTTGAACTTAAACTTGTCATTGCTTACTTTTTCGCTTTGGTTGTATCTCATATTGGTTTGATTTTTGTTTCTATATTTGTGCATAATTTTCCTGAATACTTGATAAATTGGATCGATTTCAATGTGCTTGTTGATTGTTGATGAAAGCTCCATGACCAAACCATCTAGCTCAGAGAACAAAACTTTATCAAAATCATCCACCTGAACTACAAATCTTCTCCACCATCACAAAAACTATATGATAGTTGTAACTTGTGTTTTCCATGTTATATTCTTTTCTTTTGGTAGAGTTTTGTTCTCTGAGCTGCATGGTTTGGTTGTGGAGCTTTCATCGTTCTTCTGAACGACATCATCAGCACAAACTTCAGATAGAAGTGAAGTATTCGAATTTCTCGATATGTGTTTCACAGCTTGTTCTGTGCACCTCCTTTTTTCTATTCTACTCTCTATTTAGGTTCCTTTGATATTTTATTTAACTGATCTTCATTAGTTTCGATATAAAATCACATGATAAGTAAATGTGTGACCAGGCTGTTCGAGATAAATCCCACATTTTGTAGATCAAGTCTGTCACGTCATTAAACTATTGAAAATTATAAATTATTATTATTATTATTTTACAGACACCACAACCAAAAATCATTCACCTCTTTTTACAGTTTAAATTAACAGTCAATAAATTGATGACCTGAAGTTATATGGTGAGGGATACGTGGTGACTGGATTGATGTAAAATATGCTCTAAATAAATCAGTCGATGAAGACTTACGGACACATAAGATGAATCGAAACCTCTATCCGGTATAATTTACATCACTGTCATATTTCAACGACTTTGTCATATAGTTATTTCTTTACGCTTCTTGCCCTTCGTGATACACAGACCGTCGATCAGGAATTATCAACCCACTATATGATGGGTTCCCTTTCCAAATTGTTGACAAGTGCTATTAATTATTTCGCTGTCTTGCCCCGATTCCCGACGCAATGTATTTTTTGGTCTTCCTCTTTCCTTTTACCCTTTAACAGCCTGTCTTATGGTTCAGTTTTGATGGTTCCCGTAATGTGTATCCTATCCGCCTCCAGTGTCTTTTGCTAATCTCCAATTCAGCTGGAAGCTGATATGTTTTCTGCCAGAACGCGTTGTTTCTGTTAGTTTCTGGCCAACAGATGTTCATCATTTTACGTAAACAACTGTTTACAAATACATGCATCTTCTTGAAACATCGGTTATGCTAATTTCGAGCTATCTACAGTGTACTACTACAATCAATCACTAACTGGATAAACTAGAATACAAATATAGTATTCACATGTACAAACACTAATCCACATTTTATTATAAAGTACCGGTGTCGATTCAAATATTTAAAAAAAACTTTCCCCTGGATAGACTCACTTTCTTGTTGTTTACCTATATTTTGTTGACTAAAGGCTACTGATTTGTTAAGTTCTTCTCCAATTCGATCTAACTGACTAATTGAAGTTTCTAAAAGACTATGTAAAACTCGACGAACAAGACATCGACTAACTGGTCCAGGATTCAACTGTACTTCTGAAGTTGAGAATAAAATTACAGAGAAAAATTATAATATGAAATTAATCTGACCATCCAATAATCTTCGAGTAATACCTCACCGTATAATGTTAAATATTTAGGTTAAAAGCATTCTATAATGCATCAAATATATAGAATAAATTCATTACAAATCTTAATTCATTTCTAGACAGAAATTGAACTTAAGAAGAAGAAATCTGCAGAATTAAAGGCATAAAATAACTGCGAAACCTAAGCTTTAAGACAACATAAGATGTGAGTGCATCTGCAGGATTCAAACCATCTCTAATCAATGTAATACAACGCACCAAAAAACACAAACTAGATGGTCTATTCCTACGACATAGCTTAGGACAGCAGTTAATTACTTTATAGAATGATTTTATTCAGTGGTTTGATCATTCCTAGCTTTCTTACAACGTATTCATCTGCCACATAACGTTACACGTCGTGATAGATGGTGTTTAGCATTACGTAATAAATGTCTTAACTACATTAATAAGTGAAGATCTACAACATGATCAAGTGCTAGAGTTGAAGCTATCACAAGTTCACTTAATCTGCGAACGAGAAACAAGACTCGGTGACCAAAGACCAGTAAACTAGCTATTGATGCATCCCAGCACCCCTAACTAGAAGGAGAAATCAAAGCTTGGAATGGAGAAGTATATTCTGCAAACAGCCAGAAACGAGCGATAACAATAAACACAATTTAAAACGTATATATACGCAACAGACCAAAAGCATTTAAAATATTTCCCAGTGGGAAATACGACATAAAGGTGACAAGAGCGCCTTTGGCGCGAAAACAAAGAAATTCAAATTTGTTAAATAGAATTACAAAATTAGGTCGTTTACCAAGTCAGTTCTGGGGATCTAACGTCCCCGACGTCAAGTGAGTTAGAAATTTTACCTAGTACTTTATATTTAACCTTAGTATGGTAGACCGAAAACAGATATCATCACAGTGGTTTTGAGGAAATTCGAACAATGTATTCGAAGGCATCAATGATCCAACACTAGTAATGTCAGTCAGTCAGTCAGTAACAACGTAGGACTTCGTACGTACGTACGTATATCAGTTCGAGTTCCCATACCACATTAGCATAGAGATGCAGTTGTCCATTCAAATCCCGTTGTGGTAAAGGTAGTAAAAGTATAAACAGTAATCTGAAAGATTAGGGTTCGAGGATGTTATTCAAGGAGTATAATCCAGTGATATAAATTTGGAAAGAGAAAAAAAGAGACAAGGAGGATTCAGGTGATTAAAATTTGGGAGAACACAAACAGTGGATGCACCTGCACCATTCCAAACGATGTTGAGTCATGTCATTCGACGTCTCTAACCATCGGTTTCAATCATCTCGCGGTCCCCAACCAGGTAGTTTACACCTACCAACATGACTCACTCTGTGCACTTGTCAGTGACTTCATGGATTTGTGCCATGTTTTGGTGTGGTCGCTCCTAGCTTTCTTGCAATCTACTCCTATACCATTGAACATCGCACGTCGAGGCAGTCGGTGATTGGGTATACGTAACACATGTCCCAGTCATCTCAACTGATGAAGTTTCACTACTTCATTAATGAATTAGCCATTTTTACCAAGTATCCGTTTCCTAACGACTGCATTACTTACTTGTTGGTCCCAGGATATACAAACGATACTTCTGAGACACATATGATCGAATACTAACAGTCTACGAATATCCTCTACTGTTACCGGCCATGTTTCACTGCCATAAAGTAGGACGGAACGAACTGCCGCATAGTAAACACGTCGTTTGGTTGATAGACGGATATCTCACCTACGCCATAAATGACGCAAGTTGGCAAAAGCTAGTCGAGCCTTCTGTATCCGTGCTGACATTTCGTCACATACGAGACCACAAGGGCTGATGAGACTTCCAAAATAAGTGAAGCGGTCGACACGCTCAACTACTTCACTCCCTATCATTAGTTCGGGTGTCGATGCAACTCAATCCTGAAGCAACATTTTGCATTTCGAGGTGGAGAATCGCATCCCAACACTAGTAATGTACTAATATTCTCTATTTTTTAACGATTATATTTTGTAGTCATAGAACAAAACAGAAATCTAGCAATAATAACGACAGTGATAATATCTAACGGTAACTTACCTGATTCCAAATTTACAACATAACCATCATAATCTTCATTATTTAAATCAGGTTTCATTGAAATTAAATATTGTAGAAAAGTTCTTATCAATTGAAATCGTAATGATGTATTCAATGAATAATGAAATACAGGACAAGATGAAGGAATTAATTCATTACTGAATTTTTCATCGATTATCATCCAACTAATTACACGACCAATTAAACGATTTAAACTAGTGAAAATAGGCATTAAGAGAGATGGAATAATAGACATTGGTCTATTAGTGTTATGATAATCATTATTATGCATATGTAATAATGAATTAGCTTCATGAATGCCAAATTCCAATAACCAAGCCATATTGTACAATACTGGTAATAAATTAGATTTGATAGCCGAACTAAGAACACAATTATCTGAATCCTATGTGAAATTCAAAAAGAAAATGGAGAATGAATTTGACCACTTTTGTTAACAAGATGATTCTGTAATAGAAAGACTGAATACAATTTTTGTTTATAAAATTACGAATGTAGACAGTATAACTCGAAATTTTTATCTTTATGATCTGAGAGGCTTGATGTGTTGAGAGAATCATTCAATATTTCCATAGGGAATCATCATTATTTAAATGAAGAATGAAAAACTGTACAGAATCCGCACCTGGAATAGATTGTTTTCTTTTTTGAGGAACAGTCATCGAGCTTTCACCTAAAAGTGTGATCAGATAACCCGTGAACAATATACATGCCTACACCATTCTTTGCCTTGGGAAACTGAAACCCAAATGTACTATTACTTTGCAAACTGCCCTAGTTTCTTTCTATATCATCATTAACAATGGTTACCAACCGAACAATACAATTTGACACTTCATTTTGCGCCAAGTAGAGGTAACAATTTAAACAAGAGAATATAAAGACGCAGCTATAGATAAACTACTGAGAGAATACAGAAGGGAATTGCAAAAACCTATAAACTAAACTTTAGTACTATATAACGACCTATTTATATATTTGGAAGATTATTGAATAGATCCATTTGTGTTAGGAAAGGGGTACTAGGTAAGGATGGCAAATCCATTAATGAAGTAGTGAAACTTCATCAGTTGAGATGACTGGAACATGTGTTACGTATACCCAATCACCGACTGCCTCGACGTGCGATGTTCAATGGTATAGGAGTAGATTGCAAGAAAGCTAGGAGCGACCACACCAAAACATGGCACAAATCCATGAAGTCACTGACAAGTGCACAGAGTGAGTCATGTTGGTAGGTGTAAACTACCTGGTTGGGGACCGCGAGATGATTGAAACCGATGGTTAGAGACGTCGAATGACATGACTCAACATCGTTTGGAATGGTGCAGGTGCATCCACTGTTTGTGTTCTCCCAAATTTTAATCACCTGAATCCTCCTTGTCTCTTTTTTTCTCTTTCCAAATTTATTTCACTGGATTATACTCGTTGAATAACATCCTCGAACCCTAATCTTTCAGATTACTGTTTATACTTTTACTACCTTTACCACAACGGGATTTGAATGGACAACTGCATCTCTGTGCTAATGTGGTATGGCACCTTGAACTGATATGCGTACGTACGTACGTACGAAGTTCTACGTTGTGATTGACTGACAGACTGATTCATGAATATTCAGCATAAATTGTAATCAAATGAATACATAATAATTCAAAAAACAAACAAACAAACATATACATAAACTAACCTGTAATAAAATAATGAAGGCATCTAAACCATAAGTACATATCTCAATTTCTGGTGTACTGGTTTCATCATCAGCATCATTATCATCATTTTTGATAGTAACCGTAGAAGAACTAGAATGATTTCCTTTGTGATGATCATCTTTATTATCTTTCTGATCAGATTTTAACTTTGTACGATTAATTATTTTTAATTTAACAATACAGCTTATTAATGCATCAATGAAACTACCAATCAATGTTGAAAATAACACTGGAAATGTAGATAACAGATAATATTTATGAAAATTAGGATTATTACAACGGTTATTATTATTATTACTAGTAGCAGAAGTAGTAGTAGTGGTAGTAGCATTCTTATTAGCTGGCAATTGATCATATCTCCCATTACTGACATTTGAATTATTATTTGCATTGTTGATAATATTTTCAAATTCGACAGAGATAATAGGATGGTGATGATGACACTGATGAATGTAAGTTGGTTCAGAGATAAATCCAGTTACATCATGCGAAGAAGATTCTAATAAACAATTAGTTTTCTATAATTGTAAGCAAAAAGAAAAAATAATAACGTAAATAAATAAACTGAAAATACATATATACATCTTTTTTTCAAATTTTCCAAATTTATTTCACTGGATTATACTCTTTAAATAACATCTCCAAACCCTAATCTTCCCGATTACTGCTTATACTCTTGCTACCTCTACCACTACGGGATTTGAATCAACAAGTGCATCTCTGTGCTAATGTGGTGTGGCAACTCGAACTGATGTACGTACGTACGAAGTTCTACGTTGTTACTGACTGACTTTTAGACGGTATTGATATCGACAAAATGGAAAACTGCCTGGATTCGGTAATATGCAATATTATATCCCGACAAAATGGTTGAACGAAAATACACTAGCATCAAAACTTAAAAGCCCTACATTCGATCCTGGGTGGAATTGTATAGAGCACTGATGAAGAGTACCAAGATAGGACTAAACAGTTTTTCAATGGTCTTTGTTATTCGGCAGAAATATATGAGAGATCCGTTTCTATGATATAAACTATCATCATTAAGTAAGAAAATCTGACCGGAGTTGATGATAATTCACATCCTAAAAAAGATTATTTATCATAGTTATCTAGAACTTCAGAATAATTCACTTTGAAACATCAATATATACTCGAAAAAAGCCTCAAAGAAATCTATGAACACTTGCGAGAAACTTGTATAATGAGAAATAATCTCGGCAAAACTATGATTTGTGAACGAACCAATCAGATTTACAATTAAAGATCATGGATTTGGGCGCAAATTTAATTTGTCTATTTGGCTAAGTAGAATTTTGGTATTAAAGGTGATGTCAGTTCATGATGAAAACCCTAAATCTAATTCCTAACCCTAACTATCAACTGTAAACTTACTTACTTACGATCGTTACTCCTCGTGAAGGAGCATAGGCCACCCACCAGCACTCTTCATCCAACCCTGTCCTGGGCGATCCTTTCCAACTTTTTCCAGTTGTTATTCATCCTTTTCATATCTGAATCTATTTCCTGACGTAATGTTTACTCTGGCCTTCCACTTTCCCGATTCCCTTCAGGATTCCATGTTAGGGCTTGTCTCATGATGCAGTTTGGTGATTTGCGTAATGTATGTCATATCCATTTCTATCGGCTTTTCTTAATTTCCTCTTCAGTCGGAAGATGGTTTGTTCACTCCCACAGTAGGCAGTTGCTGATGGTATTCAGTGAATGTATGTTGAGTATTTTACGTAGACAAATATTTATAAATACTTGTACCTTCTTAACGATGGTTGTAGTAGTTCTCGAAGTTTCAGGTTCGTACAGTAGTACTGACTGTGTTGATGTTCGTATTGAAGATTGTGACTTTGATATTGGTTGACAGACAGTTGTTTTGAGTTTCATATGTTCTTCAATTGTAGGAATGCTATCCGTGGTTTTCCAATCCTCTCTTTCACATGTGCATCAAATTCTGCTTGTTCATCGATGATGCTTCCTAGATACGTGAAAGATTCCGCAATTTCCGCCTGTAAATAATAATCTTAATTCCTCACAGTGGTTTATAGTACTGAATTGATCATAATATGTACATGGATATTTACCAGAGCAAAACAGGGCACAAGTCCATCCAGTCACTGACAAGTGCACAGAGTGAGTCATGTTGGTAGGTGTAGACTACCTAGTTGGGATCCGCGAGATGATAGAAACCGATGGTTAGAGACCTTGAATAACATGACTCAAAATCGTTTGCAATGGTGCAGGTGCATCCATTCTTCGTGTTCTTCCAAATTCTAATCACCTGAATCCTCCTTGTCTTTTTTTCCTCTTTCCAAATTTATTTAACTGGATTACAGTCCTTGAATAACGTCTTCAAATCGTAATCTTTCCGATTACTGCTTATACTCTTACCGCCTCTACCACTACGGGATTTGAATGGACAACTGCATCTCTGTGTTAATGTGGTATGACAACTCGAACTGATGTACGTACGTACGTACGTACGAAGTTCTACGTTGTTACTGACTGACTGACTGACTGTAAATGGAGATTCTCATGATCTTTTTATTATCATCTCTCTTCGAAATTGTTCATAAATGATAATCTTATCAATATAAATTGATTAATACACATATATAATCCATAAATCTTACCTGAAAATATTCATTCATTATTATTATTTCATTAGAATTCATGAGTGAAAATTTCTCTAATCCATGTAAAATTAAACCTAATGAACGATTTAATAATTTTTTAGAACATAAATGACGATTAGAATAATGAGTTTTAAAATCAATATCTGAATTACAATTTGTTATACATAGAAACGGTAATGTTGGTAATAATAATCCTATCGCAAATGAACGTATTCTTGATAATTGATATGGTATAATTCTGTGCAATTGTGTAGTATTAGTAGTATTATTAGTAGTATTAGTGGTCGGATGATGATCATGATGATGATGATGTAATGTTGTTACAGGAATAGACCGATCAAAGTAAATAGATTGACTGGAATTTGTTGATAATTGTTCATATTTTTTTATCCATTTATTAGCTTCAAAATGTAACCAAACACAGTAACCGGTAAGAGCCTTTAATGAGAAGATAAAATAAGAATTAGTGAACAGATATATAAATAAAATTGTTGAATTCATGAATCAACTAAAGCTAGACTATCATGGAAAATCTGGCAGCATTAATCGACCGTTTCGTCCGATTGTGGGACTCCTTAATAATGAGCGAATGTGCATATGCTCATTAGTGACTGGCTTCAAGATGTATATTCTAGAGTTCTAGTGAGAAGCAGTGAATAGTGGAGTTCAATCAGGTCTGTTGTGAGTCAGTGACTCATTGAAGACAATGGTGACGGTGGCGCAATTTCGTGGATTGGTTGAAGTTAGACATTAACATCGTTGGATGCCGGCCAGCTCAGTGGTCTAATGGTTAAGCGCTAGCGCGCAAGATTGGTAGGTCCTGGGTTCGAATCTCGCGAGGCGAAGTCGTGGATGCGCACTACTGAGGAGTCCTATACTCAGCCAAAGCAGCCATCCAGTGCTTCCAGGTATTTCATGGCAGTCTAGCTTCAGTTGATACACGAATTCAACTATTAAATTAATATAATATCCACGAAACCTCACTCAGATGTATATATTTTACATTATCTCCTATCAAAATTAGTGAACACTTCGAAATGTCATATGTGCTGTATGCATTTTGGTATGCTTTAAAACTGACAACTAAAAGGCTATTATGCACAGGAGTGCGGTTAACTACTACGTAAACTGATTTGAGATTAGGATCCAAAATGAATTTTAAACCGATTAGAGTTGTTCTACCTTTCTTCCCTTTCAATTAATGGGTGTCCATGAACATATGAGAACTTTTAAGCCCAAAAGGAATATGATGATGGCATTAGTGCGATGTTAAAGCGTATGTATAGAATCAAGTGACTTCATCTTTCACTAACGCAAAGTTTGGTTGCATATAATATATCCACGATAGCTATTTAACGCTTTCAACTCAAAGATACACTAATGAATTCTCCATTGAGTAGACAGCATAATGTAAATAATTCAAGAACTTTCATTAGATGCTTCCAACAACTTAACATATAAACATCGTGTGAGTAAAATTGTGATCCTAAAAATAACGACCACACTGTAACTTTGTCGATATAGTTCAATCAGATACGAAATTAATTAGTATATTTCATTCTTAAAGAAATCCAATCACAGAATAGATAACTCTGATCGTATTCCAACCAGTTTAGCTAAATTCAGTCATAGTGATAGGTGAACCAGACTATCACTTAAAAGCAGAAGATTTGGTGGTGATGAATCAACATTTATAAATATAATAAAAATAAAGTTATTCATAATCAAAGTACATTTGTTTACAACTGGCTTTGAGCAATACTGTTCAAGCTAAATTTCTGATACCCATGCAACGGCGAACCAATCAGGTATAAGATAACAGGTCTTGGATTTTGGCGCGAAATTCATTCATCCATTTGGCTGAATAGATTTTTGGCATTACAACTGATGTCGATTCGTGATGAAAACCCTAAATCTAATTTCTAACCTTAACGATCAACTGCAAATCCTAATTTTAATTCCCTACACAAGTTTATAACCATCATTTGGTCTTAGTTATCAGGTGAACACTCTCAAGGTCAGTTCAGTGTCGCTCAAATCTCGTCCATAAATTATAGTCTCACTCATGCAACTTCTATAACTGATGTAGAACAAATTGAAACTTAAGTGTCACAGTTCCACAATGAATTCTCATTATTACGATATAAAATAATACAACAAATACTTACACATTCACGTTGAGATAAATATGGATGTCGTATTAAACTATAAATCAGCCATAAAGGTGGTCGAATTGAAGTAGAACAATGTGATGCAATTAATGAATTACTATTAACATGATCCAATAATAAAGGATAAGTTGATTTCAATTTATATAGATTCCAATCATTTGAATGTGAAATATTTTTTGTGAAAACATTAATAAATCCTTCATGTTTATCCCTCTGCTCCTCCTCCTCGTCGTCGCCGTCGACGTCATCCTTCTCCTCCTCCTTCTTCTCTCCATCCATCTCATTATTGTTATTGAATTTGATTATATTTCGTTTCAGCTTATCTTTGAAAAAAGCTTTTGATAATAATTCAATTGGAAAATGTCTATACCAAACATGATCTAAACAATGAATTAAATGTTTAGAAAATATACTATTTTGTTCAATACGTAATTGAACACAATTTAATATATATTTATTAGTAGTATAATCAGTTTCAATGAAATTATTTAATTCTTCTTGAATATCTTTTGTAGGAATTGATTCATTATCTATAATGTAAAGAAAGAAAAAAAGAAAAGAAAACTAGAACAGGATGAAAAGATTAGTAAAACAACGTCAGGACATGAGAAGATTTTGTAGAACAATCAAAACATTTCGAGTGATCTACCATATACCTTTATGATTTTCGAAAAAAGTTCGATCCCAACTCCTACATACAGATGAAGCCATAGGAATTTATATATTTAACCCCAATTTATGTGTATAGAAGAAATTCGTGACCACCCCCTTCAAACCCTTTCATGGCCGGATATAACTTAAGCGCCCTTTTCTAATAATAATTATTTTCAATAGTTGAAATCATGAATCAATTGAAGATAGAGCACAATGGAAAACCTGGAAGCACTGGATGACCGTTTCATCCTTATGCTGATAGGTCCTGGGTTCGAATTTTGTGGGGGGCGGGATAGTGGATGTGCACTGCTGAGGAGCCCCATACTAGGACAAAACGACCGTCTAGTTCTTTCAGGTTTTCCATGGTAGTCTAGCTTCACATCCTGTATTTGCTTGCTCTTTTCGTTTGTATTCTTCATTATCTAATTATTTACATACTTTTTATTACGTAATGATTTTAATGTTATGTGATAATCAAAACATAAAGTCATTTATTTCTATTTTGAAATTTAAGTGTCCCTTCAATTGATGAAAAGTCTCAAAACAGAATGATAAGTTAATTGTATTCTGAAAATCTCAATGTTCTTTTCATTATTGAACATTTAAGACCAAAAAGAATTGAATTTTTTATGAACAGACTAGGTTAGAAGTGTTTTTCTCAATATCTACAATTGATTGATGAGTAGTTATCGGTATCATGTTAGTTGTCACGGTACCATGGAACTAAGTTTCGTGTGAGCTGGTACTCATCAGCAAGAAATCCTTGTAAACCTAAGTGAATTCATGCACTTTTCAGAACGTTAAAGCTCAACATCCAGCTTCACAGTCTTAAAAGTTATCACTAAGTTATTCAGATAATCACTGATTTCCTGTAGGACTAAGCTATTTACAATCGATTATACACTGAGAGTAGTGATTTGCTTAGAATTATGAAATCATTTATCAATACTATATTCTCTCCATGTTTCAAATATTATTCTTTTTAGTATATTTACCATGCAGTTAGCAATGGAGTACAAAATTTTTGTTTCATTTAAATTAGGACTCATTAGCTGAATATTCCTGCTTCCCATTACCTTTCACTCTAAACATACAATGCATCCTACATTGAGCTAATGAATTGAAATAACCGATAAGTTATTTAACCAATCACACACAAATTTGTTACACTACCCAGTATCAAGGTAATTAGCTTAGAATTCATGAATATTAATAGAGATTGGTTAACAGTTATTAAGTGATTAATAAATTATAAATGAATAATTAAAGATAAACAATCAAAACTAACTAACCTTCACATATATGACATACATCCTTTTCTATATTTATTAGATCAACACTACTAACCGGTAAAGATGATATACTTACACCGGAATCTGAAATAACCATTGGATACTTTATAGATTCAATCATGTTCAATTGATATCCTTCATTACTTGACAATTGTACTTTTTGTTGATATTGTTGTTTCGATGTAGGTGATGATAATGATGACAATGATTGACAGTGATTAGATTGAATTTCTGCTGCTTTAATTTGATTATCTTCAGTATTACTTAAATTTTGTGTCTGTATTCGAGTTATATCATATGATGTAGAAGAATCAATTAAAAGTTTAGATGAATTTTTTTCAAATGAAGTTTGATTGACTTAAACAAACGAAAGAAAAGATTACAAATCCAAGTTTATCATTTGAAATATATGCAGAAGTGAATATTTAGTAGAGATAATACAATCTGAAACGATTTCGTGGAGATTTAAGTAATTTTATAATTCAATTCATGAGTCGTTTGAAGCTAGACCATCATGAAAAATCTGAAAGTAATGGACAGCCGTTTCGTCCCAGTACGGGACTAGGTCTGTTGTGAGATTGTAATTCACTGATGACGATGGTGGACGGTGGCGCAATTTTGTGGATTGGTTGAAGTTAAACATTAACATTGTTGGATGCCGGCCAGCTCAGTGGTCTAGAGGCTAAATGCTCGCGTGCGAGAATGATAAGTCCTGGGTTCAAATCTCGTGAGGCGAAATCGTAGATGCGCACTACTGAGGAGTCCTATACTAGGACGAAACAGCCGTCCAATGCTTCCAGGTATTCCATGGTGGTCTAGCTTCAATCGACTCATGAATTCAACCATGAAATAACACAATCTGTTAAACTAAAGTTATTCGAGTATTTTTCAATGTTCAATAAGTTTGCAGAATTCGGTATCTTTAGATATGTTCCGTTCATTTAGTAGGTGAATACTAAATTTGGGAGTACAATTTTCACTGAACATTTCATATATATATATGCTATGAACAATTCAGTTTAGTGCATCGAAGCACACAAAATGACACACAAAAATATACTGAAAATTAAGATTGTAAGTGAAACCTCCAGTAATAATTACACTCTTTTATGCACTACTACTCATTCACAAAAAAAACAGAAAAGTGTCCAAAAGTGAAGGATACAGTACACTTAAGAAAACGACGAGAAAAGCCTGAATAATCACAATCATTTGTTCCTACCATTCACTAGAGTTCGATAGTGAATGAAAAATGTAATTGTGGTAATGACAAAATAGAATGGTGGTCGATGAAAATAATAACTAATGTCTACGTACGATAGCGAATTATTATTGACACAAGCCCTTAAAGACAAGACAACTAGCAAAACGAACAGGTTCTTCTAAAATCTAATATGTTTCTTTAAGAATTATCAACTGAACAATAAATATGATTGGATATCATAAGTAACTAGATATTACAGTCTAATGACTATCAGGCTTGATTCGCACTCATTTCACAAGGTTTACTATTATAGAAACACTTAAATACAAGATACTGTCTGGAAATACCTAAAATCAAGATTTTTTGTTATTTTTAATCGATGAAGTAAAAATGTATGTAATGCCAACTAAGATTTTTACTATCAGTCAGTCAGTTAGCTACAACGTGGGACCAGGCACATATATGCATCAGTCCAAGATACCATATTTCATTACCACAACAACATGAACACCGAATTCATAAAAGCAGTTAATTCAGTGGTGGTAATATATAAAAGAAAGATTGCATATAATGATATAGTACAGGAAGAAAGAATGAGTACGTAGAAAGATATGAAGTGATTTTAATCTCTTAGTTTAAGGGAAGACATAGAGTGTATACACCTACACTATTGTGATCGATTCTGAGGTATGTCGCCCACAGTCTCCAACCATTTGTTGCGGTAGTCACGCGAAACCCAACCAAGTAGTTTGCATCTATCAACATGGCTCAGTCTAGAAGTTAGTGACTTCTACTTTAATATGATTTGAATAAACTTATAAGACAATTTATTCTATCATCGGGTTAATCAACATAAATCATTCACTTGTTATTGTATCATATACACGTATTAGGCTGATCTAAAATGTAATTAAATATTTGCATTCTAATTAGAAATACAACAAATTGCATTACAGAGCTATACATTATTGATTTAATTACGTTTCTAATTACATTTATTGTATGTATTTTTCTTGTCTTAAACGGATTTGAAGTTATTCTTTTTGTTATTTTTTCATACATAATGGAACACTTAAATGAACAATCTTGATGTTTGTATTTAAATGAACTTTGTACTACATAATAAATTAAAAAGTGGTAACTTTAGTATAGTAATTAATACATTCAAAATACATGTACGTGTGACTCGGTTGGTAAGTGTAAGACAGTCAATCAGCTACAACATAGGACCGGGCATATATGTGCATTGATCCAAGTTACCATACCTCATTAATACAACAAGATGGACACCGGATTCATAGAAATAGTTAATTCAGTGGTGGTAATATATAAAAGAAAGATTGCAATAAGGATATAGTACAGGAAGAAAGAAATAGTAGGTAGAAAGATATGAAGCGATTTTAATCTCACAGTCTAAGGGACAATAGAGAGTGTATATATATACCTACGCTAACCGTTGTTGCTACCTTGACATGGTGGTCGTGCTTGCCTATCGTGTTGAACCAATCGAGCTATACTGGTTGGAACAACCGTTTCTCAAGGTTCTAAAATTACGGACAGGTCGGTTGAAGAGCGGTAAGACTAAAAGCAGCAAACCAAGGTCTGAGGGCGAAGTCGTACTGCTGACTGTACAGAGGTGTGACGGCAGTCAAGTTTTTTTTACAGACAACCAGCATCTACAGAGATGCTGCCTTCCTACAAGGAGGGGTGGGATTAGAAAAGGTCAACCCTTGAAATGCACACCTCGCCTTATCCCACGGATATCCGTTTGTAGCGGTAAGTAGCGGTAAGTACGGAGCTAGCCTCCAGAAGAACCCTTCCACGGTGTGAGCAACCGGAAAGTGACAACCGGCCTCATACGTCTAACAGCACTCAAGACCACTGATGAGTGTAAATTGGAATAAAACTAGTAACTTGACTGAAAAAAACGAAATAAACATACGTTCACATTTGTCTTCAGTACTGTTATCACTATTATCTATCACTTTATTATGATTGAATGATAAGTATTCCCAAATTTTTAAACGTTCCGTATAATTTAAACACTTTCGTGTAATTTTATGCCAAAATAAATAATCATTATCTAATGTTGATAATGATATTTGTGATGTAGACATGGATAATGGTGATGTTGATGTTGACACTTTAGTTTCTAACTCATCATTATGTATAAATAATTGATGATCAATATTACCCTTATGATCGGGATCATCATCATCGTCATCATGATCGTTATTATAATCTGACATAGTATAAAATACTTGTTCAGCTGCAGATAAATACATATTAGCATCTAAATTAATAATTAAACGACATAAATTCAATAGACATAATCGTTTTGCACAATAAAATGAATGAATATAATCAGTATTATTATTATTATACAATGACTGTCTATGTATTGATTCCAAGGTTGCTCCAGTTTTACTCGGCCCATTTGTCACTACGGATAATGAAAGACGATTTATCAGACAATTCATCAATGAAGTAATTGGCCACTGCTGTGTTATAAATCTCAAATGTTCATGATTCATTAATGTTCTTTGTATTGAATGATGATTATCATTTTCTAGGAACAATTCCTGTGAAAAAATGAAGCGTAAACAAAATGAAAGAAATTTTGAGAAATTACAAGAACAACAAACAATACATTCAATCTTGATAGGAGCGACTATGTCCATTGGGGTTTTCAGTTGATCTATGATAATTGCGGGTTCAGATCCCGCCGTGAGTGTGAATTTGCCCCCAAATGCCCTGATAAGGCAGAGAGTGGGGAAAGTTAGCCCTCTTCTCGAAGCGCTCTTACATGACCTCGTGCATACAAACACTACCAGGAAAGTCCTACTCACTGCCTTCTCGCAACGATACTGTTGTTTACGAAACTGAAAGGATGAAAAACAAATATCCGATGCTTTAATGGGGTTAGTGGATACGGAGGATCTACCTAGAGGAGTAGGAAAACCCTGATTCCAAACTAATGGTGCACATGGGCTTCAGTTTCCTGAAAGAATAAATGGCGTACAATGCAATCGTTGATCACCGGCTAACATGAGAATGCATCTACTAACGTTGCTCCACTACCTTGTGGATTAAACCTTTAGGTTGAAGGCTCTGGAGGTGTCTCCCTAAGTAAACCACCTACTTCGGTTTTGAGCACCCGGACAGTATCCCAGCCCTCACATAAACCGAATGATTTATGTGATGCATACGTTTTTGGTACCTCCTTGTAACGATGTTAATGTGTTTAAATAAATAAATAAAAACGGCGTCTGGATACCGCGAACGAACACAATAAAGTGGAAGAAAGACCAAATACTCAAGCTCAGTATATGTAGTAACAGAAACATGACATTGGGGTACACAATAAACCAATACTGAAAGTGGTAAAAACTAATCATTACAGAGTAAACATCGTTTTACAAAATTAACTAGAAAAATCCACACGACTTCCAAATTATTACCAATTTTCTAATGTATAAGTCGAATTGATATTCATAAAACAACCACTGAACAATAGGAAGGGGAGAATATCTATTTCATCCTAGTCTATAATTCCTCAAAACTGTTCACCCATCCTTCAAGAATAGTGAAACCTGAAGGTCTCATAACTCAAATGTTTAAGAATATTATACTACGATGAAACAACGTCTTAATTTTTTAATGCTTGTCTGACAAACATTGATCTGAGAGATAAATGACCAAATTCATCAATCTCCACAAACCATTAATAATAGTCATTATTATATTCAAATCAAACTAACTCGAAATCCAGTCAACATTGCCATAATTAATTGCCATTTATCTAATATAGACAAATTATATAATTTGATAATGATTATAGTTGAATTTGACAATTCATTAATATTCATTAATAATTCAAATATTCCAGGTATTAAACCATAATTAAATAAAATTGATTTGTTTGTTGATTTAGAAAGATCAGTTGAATTCTGAGTACCAAATCCAGATTGTTGTTGTTGTTGTTGTTGTTTCAGTGAAGGATACCAGAATGATTGTGAACCGAATAAGATCAGACAGCGTAATAAACTTGGATTGATCAATAAATGTGCAATGGATGATGTATGGTTCATAGATTTTTTACATAAAATATTTACAGGAAATGTCAATATGATTTCATTTAGTAAAACCTATAAATGTAAAAAAAATTATGTGAAATCTGGGGATAAAATATTAAAAATTAACAAAAAGAAATAATAAAATGGGAGAGGGGTGGAGATTGTAGTGATTTTAGTAGCTGAAGCCATGAGTCGATCTAAGCTAAACCATTGTTGAAAACTTGGAAGCAATCAACGGCCGTCTCTTCCTAGTATAGGACTCCTCAGTAGTACGCATCCACGATCATGCATGCGGGACTCGACTATTAAAGTCACTACAATCTGATATTATTCGTCATATGTTCACTAGTGACTGGCTTCGAGACACATTTCCTGCAGTTCTAATGAGAATTCATGACCAGTGGAATCCAATCCATGTCGAGTTGAGACAGGTATCTATCTCAGACAATGGATGAATAATTGTGCAAGATCATGGAGCGACTGAAGGTAGACATTACCACAGTCTGATGCCGGATCAGTGGTCTAGAGGTTAAGTATTCGCGCACGAGGCCGAAGGTCCTGAGTTCGATACCCGCCTGGGGAATCATGAGTGCCCACTGCTTAGGAGTCCCATACAAAGACTGAACGGCCGTCCAGTGCTTCCAGGTTTTTAATGGTAGTCTAGCTAGAATCGACTCATGTATTCAGCGATTTAAAAATAACAAATAAACTGGTTAAGTAATCAATAAACTATTAAACAATGGTACAATAACAAAGGAACTAAAGTTTTATATCAGCTGCGGATATAGATAAATGTATCAATGTATCAGTTACATTTGTGAACCCTTTATCAAACATAAGTTCCCAGTAGATTCAGGATGGATTCTCACTAGTTAGTGTATAATTATAATCTTGATATGTAATACAACTGTACGTCAATCCAAGTTGTTACGTTGTAGTGAAGGAGTATAACTTGGTAAAATAGAAAAACCATACTCTTATACTTAATTTGCAAACTGTTCATTAATTTTCCCGAACTTCATTGTTCCTGCATTTCCATACCAATTGCTTTCTATTCCCATTATTCTCTTCTTGATCTTCTCAATCTCCAACTGCCAGATATTATATTTTCCTGACTCGCGTTATATACTACTTATGTCAATATAAGTAGCACACACCATAATATCATATCAATAGTACAAAAGATGAAATTATTAAGAGGAATTTCAATCTAGAATGCAATAGTTGTCTTATATTCCATAGTTTCCAAGTTTATATCAAATCATGATAAAGATATGTTTATTTTCAAAAGTAAACTTACATGAAATCTGAGCAAATAGTATCTGAAGAAAAAAAATCACTGAAACTACTTACTTTCATAATTTCATATGATTTAGATGAGATCATATTAAATTCTGGATGTTTGAATAGACGAGCTAATAGACAATGTCCAAAACTTAATGGAACTGGTTTACAATTTAGCTGATCATTACAATTTTGAAATAACCATACTTTCTTATGTCGTCTTTCCATTGAATTCTCTAAACCAGGATGTGATAATGCTGGTGCATAAAATTTTGCATACATTATACTAGAATGATGTAACATTGTAAAGAGTAATTTTAGTCCATATGAAATCAAATCAGAATTGTGTGATTGACAGACAAGCTGTATAGATAAAAGAGAATTGTAGTAAATATAATAATAATAATAATAATTAATGGATATCGATTATAATTAATACTTTAGAGACATTGTCTCCATTCACAACCTTATGCTCAATGGTGACTACTTTCTAAATGGATTCCCTCCCACCGACACTTCTGTTGAGAATCATGATCTTGATTATGTCAGCAAAGTCTATATTAAGGCACTACATAAACGAAGACTTTGAATATGAACATTAAAAACCTTTAAGATTATAAAAACGTCTTTATAAAGTACGGTAATAAGTTTCATTATTATTACTATTACGGTTATACATAATTCTCTACCGTTATTTATATCTTCAGTGTTACGGTAAGCACTATAATCTCGACCTATTTGCAACTTACCTAGAGTAAATTTCATTTCTCATTCTTATGTAAATTAGTTCGATAAACACCTACCATGTTGTCTACGTCGGACTGAATAAAAAATAGCCCATCAAAGTGTACCTCAGTTTAATTTACATACAGTGTGAACTTCAACATTGAGACAGAGATACGTTTAACTGATAAGTCACAAGCAGGACTGAACAAACGTCCTTTATCCCAATACTAACCAATATACAATCAGTTCAAGTTATAATAAGCCTAGGATCCATATATCATAAGAAAGGTTGATAAAAATTTGAACCTGAATATCAACAAGGGATGGTAAATGTTTTTGATGGAGTTCTGTTCTCTGAGCTGGATGGTTTGGTTGTGGAGTTTCTATCGTTCTTCTGAATAAAATCGTCAGCACAAACTTCAGATAGAAATGAAGTGTTCGAATTTTTTCACATGTGGTTCACAGTTTGTCCTGTACAACTCAATGTGGATTGGTTCTTGTTGAACTTAAACTTGTCATTGTTTACTTCTTTGTTTTGGTTGTATCTCCCATTGGTTTGATTTTTGTTTCTATATTTGTACATAATTTTCCTGAATACTTGATAAATTGGATCGATTTCAATGTGCTTGTTGATTGTTGATGAAAGCTCCATGACCAAACCATCTAGCTCAGAGAAGAAAACCCTATCAAAATCATCCACCTGAACTACGAATCTTCTCCATCATGAAAGATGCTTGTTAAGTTATTATAAAGTACTTAAAAGTGATAATGATCGATTAACATAGAAATTTTAAAATCAGTTATATGGGTGATAAAATATATGGTAAAAATATTCCACAAAAACGTACTTCACCAAGAAGGCAAATTACCACTTCAATACCTCCATGGGGTTCAAAAACTGAATCAAAACTTTCCCGATAATAGTAGTTAACATAGTGAGATATTGATTGATTGTTATCAGGTGAATATATGCTCCTTAATAACCATAATCGCTTTTTAGACGAATGACGATAACTGATTAAATAAGAGGGTATAAAGAAAAAAGAAATCATAATCACTTGTAAGATATAAACAATTAAATGAGGAGGAAATACATAGATATAGTCACATCTAGCAAACAATCATTAAAGACAGTTAAAAGTAACTCGTTAGGACCCATGCTCTTAGGGTTTTCATTAATTTGATAAGAGTTAGAAGACCAGTTAATAGGTAGATAATAAGAAACTGGAAAACATTTACAGATCAGTTGAATTGTTTTCGATAGGGGTTAACATATACGTATACCTTCGAAGGTGAAATAAGAAATAAAAAAACAATATTATTAAAACTGAATTTCGTGGAGATTAGTTAACAAAATAACTTCAGGAACCCATCTTGAAGTAATTCACAATTGTTTCGGAGTTTAATGAATTCCTGAAGTTTGACTAAAGACGTGCACGGTGAAGTTCCGAAAATACAGAGTGAAGCAGTACTCAGTGATGAAAGTGTAAGATCCTCATGCTTTATTACAGGTCGATTAAAGTTGAAAAGAAGAACTGTTGGATACGAATCCAGTGGTTTATTGGTTGAGTGCTCGCTGTGACACCGAAATTTCGAGGGTTCAACCTCCAGTGAAGTCATAGATAAGCACTGGGGCGAACAATTTGTTCAGTGTTTTCTAATTTTCAGTGATATCTCAACTTAGATCAATCATTTAAGAGCATTATATTACAAAAGCATACTATCAAATCGAATGCGAGAGACTTTTTTCAGAGCATTACTTAACATTGTAGATCAGGTTTTTACGACTAAACTTGACCATAAGACAATACCTACAGATTTTTTTTGATTGAGATCATGAACTGATTGATGTTAGACCACCATTGGAAACCTGGAAGCACTGGACGGCTGTCCTCATTAGTCCAGTAGGTTAAGCGTTCGTGCGCGGGACTGAAGACCCTGGATTTGAATCCCGCGAGCGGAATCGTGGATGCGCACTACGATATGACGAAACGACCGTCCAATGCTTCCAAGTTTTCAATGGTGGTCTAACATCAATCGGTTCATGATCTCAATTAAAATCTTAATAATCTCCACAACCCCTTTACTGAAGATTTCTTTTGTTCGATCCTATTCACTTTCTCCCAGGACCTTGACTTATCACTGAGTTACAATAACAATCGTCGTGTTCTAATCATATTCGCTGAGTATACTATTATTATTTATTTTAACACATAGATATCAGTACAAGGAGGCACCAAATACATATGCGCCACACAAATCTTATTCGATATGTGTGAGGGCTGTGATACTGCCCGGGTGCCCAAACCGAAGCAGGTGGTTTTCTTAGGGGGCCACTCCCCGAGCCTTTGACCTAGAGGTCTGACCCACAAGGCAGTGGAGCATCATAAGGAGACACAGTCCCATGGTAGCCGGTGACCAACGATTGGTTCATACGCCATTTGTTCCCGCAGGATACTGGAGCCCATGTGCACCATCAGTTTGGGATCCGGTTAAAGCGCCGGACATTCACTTTTCGTCCTCTCATTTTTGTAAGTAACACCCCCGCCATTTTCGTTTATATTTTGATAATTTGGTAAAAGTATATTCCCATTTGTTAAGTATATAGTAAGAAGAGTATTTAATTTCTTTTAACAAAGTATATTCGCATATTATTATTCTCACAAGATGAAATATACTCCAAAACATGTGGATATTTTGGCTTCTAATCAATTCAATCAGATTTTCTTTGATGTATTTAAATGAATCTCTCTATGTATATCCAAGGTAACGAACTTTAAGTGAGTAAGTGTTCTTATCATAGATATTAAATTAAGAAACATTAAGAAAAGTGAAATACTTAATGGACGTATTGAGTTAATTTTAAACTTCTGCGTAAATCAAGAGTATACACAGAAGTAATTAAAAAAAAGTTAGAAATTAAAAAACGGTTAGATGACACCTCATTGATCAAGACGTCAAGCGTTGGTGCGTGAAACTGAAGGTCTTGTGTTCGAATTCCTCGTGCAAGATCGTGGATGCGTACTGCTGAGGAGTCCCATAGTACGACGAAACGGTAGCCTAAAATTTATAGGTTTTCAATGACCATCTAACATTGATCAGTTCATGATCTCAATGAATATAATCCAATAACAGATGAATTTCAACAAAGTCATCATTTTTAAAAGTCTACACACTGGTTTGAATCCTCTTTATTACTAGACCGATATTTAAGAAATAAACAGTTTGGATACATTAAAAGAGTACTTAAAATGAGAAAATTTCCATATACTGCCAACATTTGACCAATTTTCGACTAAACATGACTCCAGGTGTAAAGTCTTTAAAATAGTGATAATCATTTAGTTATATATACTGGTTGAACTAAATCTTGTAATCACTAACATTTATTAACTCCCCGCCTGGAGCCCCTCTGGGGCTACTACCGGTCCTAAGCCCGGATAACGGAGGAGGTTTGGGAATGGGGTTAGCGACCGCATCTCGTAAAAAACTAACTCGTTAAAAGAACACTAACCAGAAAAAATTATTCAAACCATTTAAACTCTGCCATGGGAGTCAGAATGTCTTCATTTAGAAGTTATGGCAAATCATGTTGAAAGCCGAGTTCCTTTGGAAGCCACGAGGCTGATGCCCCTTCTGAGCAACTACTTATTTAGGTTCATTAACAAAGTATAGAAGTATTATAAAGGAAACATATTCTCTCTTTATATTTGGAAAGTCCAATAAAGAGGGATGTTTCTTTGGAATTGAAAAATGCCCGGAAGTACCTCATCGATTCGCTTACAAAATATTATTTGAAAAAAAGTGGAAATTGATCGGTTCAAAAGTGTCAAGTAATACCTACACTGGTATAACTTGGTAACCGGTTTTAAAGATAATTTGATGGGTACAATGTTTAAAAGTTACGCAATTACTGTTATCAATAATAATAATAATACTTATGATAATGAGTGTAGTATCAATTACTATGTTCAGCCCACACAGCTTATTCTAGCCTTCGGAGTCACGTTTTGACCTTGTTAATTATTCATGTATGAACCTTGACTGTTTTTATATGGGTGTATGTTTGTGTACACTTTTTATCCTGTTCACCACATGTTTGTAACCTATTTTTATCTGACTATAAATATTGATAATCGTTTGATTAAACGGAGTTGGCTTACATGCCTTCTCCACTACGCGTCTCTCTTCTATTCCCTTCGTCCCTCTGATTGCCTGCCCAGAACAATGAGTGTACAAGGTATATGTATTCGAAAACCCATTCTTGTATTTGACTTATTTTAATTCCGTTATTCAATAACTCGATAAATTAGGCCGATAGTTATATACGACGATAGCCAGGATGTATATTTTGACAACAATCAATCATACGATTTAATTGGAGTCAGTTCCCGGGCCACTAAAATGGTGAGGCCGTCGACAACATCGTCTGATCTTCTTAACGACAAAAAGAAGACCTCCACTAAAATAAAAACAATAATAGTACCCAACAAATTATAACTTACTCAATTTGTATTGTATTTTCATCAAATGATTTGTAATGTTGGCTAACATTGGAATTTAACAAGTATATGTCATGCACGTTATCGTTGTTCACTTCCGTTGTTAACGATTCATTATATTCAGCTTTATGGAATGATATTAGCGATTTTGGTAAAATGAATTGTACACAAGTTAGATTATGACTTAACAAAATGATGAATAAATGCTCCTTTAAATATAAAAGAAGAAGAAGGCAAAAGGAAATGAATAAAAAGAAAAAGGAATAAAACACTCTAATAGTTGAGATCATGAATCAATTGAAGCTAGACTACAATGGAAAACCTGGAAGCACTTGACGGCTGTTTCGTCCTAGTATGGGACTCCTCAGCAGTGCACATCCACGATACCGCCTCGCGAGACTTGAACCCAGGATCTATCGTTCTCGCGTGCGAACGCTTAACCTCTAGACCACTGAGCCGGCCAGCATCCAATGGTGTTAATGTCTAACTTCAACCAACCCACTAAACAGAGCGATACATCCACCATTGTCTTCAATGTGTTACTATCGCACAACAGATTCAGTTGAACTCCACTAGTCACTGTTTCTCACTAGAACTCCAGAAAATACCTCTTGAAGCCAATCACTTTTGAGCATATGTTGATTAACATCAAACGGGGTTTTTGTAGATATTTATTAATGAAAACGATGAAACTAAACTAGACTGATAACGTCGAATAAGCTATTGTAATTTCAATAGTTCCGTGTTGAATATATTTTGGATTTCCGATAAGTGAAATGAAACCAGATAGATAGGAAATATATTCACTAGTTATTGAGAAGAGCATATGTGATGAATAGTGTTTGCTAACAGATGGGCTCCTTAGATAGTCACCACAAAAATACAAATCTTCAGAAATAAAATACCAACGAAACAAATTCAGTAACAATAAGTAGCTCAGTGCCCCAAATGCTTTGGTACGGCTGATAGTAAAGAGAGTCAGCTCACCCTCTCGAAATGTTCTCACGTGGCCACGTGCATACAAACACTTCAACAGAAGTCCTACTTAATGCCTTCTCGAGGTATTACTGTTGATTACAAAATTAAAAGGACGAAAAGTGAATGTCCGGCGCTTTAATCCGGTTGGTGGATACGGAAGGTCCACCTAGGGGAGTTGGAAAACTCTTATTCCAAACGAATGATGCACATGGGCTCCAGTATCCTGAAGGAACAAATGGCATATAAATCTAATGTTGGTCACCGGCTAACATGGGACTGCATCTCCCTACGTTGCTCCACTACCTTGTGGATAAGATGTTTTGGTCGAATGCTCCGAAAGTGACCCATTAAGAAAACCACCTGCTTCGGTTTTGGGCACCTAGGCAATATCCCAGCCCTCACATAAATTGAAAGATTCATTTGGCGCATATCTGTTCAGTGCCTTCTTGTACCAATGTTTATGTGTTTAAATAAATAAACAATAGCTAGTAATTAAAATAATAATTATTACTACTATTAGTATTGATATTAGTGACTTTATTCAGTATCATATGTCTAGTACAATATTGAATTTTCAGAGCTAAAGATTTCAACAAGTATCTTGTACAAAACAAAGACATGAAAAGATAACTACAAGCATATATACATGAATTACGTAGATAAACTACCTAGAGTATAAGTTTTAATTAGGTCAACTCAAACAACCACTTAATTACTTAATATATTTGCAAGATAAAATATTGTACAGCTTTTATACATTTGCTTCTTTACATGGATTCCAATGTATTGACGTCTCGTTCTGTCAGAAGAGTAAGATATAAATGAATTGGATGGTTAATATCTGATAGGATAACACTAGCCAGAAGTTTGAAAAATTTTAAGTGTCTATATTCTACCAAATTATTGTTATTATTATTATTATTATTATTACTATTATTATTATTATTATTATTATTATTATTATTATTATTATTATTATTATTATTTACTAAATCACTATTCACCCTCTTTCATTCCTACTCTGTCTATACCTATTTTTTCGACTTATACAGCAGCTCCTCTATGGTTGAAATTCTGCTCTATCTAAACGTTCTCGAGTCACTGCCTGCTACCACCAAATACGAATACTGAAGCAGTGCTTCTGAAACCACATGCACCATTCAAACTGGCTGCCTTCAACGTTCGCACACTTATGCAGGTCGGAAAACAGATACGGCCGGCTATGTCTTTGGAAAGTCTTAATATCGATGTCTGCTGTCTATCCGAGACCCGTATTCAAGACTCTGGTGAAGTACTACAAATTCGATCTCCATCTGTCACTTCAAAAAGCTTGTTTTACGTGCGCTTATCCGGGGGACCCTGTGGCATCTTCGTCTGGTCTTGCTGGCGTTGGTGTCGCACTAAGCGCTAGAGCTGAGGCGGCACTAGTCGATTGGATCCCCATTAACAGTCGGTTATGTGCTGTTAGATTAGAAAGTTCCATCAAAGTGAGAAGAAATCGGCGTGAGAAACGATGTCTTTTCGTCATCTCCGCCTATGCCCCGACAGATTGCAGCCCGGATGCAATCAAGGATGAATTCTACCACCAGTTAACTGTTCTTCTCCTGAAAGTGCGTTCGACAGATATTGTAGTACTAGCCAAAGACTTGAATGCTCAGATAACGGGGACCGTCTACTACAACTGTGCACAGACCACAACCTGTTTCTGGCTAGCACTAACTTTCGGTACGGTCATCACCGATGTGCCACCTGGCGTCCTCCCTCTGCATCTCAAGCCTGGACTCAGATTGATCACATCACGATCAGCTACCGCTGTCATGGTTGTGTACAAGACTGCCGCTCCTTTTGGAGTACCTATCTGGACTCTGACCATGCCTTGGTCTGCGCCAATCTTGCCTTACTTTTCAGTGGCCAACGAAGTGACCGCCACCAACGGATTGATGTTAGCAAGCTGGTTGCAACTTCTGTTGCAAGTAAGTATCGAACCGAGCTAGCCTCTAGGCTAGCTACCACTCCACCGAAAAGTATAGATGAGCATTGGTTGCAATTGCGTGACGCCATGAAAATGGCGGGAACAGTCAGTTGTGGGTTTGCGAAACGTCCCGCTTTTAAGCACTGGGTTTCTTCTGGTTCCTTACAACTCATTGAAGCCCATCGGTCTACTCCGGGTGACCGTGAGTTTGACCACAAACAAAGGATGTTACGTAAGGAAATTGGGCAAAGCTTGCGTAAGGACCGAGAAGCCTGGTGGTCGGAGCGTGTTAATGAGCTGGAAGCAGCAGCTGCATCTGGTAATTACCGGAAGCTCTTCCAGCTCATCCGAGCCACTGGCAGCAAGAAGTCTGGTGTGAGTGAAACAATCTGCGAGGTTGATGGGATGCCAATCACTAACATCCATCGACGTCTTGGACGATGGGCAGAATTTTTCGAAGGGCAGTTCGACAAGCCTGCTGCTCCGGTAACATCGATCACACTGTCCTGCCCTCCATGGCCGGTGACGACTGATCCACCAAATGAGGAGGAAGTCCGCAAGGAACTCCAACTCTTGAAGCGTTACAAATCACCTGGCCCAGATGACTTACCTCCGGCTCTTTTTAAAGATGGTGGTGACTTTTTGACTAAGGAATTGACGACGTTGTTTACAAAGGTTTGGGAACTAGAGAGTGTACCAACGTCATGGAATGAGTCGATAGTTGTCCCTATCTTTAAAAAGGGTTCACGTCGTTCCTGTAACAACTATCGGGGGATAAGTCTACTTCCGATTGCGTCCAAGCTATTGGCTTCCGTCATTCTTCGTAGGTTGTTCAAAACCCGAGAAAGATTGACTCGCGAGGAGCAGGCCGGGTTTCGTTCTGGTCGAGGATGTATTGATCATATCTTCACCCTCCGCCAAATGTTAGAGCATCGCCATACTTATCAAAGGCCAACAATCGTAGTGTTTCTTGACATCAGGGCTGCCTTCGATTCGTTGGACAGGACTGTTCTCTGGGATTGTCTATTGAAGAAGGGTGTGCCTGAGAAGTTTATTAACATCCTAAAAGCCCTATATAAAAACACCTCAGGCAGAGCGAGGGCATACAACCACCTCTCTCCATTGTTCCATTCGAGCAGTGGGGCTAGGCAGGGTTGCCCAATCTCACCATTCCTCTTCAACTTTGCCATCGATGACATTCTGGAAACAGCTCTGATGAATGTAAGTAATGGTGGTGTGGATCTGTTGCCTGGAGAAAGACTTCTCGACCTTGAGTATGCGGACGATATTGTCTTACTGTGCGATAATGCCCAAGGCATGCAATCTGCACTTAATCAGTTGGTAATCAGTGTCCGTAGGTATGGTATGTGCTTTGCACCTTCGAAGTGCAAAGTACTTCTACAAGACTGGCAGGATTCTAATCCTGTACTCACTCTGGATGGTGAGCAGATAGACGTAGTCGAGAAGTTCGTGTATCTGGGTAGCTGCATAAGTGCTGGTGGGGGTGTGAGTGATGAGATCAATGCACGTATAGTGAGAGCCAGAGCGGCTTATGCCAATCTGGACCATCTTTGGCGCCTTCGTGATGTTAGTCTGGCTGTAAAAGGTCGGATCGACAACGCGTCAGTGAGAGCAGTTTTGCTCTATGCTTGTGAAACCTGGCCTCTCCGAGTTGAGGACGTTAGACGACTCTCTGTGTTCGATCGTCGTTGTCTCCGAAGGATTGCTGACATTCAGTGGCAACACCATGTCAGTAATGCAGAGGTTCGGCATCGTGTGTTCGGGCACAGAGACGATAATGGAATTGGTGCCACCATCTCGAAACATCGACTTCGGTGACTTGGACATGTTCTCCGAATGTCGTCCCAGAGAATTTCACGTCGTGCATTATTTGCCGACTCTGGGACTGGTTGGAGAAAGCAGAGAGGTGGTCAGTGTATGACATGGTGTCGTGGCATGAAAGAAAGCTGCAAAGGACTGGCTTGTGTTGGTCCTTCACGACTCCTTGGTTGGGGTCTGAGAGATGGTGCCACACAGTGGCTAGAGACGTTATCAGATATGACTCAGAATAGAAGGCAGTGGCGATCCTGCTGTAACTTTCTCTTACTTTGTAAAAAGTGGTTGTATATTCCTTAACTGGAAGATTTCTTCTGATTGTACCTTTCCTTTCCCCCATATTATTATTATTATACTACCTTACACCAATCTCTTCGTTACTGTTCTTTTTTTTAGCACTCCTTACCCTTTTTCTTCTTCCTTCTCTCTAAATTCTCATTTTGTGTGGCGCATATATATTGGCGCTGTCTTGTACCAATATTTGTGTTCAAATAATGATAATACTAACAATAATAATAATAATAACACTCATAATGACCTTAAAAGATTCATTTACACATTCTGCTAACTGACGTTAACACTCTTGACAACTCGTAAAAATGTCTTCTCAAAATGTCTGGAAACAAAAATGATGAGGAACAGTAAAGAGAATAATAAGCATGAGTTTAAAATAGGATAAAATGGATATTCTGAATGGTTTAGTCAAAATCTGAAAACAATTTAGAAAATTTGAAGAAATAACTTACTGAACAGTATGTTTTTAAGAATCTTAACCAAAATTCTGAATGGATTAAAGAATGAGCTCTTATTAATAATTGACTAATATAATCATAGTCATGATGATGATGATGATGATAATGATTACTTTTCAATGTTGAATCCTTTAATGCATATCTACGTATAAATGCATGAAGTATACAATCAGCTGAATTTCGATAGTATGCACTTGATTCAATTGAATCAAAATAACCATTGAATAATGGACCTAAAAGGCTAAGTGATAAAGCGACTGCTTTAATTGAATTGTTAAAATAATTTTCATTTTGATGGTCTGACTGTTGTGACATTTGTTCATGATGTTGTTTTGAAGATTTTTTTTTGCATTTGAAGACATAATCAGAAGATGATGATGAAAGTTTTTGCACATTAGAAGGTAAACCTAAGAGGAAAAGAAAAACCAGAAATAGAATCCAGATTATGTAGAACAGAATAGGTGATTTTCAGTATTGATGACATACAAAAATTCTGGAGAGAATGACGATTCTAACAAAAAGGAACAAACAAATATTTATCAGTATGGAGTTGTGGAGAAGGTTGGATTTCATAGAAGCCATGAACTGGTCCAAGTTAAACTACCGCTTAATACGTGGAAGAACTATGCGGCCGTTTCGCCATAGTATAAAACGCTTTAGCAGAATCCGTGACCAGTGGAGTTATACTGGATCGAGTGTGAGGCAGTTGCCCGTCGAAGACAATGGAAAATGATCGCATAATATTGTGGATTGATTGAACTTAGATACTAACATTGTTGCTTGCCAGTTCAGTGGTCTAGAAGCTAAGCATTTACACACGAGACCAAAAATACTGGGTTCAATTCCTCGGTGTGATGTCATGTTTGCGCATTCTTGAGGAGTCCCACATTGGGACAAAAAATAGTCTTCCGACGCCTCCATATTTTCAATGGGAAACAAATAATTATTCGATAAGCTTGTTTACTGTTAAGTAAACAAACACTACTGATTCAGAAAGTTAAACCTTTAAAATGAATGATGCACGATGCTTTGTGATTAGGTTGGCTTACGATAGCCAGTATAAATGTCTTTGACTAAGATATTGTGTACTACAAATTTTTTTCCGACAAGAAACCATTTTTCGAGCAGGAAATGACAAATTTAAAACAAGATTTAACACAGTAGTATCCAAACAGCATTACTAATTAGATCATTTGATTCAACCTCATAGACATTCCCTTTTTAATTGAACAACTCAACTGTAGTGTTAAAGGAAACACCTTTCGGTGATTTTATTTTATAGTAATCTAGAGACCATAAAGCTGGATATTAAAAATTCCCAAAACCAAATGATCTGAACAATTTTCAATGGTGTTTTAAAACACTGGAAACAGTGTTGTCATTATTTAGTATAGTGATCAATAATGTCTGTTACTCAAACACTTGGGGCTGAATTTCTAACCAACTCTTAGTACATTGAAATCTATTGCGCTAGATTCAGGGGAGAAATTAAAGAAGAAATTAAGTATGAGAAGATTTTCAATCGACGGAAGATTGAACAAAGATAATTGCAGGTTCGTTGGTGATCATGATATTCTAGAGGTTTTTGAAACTATGTTAACATCGATAACTTAATCGGTAAGTACTCAATCAGGATATGATAATTACCACTGAAAAAATGGTGCATGGTGGAAAGCTGACAGATGCATTCCAAGTAAGGACCGAAGTTAAAAAAGGCTATCTACTCTCCCCCTTCCTCTTTCTTCTGGTGGTTGAATGGATTATGAAGACCTCGACATCTGAGGGGAAGCACGGAATACAATGGACAGCTCAGAACCAATCAGACGATTTGGACTTCGCAGGTGACCTGGCCCTCCAATCCCATACACACACAAAAATGCAGAGGAAGACAACTAGTGAAGTAGCAGCCTCTGCATCAGTAGACCTCAGTATACACATAGGAAAAAGTAACATCCTCAAATTCAACACATAGAACACCAACACAATCACACTTGATGGCGAAACTCTGGAAGATGTGAAATCCTTCACGTACATGTGAAACATCATCGATGAACAAAGGGGATTTGATGCAGATGTAAAAGCGAGGATTGGAAAACCAAGGACAGCATTCCTACAATTGAACAACATATGGAACTCAAAACAACTGACTGTCAACCAATATCAAAGTCACAATCTTCAATGCGAACGTCAAGACAGTTCTATTATGCAGATCTAAAACTTCGAGAACTATCACAATCATTATCAAAAGGGTACAAATATTTATAAATAGTTGTCTACACAAGATACTCAACATACATTAGCCGGATACTATCAGCAACAACCTATTGTGGGAGAGAATAAACCAGCTTCCAGCTGAAGAGAAAATGAGAAAAAGACATTGGAAGTGGATAAAACATACATTGAGGAAATCACCAAACTGCATCAAGAGACAAACCCTAACCTGGAATCCTGAAGGGAAGCGGAAAAGAGGTAGGCCAAAGAACACATTACGTCACGAAACAGAATCAGATATGAAAAGGATGAACAACAACTGGAAAGAGTTGGAAAGGATTGCCCAGGACCGAGTTGGATGAAGAGTGCTGGTGAGCGGCCTATGCTCCTCCACGAGGAGTAAAAGGTATATGATAATTAATCCATCGTTTTTTAATTCTCTGAAGGGTTGCTATTGAACACTGATTAGATAAAATATTTTCTCAGGTCCAGAAGACCTTAAGAGAAAATCTCGAAGATTCTAGACAACTGCAATAGAAAAGCAACAGATAAACATTTGCAAATATATTAATATAACTAATTTGTTTCTATCTAGGAAACAATAGATTGACTTTAAAAATAAGCTTACCAGTAAACAAAAGTAAATTCCCTAAATCAAAAGTATTTCTTCTACATTCTAAAGAAGAGTATACATCAATTACATGACCAAAACGCAACACAGGAGGTATAAACTGATGTTGACAGTTTATATGTGAATCGGCAAACTCTTTGTTAATCAATATTAGATCACCGATAGATTCGAACCAACCATTGATTACAAGTGACACCTTAATGAATAGTAGATAAATAAAAAGAATTAATCCACAAATTAACATAAATATAAAAACTTAAGAATAAATCTGTCAAGACAGTTCATGGGTAAACTTGAAAAAACCGTAAGAAGCTCAGAAAGAGCCGAAGATATTCCATTCAATCACCTTTTGGAAGAATATTTCAGAATCCCTATGTGTAGCTTCCCTGTTGGACAAATTGCTAATAACCCCCGGTATGCGGATTGGAGGAATGTAATGATGATTTCGTTTTTTACTAAAAACTATAAATACCTGACAGTTTTGTTCCACAATTGACACTATTTAGAGTAGTATTCCTTTAACTTGTCTTCTGTCTTCTCGTTTACGACTTGGATGGTTCTAGCGTTTGAATGCTCAAGTTGTACGTGGTATATTAAGAATCTAAGCTCTACATATAACAAAACCTCAATTAAATCAAAGAAGACCATCAAAATTTTTGCGATGACTACTTTTCAGAACTTGATTCGTTGAATAATGGGTCACATAAATCACCTGATTTACTCAAGAATCTTCAGAAAATGTTTATGAAAATGATTATCTCTAAATCTAAACGGCATTATCACTGTGACTATTTAAGGAATGACAGATCATGTTGTAGAGCTTGAATATGGATCACCGATATTCAGTCTGTGAACTGAATGACAAGATTCTAAAGTCCAAAATGACCATAAGTTCAATCAAGGATCTACGTACATTTTGCTCATCAGTGGTGACTAACACGAAATTTAGAGCTAGGGTTTCGTACAGATTATCCCCAATTATCTAAAATATATGGAAATTTCTACCCAAGTGTAATTGACTATCAATAACTAAAATCACCCACTTCAATTATAGCAATATCTATTCTCCGAAAATTATACTGGACAACTCAATTATTGATGAGCCCCTCTGGGTCTACCACCGGTCCTAAGCCCGGATAAAGAAGGGGGGTTGAACATGAGGTTAGCAACCCCATACCGCAGAAAACTAACTCGCTAAAAAACGCTATACAGAACAAACAATAATAATAACCATTTAAACTCTGCCCTAGGAGTTAGAAGGTTTTCATCTAAAAGAGTTATAACGCCTTATGGTGAGAATCGATTTCCTTTGGAAGTCACAAGATTGATTTTCCTTCTGGCAACCAGAGCAACCAATAATTTAGATACATGGAATACTCGTACAATGTGACTTTTTTTTAAAAGTTTAGAAAGAAAAGAAACAAAAAAAAGCAAAAACTAATTTAACATACTTTTGCATTGAAATAGTTTATCCATTCAATATATAAAAATAAATGATTCCATTCATCATAAATATTACATTCTTTAGGAAAATCTAAGCATAAATCACTAAGCAATACAATTTCATTTGTATTCCCCTTCAATGATATAGATGTTTCATTATAGTCTAATGTTGTATTCTCTTTATTGATTGACATTTCAACAATACGAATATATATACATGAATAAATAAACGATATCCAGATCTGTTAATGTAAATGAAACGAAAGAACATTAATAACTGTTATATCCGTATGAGAATTATGAATGGTAACTTTGGGGATCCATTTATGGACCAATAGTAAACGTATATTTTTATCGTATAATTGTTCATTGACTAAACTGTTCATATTCATGTCCCTCTTATCATAAGCTTATGAACTATTATTATACGATTTACCATTCTTGAGTTATACTCAAGTCTATCAATTACTACCTCCCACATTCACAGCCACATTTGGCTAAATCTTGTACAAATGTTGTTGCCTATTTTATGGTACGATGTGGTCTGTCTGGTTGGTATATAAACCCAGTACATGATTAATACCGCAGAGGCTGAGATTGGTGTTCTTTACTTAACAGGCTGGGCTAGGCTGGGAGCAGAATCGATAAGGATTCTAGAATGCTCGTACGGGTTTTTATGAGTCATTGGTTTGATCGATAATTCACTGCTATCTAATTGGCGGTATCATTACGTTATACATTAACAGGGCGCACAGGCCACAAGTTATAACAATGACACATACAAGTTACAAATTTAGATCATGTAAAGTATTTAACCGGATTACTCAATCAAATAACCAATAAAAAACATAGTCAATAAGAACTGATATAACAACAACAAACAAAAACAAATCGATTAGATTTGAATATCTAATTTCCTACTGCTATTCAAAGCGCTTACTGGTAAGCGTCATTGATGAACACAGTGAATCTGATACAGATGTGAAGGCAAAGCAAGAGCAGCTTATTTACAACTGAAAAACATATGGAACTCAAAACAACTGTCTGTCAACCAACACCAAACTCAGAATTTTCAATACAAATGTCAACACAGTTTTACTATATGGGGTGGAAACCAGAAGAACTACGAAAGCAATCATTCAGAAAATACAAGTGTTTATTAATAGTTGTCTATGCAAAATACTTCGGACCCATCAGCCAGAAACTATCAGCAACAACCTACTGTGGGAGAGAACAAACAAGATACCAGTGGAGAAAGAAATCAGGAAGAAGTGCTGGAAGTCGATAGGACACACATTGAGGAAAGCATCTAACTGCGTCACAAAACAAACCCTCACATGTAATTTTCAAGGCCAAAGGAAAAGAGGAAGACCATAAAACACAATACACCGAGAGATGGAGACAGACATGAGAAGAATGAACATTAATTGGATAGAACTAGAAAGGAAGGCTCAGGACAGAGTGGGTTGAAAAATGCTGGTCGGCGGCCTATGCTTCACTGGGGGTAACAGGCGTAAGTAAGTAGGCAATTGAAAGCGCTACTGAAACTAAAAGGTTCGATGACAAATACTGAATTGAGATCACCAATTGGTCAATGCTAGGCTACTATTAAAAGCTTGGGAGACTAATGACCAAATTCGAGACGTAATTCTCGGAGTTTGAGCGAGAAAACGCGACTAGTGGAGCTAATATGTGTCAAGTGTGAGGCAGTTACCCATTGAAGACAATCGAAAATAGTCGCACAGTATCGTGGATTGGTTGAAGTTAGACATTAGCACCGAGGGATGACGGTTCAGTGGTTTAGAGGTTAAGTATTCGTACGTGAAACTGAAGGTCGTGTGTTGGAATCCCTCGTGCAGGATCGTGGATGTGCATTGTTGGAGATTCCCATACAAGGACGAAATGGCTACCCAGCACTTCCAGGTTTTTAATGGTCGTTTAACATTGATTAATTCATTATGTCAATCAAAAGATCTGTCTTAGTTTAAAATCATACACTAGTGTACACCTTAAAACTCAGAATGACAGTGGTTCAATAAGCTCCAGATGTTGTGGAGTAAAAATGATCAAATTATACCAGTTAGTAGGTGGAATTTCAATGACTTACATTTCCAAATTAAAAAAATTTATGTTGAATCCAGCCACTAGTAAAAAGCAAGATCATTATTTATTTTAACAGTATGTATGACGTTTTTCAGACATCTTTTACCCCAACGATGGATATTAGCCGTAAGAGATGTCAGAAACCTTGGGACATAAATCTCCAAAAGCCCACATAAACGAACAGAAACATATTTGTCTAACATAGCAACACAATGATTTGTCACAAAAACAAAGAGAATTAGCCATCAACAAGAAATTAGGCAAAGCAACGTAAATCGTAAAAACAGTCAGCTTAAAATGACAGTTTTTGAAGGAGTCTGTAGTTGTTATTGCTAGAAACTGTAAGGCATATGTACATCGAAAAAGCAACCTAAACTTCCACAACGTTTGTCCTGCTGTCAGTAAGGGGTTGTAGAGACCGTTGAATTCCATTGAAATCATGAAGCGATCTAAGTTAGACCACCATTAACGACCTAGAAGTACTGGACAGACGTTTCGTCCTAGTATGGGACCAAATTAATGTGTAACAAAAAATTTACACACACGAATCGAAACCAGGACATTTGGTTTCGCGCAAGCATGACTGACGTTCTGTCATAGAACCAGACATTTGTGTTTACCGGTGAAGTTCGATGAAAACTGTAATAAATAATTGTCTGAAAGAAAATTCGATACCCTAGAACAAACATAAATAAAAGTAATATTGAATAACGAAGTAAGACGAAAGAATACAAGTCAGTTTGTCAGTCGTAAGATAGGGCCTGACAAGTAAGCACATCGTTCCAAGTGAGATGAGATTGTCAAGCCCATTCCATGATTAGTAAAAAAAGTAACAGAATCAGCAGTGACTGAAAAGATGGAATGTCGAAGATACGATTCGGGAAGAAAACATGGTTTGGCGAAATAAAAACAAGAATATGTTATAAAGAATTAGGAGATAAAAAACGAATACCCCTGTGCCATTGCAAACGATTCCCAGCCACGTAATTCAAATTCTCTAACCTCTAGTTACGATGACCACGCGAAGCCCAACCAGGTAGTCTACATCTATTAACCTGACTCGGTCCAAATGTCAATGACTTCATGGACTCATACTATGTATTGATACAAACTCTCTTAGCATTCTTCCAGCCTTCTCCTACACCAGACATCAACCGTTGAGATAGGCGGCGGTTCGGAATACGTAATAGGTATCCTAACCATCTCAGTTGGTGAAGATTTATTACATATTCGAAAGATTTTCCAATCTTACCTAGTAACCCATTTCTAAATCAGACATTGCTTACCCGATAGTCCCAAAACACAGGATCAATGAATCCAAGACACCTATGATCGAATACTAGTAAACCAGGAATATTCTCTCCGAGCAAGGACAGCATTCTTACAGTTGAAGAACACATGGAACTCAAAACAACTGTCTGCATGCCAACGTCAAAGTCAGAATCTTCAATTCGAAGGTTAAGACAGTTCTGTTGTACACATCTAAAGCTTCAAGAACTACCACAACCATCGTCGAAAAAGTACAAGTATTTATAAAACACTTTTCAACGGACCAAAGAACACATTGAGTCAGTAATCGGAACCATCAATTTTGATTATCTGTTTAGGCAGCAGAACAGATGTATTTTTGACGGTACTACTATTTTTATTTCAACTGTTTCTTGTCATGATACTAACATCCCTATAACATAGTTTCTCCCAATCTCGTTACTTTTATATTCACAACAATGTTCTAGTCTCAGATCAGATCAAAATTTTCGTATTACAATGATACAGTGGCAGATGTCCAAACACTATTGCTTTATTTATTTATTTGTTTATTTAAACACATAAACAATGGTACACGAAGGCACCAAATAGATATGCGCCACATAAATCATTCGATTTGTGTGAGCGCTAGGATACTGCTCGGGTGCCCAAAACCGAAGCAGGTGGTTTTCTTAGGGGGTCAAACCCAGAATCGTTGGCCTAATGGTCTAATCCACGAGGCAGTGGAGCAACGTTAGGAGATGCAGTCCCATGGAAGACGGTGACCAACGATTTGTTCGTACGCCATTTGTTCCTTCAGCATGCTGGAACCCACATCATATCACAATGTGTAGACTTCTCATAACCGTGCGAATTGAAACCCTCATCTATACAATCTGATCAACAGATTTCATTCAGTAAAATTTACCCTTAAGTTACGTAATGTAAGTTATATCACAGCTAGAAATTACAAAAAATCAATATACCTAATTACAATCAAAACAAGTTGAAATAATTCTGAAATATTAACCATATGTTTTCTATCTAAATAGAAACACATAAAAACCTGTGTATATCAGGTTACTATTTAAGTATCAAGGCAATCGAAATGAAAAACACTTTTGTACAAAATACTATACAACTTGACTAAACAACAACAATTCAATTATGGTGTGTGTGTGTGTGTGAAGTAGTTAGTTAACAGTAGCAGTGGATAGTTGTTGGGTGATATTGCATGTAAAACATTAAATGACGGTTCAGTAGTTTAAAGATTCAACATTCATAGTGAGAACAGACGGTCCTAAGTTCGATTTCCTATAGGATCGTGAATGTATATTGTTGAAGAAGAGTTTTATAGTAAGATGAAATAGCTAACCACTGTTTACCGGTTTTGAATAGTTTTCTAATTAAGGTGGAAATGAAGAAATTCAATCCATTCAATAAACTAACTACAGTAACAAGAAAAGTGTCTGTGTCACATGAAAATATTCCATGCATTAGCAAAGAATCAGTGAGAAGCATCAACTTTCTTTGAAACTCTTGCTGTTCTTGAGATATTAATACATCGAACGCATTGTGCACGAAGCTTATCGAAGCAATACTAGTTGTAAGTATTTATCGTTCAGTTATAGAACTGTATTTAAGAACAACAATTGTATCAATCAATGAATAAGGACCAATAAATATAACACTGAACCAGAATAACGTCACTCAAAGAACTGCTTGTAGATGGCTTCTCAGCTCACTAATTATATTTCAATATAAATTTAAGAGTATGCTTTCCTTGAATAATTTAGTAAGTAATCAATATTGATTAAAGAAATAATATGCTCCCTTCTAAATCCTTACAGCTGAACTCAAGGGACCAGATCTATTTTCCTTCAGGAGGGAGTGATGATACAATCAATTAATCAGATATTGACCGAATGTTAAGCTGATGCAATCGGACAAGATTTGACTTCTTGTTCTACGGCTAGGTCTTATCAGACTTCTAAGATAATTGAAGCGGTGAACGCGTTCGACTTCTTCACTCCCTATCCATAGCTTAGGTGTTGACACAGGCCAGTCCTGAAGCAACAATTTGCATTTAGAAAAGAAGGAACGCATCCCAAATATCCTGGCATTGTTATTCAGTGCCATCAAAAGACTACGCAAAAAAAGTAAGTTCCCATTTAGTACGTCAGTGACCGTATTGAACAATTTCTTTAACAGCTATAGTAAGTCGGTTCTTACAGAGTCTAGTACAAGATTTTTTTAAAATCAATAAAGTGAAATTATTAACACGAAAACTGTATACACATACTTGAAGTGAGAGGTGACTATGATTAGTTGAACAAGGTGGTAATGTGTTTTTGGTATTTATCGATGATTGATATCCAGATTGATTATTGTGACATAAGGATGAAGATAGTATATCCAAACTGATGAAATGTTGTAACTGATTTAATTGTACAAATTGAAATAGATCCACTTCAGATAATTGATTGAACTTAGGTTTAACCTTCTAACAAATAATCATAATAATCAATATTATTATTATTATTATTATAACAAAGTTAAATATACATTTTAATAATAATAAAGTCAGTCAGTCAGTCAGTCAGTAACAACGTGGAACTTCGTACGTACGTACGTACATCAGTTCGAGTTGCCACACCATATTAATACAGAGATGCAGTTGTCCATTCAAATCCCGTAGTGCTACATGTAGTGAAATTATAAGCTGTAATCAGAAAAATTAGGGTTTGAAGATGTTATTTAAAGAGTATAATCCAGTGAAATAAATTCGGAAACAGGAAAAAAGGGACATGAAGAATTCAGATTAGAATTTGGGAGAACACAGAGAGTGGATGCACCTGCGTTATTACAAACGATTTTGAGCCATGTCATTCAGGGTCTGTAGCCATCGGTTGCTATCATCTCGCGGTCCCCAACCAGGTAGTCTACACCTACCAACATGACTCAGTCCACTTGTCAGTGACTTCATGGACTTGTGCTATGTTTTAATCTGGCCGACCCTAGCTTTCTAACAACCTACTCCTATACCACTCAACATCGCAGGTCGAGGCAGTCAGTGGTTGGGCATACGTAACACGTGTCCCAGCCATCTTAACTAATCAAGTTCCATTACTTCATCAATTGATTTGCCATCCTTACCTAGTACCCGTTTCCTAACAACTGCGTTACTTACTCGATGGTCCCAGGATATACGAGCAATGTTTCGAAGACACCTATGATCAAATACTAGTAACCTTCGAATATCCTCTACTCATACCGGCCATAATAATATTATATATAATGGCATTTTATTGATTTTCATCTTTGCCTTTCTTCCTGTCTGTGCTTCAGTACGTGGAGATCAGATGATATAACTGAGAATACCAAAGAGGAGTATCACTTCCTTTGAAACTGTAGATACATTTTGTTGATGAGTGTCATCTAGTGAAAAACCTATGTCCAGAGCATCTATTTGACTATCATTTAGTTAGTCTGTCATAAGCAATGTAGAACCTAAGTTATCATAAAATATTAACACAAAGAGATAAATATATAAACATGAAAACCAGATTACTAAGCATTATAGTAATATCAGTGGTAGTAAAAAGATTCAGGTACGAAGGATATGATTTGAGTTAGTCATTCAGTCATCTACAACGTAGGATCAGGCACATATGTGCATTGGTCCAAGTCGCCATACCTCATTAGCACAACAAAATAAACACCAAATCCATAGAAGTAGTTAATTCAATGGTGGTAATATATGAAGAAAACATTGCATATAAGGACATAGTACAGCAAGAAAGAATTAGTTCATAGAAAGATATGAAGCGAATTTTAATCTCATAGTTTAAGGGAAGACAGCGAGTGATATGGTTCGAGAGGAAAAATGAATTTGGGGCACAAAAATTTCAGATTCATGATCTGAGAGAAGATAGAGTTAATGCATCTGCGTCAATGTAATTGAGTCAAAGAGACGTTACCCAACAACTTCAACCATTAGTCATGATAATGGTATGAACCTCAACCAGGTACTCAGAATCAATCTATATGGTTCAGACCATAAGTCAACAACTTAATGCACTGGCCGCACATTTTCATTTAACCGCTCTGTCGGTTGTTGTAAACACAATTAAAAGCTTGAAATCATTCAAAAATACAATAGATCCTATTCAATAGTATACTTGAACTGTACTGCGTATAAGAAAATCAAAGCCTTTTACGTAGACAGGGACATACAGTGTGATTCTGATAGCAAAAATCCAGCATTTTTAATTATAAGAGCTTGTATTTTCTAATCTCGATACTTAAAAATAGATTGATCAGTCATTATAAGTTCATTGAGTTCCTTTGAATATATAATTTAGTAATAAATGGACTTACATATTAACAAATTAGGCGTGGTGACTATAGTAACTAAGAAGTCAAACTGGTGATCAGTGGTTTCTACTTCTTATGTGAACAAAAACACCATGATTAGTAGATACATCTACTATGTTTGAAGAGACTACGAGGTCACTGAGAAATCGGCGAATGCAACGAAGGATCAGCTACAAGACAAGATGGCGTCCCAACCCCGCTAACTAGACAGAGAAGTCCAGGTTCAGAAGAGAGGAAATGTATTCCACAATCAAACAAAAGCACGAACAACAAGAAGCACAACTCAAGCATATATATACAGCATAAAATGTTCTTGGGAAACGTCACAATATAGCATATTATAAAAAGAAGCAAACCAATGATATTTAAGATCCTGCCAAGTAGGAAATACAATATGAAGGTGAAAATGGGCACTTTTAGCGCGCGAACGCTTAAACATTAGACCAATGAGCCGACCAGCATCCAACAGTGTTAATGTCTAACTTTAACCAAACCACGAAATTCAGCGACACGTCCATCATTGTCTTCAGTGAGCTACTATCTCACAACAGACCCGGTTGAACTCCACTAGTCACTGCTTCTCACTAGAACTCCAGGAAATACCTTTTGAAACCAGTCGCTACTGAGCATATGCTGATTAGTATCCGAATGGGTTTTTTCTTGTGGATATTATAGCAATTTCAACAGCTGAGATCGTAAGTCTTCGTTTAAATTTTAAATAACATTTATTCATATAGATAACTTGGTAGTTTAGAATCTCCTCTATACAGTAATGAACCAATTATCATTCATATTTATAAAAGAAAAGAGAGAATAAAACGATTTAACTAGAGAAATACAAAGGGCTCACCATATTATTTAACTGTTTTCCATGTAAACAAAACCAGGTCGACAATCCTAAACTATGATTATCAATAGTATAATTAAACGAAGTAGACAAAGATGATTGATTACTCTGGTGATTAATAATGGTTGATAATGGACAAATATAATTTAATAATTTTTGATATAAAATTTGGTGAGTATCAATTTCATATTGATTATCTTCAAATGCTAATGCATAAGAATAATGATGAGAGCACATATTAGTACATTGTAGAATAGGATAATGTAGCTGTCCATGTTGATAATATAAGAGATGAGTGTTTAATAATTTTGGCCAAATGGTATATATGGTTGGCATGAGAACATTATTTATTTGAATCCAATCAATCAGTAAATTGAACATTTGACATGTAACCTTAAAAAGAGAGAGAAAATGAAAAAGAAAGTAAAACTGCCGCCAAATGCCCTGGTATGGCCGAGAGTGAGGAGAGTCCGCTCTCCCTCTCGAAATGCTCTCACATGGCCACGCGTATATAGCCTCTGCCAGGGAAGTCCTACTCATTGCCTTCTCGTGGCGCGGGTGTTGTTTACGAAATTGAGAGGACGAAAAGTGAATGTCTGGCGCTTTAACCGGATTCCAAACCAATGCTCCACATGGGCTCCAGTATCGTGCGGGAACAAATGGCGTATGAACCAATTGTCGGTCACCGGCTACCATGGGACTGCATTTCCTTACGATACTCCACTGCCTTGTGGATCAGACCTTCAGGTCGAAGGCTCGAGAAGTGGCCCCCTAAGAAAATCACCTGCTTCTGTTTGGGCACCTGGGCAGTATCACAATCCTCCCACATATCGAATGAGATTTGTGTAGCGCATATGTATTTGGTGCCTTCTTGTACCAGTATCTATGTGTTAAAATAATAATAATGACGTAACTACAGAACTTTATAAAGCATGCTAGTGAAGAGGAACTTTATAGGAATTTGATATAACAATCGAAAATTTAACTTATAAATGATAAATTATGTTATTTTCATACTTAATCTACTTATTTACAACTGTTTTTCCTTGTGGAGCTTGGCTGCCAATCAGGATTCTTCAACTGTCTTTGGTTCACTTTTCAAGTTGTTTCCATGTGTTATTTATCCTTTTAATGTCTGCTTACAATGGACAGGACAATGTGTTATTTGGTCTTCCTCCTTTTCTTTTCCTTTCGGGATTTCATGTTATGGCCTGCTTTGTGGTGCACTTCAGTGGTTTCCGCGATATATACAATTCACCTCCATCTTCTTTCCATATTTTCCTCTTCACCTGGAAGTTTGTTGGTTTTCTGAATACAGTAGATTGTTGCCGATATCCGAAAAAAGGAACTAGAGTATTTTTCGTAGACAACCTTTTATAAATACTTGTACTCTTTTGGTGATGGTTGTAGTAGCTTTGCAAGTCTTAGATCCACCTGAAGCCCTTATGGAATAACTGCTGATCACAAGCCCGGATAAATGTAGAGGAGTTAGGCGGGAGGTTAGCGACCCGATCTTGTAGAGAAGGACGTTTCTAAAGAACGCTAGCTTGAATCACTTGGGTAAACAATTAAATGTTTAATTGGTTTGCGGAGATTGTTACAGTCTATAGTTTATTTCACAAACTAATCCTATTTAGACAATTCGTAATGAAGGTTCTTCATACTACGACGAAACAGCATCAGCATACGACCATTTATTAGGATAAGTGTACACTTACACTATGGATACGGTATTGTCTATCAACCAGTTTGTTCATACGATGAATTCTCAACAAATATGCAAGTTAGTCACATCATGAACAAATATCTCTTAGACAACATATTACGAACCTTGAATCTGACTGGCGAACATTCGAATTCTCGATAAAATATAAAACCCACGAGTAAAGCTGCAGATTCTTCATAGTAACGCACATCAGTAAACATAAACTTTATTTGTAATGTTACGTCTACCGACATGAAATAACCTAAATTGATATTCATATTGTAAATATCTGTTTTGTAGATTTTATCAATTCTCTAGGAAAAAGTTGAACACGTCATCAATCGTTGATTCATGAAAAATTATCGCAATATGTAGCTTGTACTTATCACAAGTTGATATCAGATGAATTGTTCCTGAAAACCAAGTAGCACTGGGCAGCCGTTTCGTCTTAATACTCAATAATGCACAACCACGAACCCATAAGCGATTGAATTCAGAATATCCAGATTTTGCAGCGAATGTTTAACCATTAGAGTAGCTTAGTTTAGACCCAATGTTATAAATCCAACTTCAATCATTTCGAGATATAGCGCAATGATTATCCAATCCCTACTGCAATCAAATCATCGCAATACGTAAGTAACAAATTGACATCGAAATATAAAAAATGACAGTTGAACAACAACAGTTAATTAATTAAAACCCTCTACTTACGTATGGATATATACTATTGATTGCATGAAGCGTGGCAGGCTTCGTATCCTGTTCTGTAAGGTCATCATCATGATGAGTAGTAATGTGTTGGTATTTATGGTTATTACCTTTGTTAAGACTGTTACTGCCTTCAATATTTTGTATTTGTCTTAAATCTTTCAATATCAGCTGCATAAAGTGTTTTACAGATTTCACACTTAATACACCCAGTGGTTGTGAATAGTCTGTACAAAATTGAATTGATCGAATATATTGTGGTATCATGAAACATCGTAATAAATCTAAACAGCTGAGTCGAATAACTAGATATATATGTGCGTAGGTGTATAGAGATGAAGTACCGGACATAGAAAAAAAATAGAGAAGAAAAAAGGTTAAAACTGTGAATAGAACAAAATGTACACAACAGAGATAAGTAAGAAACTTATAACACGAACAATTATAAAATACCGTTATAAGGGTTTGTAAGGATTGTTGAATCTCATCACATGCTCAATGGTAACTAATTTCGAGAGAGTTCTAGAATTCTAATGAGACGTTGTGATTGGTGGAGCTAAATTATGTTGGACATGAAACAGTTACCGGTACAAGAAAAATGGAAGATGGTTGAGCAATGTCGCGAGTTAGTTGGAACCAGACATGTACATCACTGAACTCTGACTCAACATACTAGAGGTTAAACGCATTTTGAGAGACCTGAGGGTTAACAGTTCGATCTGAAGTGCAGTATGGATGCGCGCTGCCAAGAAGTCTCACACTAATACAAAACAAGATTTCAATGCTCCCTGATTTTCTATGGATATCTAACAGAGTTTGATTCGTGATATTAATAAAATTGTAATTAATTATTTATTTATTTAAACACATAAACATTGGTACAATAAGGCACTAAATAGATATGCTCTACACAAATCATTCGATTTGTGTGAGGGCTGTGATACTACCCGGGTTCCAAGCCGAAGCACGTGGTTTTCTTAGGGGGCCACACACCGAGCCTTCGACCTAAAAGTCTAACCCACAAGGCAGTGGAGCATCGTAAGGAGATGCAGTCCCATGGTAGTCGGTGACGAACGATTGCTTCATATGCCATTTGTTCCCGCAGGATCCTGGAGCTCATGTGGAGCATTAGTTTGGAATCCGGTTAAAGCGCCGGACATTCACTTTTCGTCCTCTCAATCTCGTAAACAACAGTAATGCCACGAGAAGACGATGTGTAGGACTTCCCTGTCAGTGGTTGTATGCACGTGGATATGTGAGAGCATTTGGAGAGGGAGAGCTAACTCCCCCCACTCTCGTCTTTACCAATGCATTTGGGGGCCCTAATTGAAACTATTTATGTAAAGGTTAGTAATACTATCCTGTTGCCCACAATCGAATTAGGTGAAATACATTTTGAAGCAAAGAAACATTTGTGATTGAAACACGTGTCACTTAATTGGTAAATTATCACGGTACAATATTATCAAATGAGATATATGATCTTTCTAAAAACAAATTGTCATCTTTCATCATAAATGTGATTCATTATCTGTGAGGACGGCACATGGATGAACTCGAGGAAGCTCTAAGAAGTTCAGAACGAGTCGAAGATATTGAGAAGTCATTTTGTTTTCAATAGTTACTTCTAATTACATAAATATACGATAAAAGATAAACGTTTTCATTAGAAACCTAACTTCATTTAATTGAGTTAAATGTAAATGTTACATAAGAAGTTAACTTACTTGAACACTTTGATAAATTAGTCATTAATTTTAAAATCTCCTCAATTAAATGATTTATATTAATCTGAAAAGATACAAAAACAAACGAACTATTCTATTAGTGATAGAAATTAGTTCCGTTAGTCAGTCAGATACAACGTAGGATCAGGCATATATATGCATCAGTCCAAGATGGCATATTTCATTAGCACAACAACATGAACAACGAATTCATAGAAGTAGTTAATATATGAAGGAAACATTGCATATAAGGATATAGTACAGGACGAAAGAATTAGCTCGTAGAAAGAAAGATATGAAGCGATTTTAATATCATAGTTTAAGGGAAGACAGAGAGTGTATACACCGATACCATTTTGATCGATTCTGAGGTATGTCACCCGGAGTCTCCAACTAACTAGAAATTATTTCAAGTAGAAATCAACATTTTATGTCATTCATAGAAATGTATTCACTACAGATTTGGCGAGACTATAATTTATCACGTATAGAACAACAGGTCTCGAATTTTGGCGCTACATTCATTCATCCATTTGGGTAAATACAGTTTTGGCATTATAGCTGTTGTCAGTTCGTGATGAAAACCCGAAATCTAATTCCAAAGTAAAATCATCAACTGTAAATTATAATTATAATTCATCACACAGGTTTATAACCCTTATTTAGTCCTGGTATTAATTGGACACTCTTAAGGTCAGTCTAGCGTCGCTCAAAGGTCGTCCATAAATTATAGTCTCACCACAGATTTTAAATCATCCTGCTACTACATAGTCAAAATAACCTTATTGTGTGATGTGCGCTACTTATGAGGAACGATATAATTAGTATATAGAAGGAATCGGAGGTGAAATGAATACCGGCAAAAGATTCAAATAAAAAGAAGAGGAAGGAAAACAGAATAACAATAGAATTGGAAGAATGATCAAGTGTGTAAGGGACAACTCAAAGAGAGTATGCAAATAATGTATTCCTATATTTTGCAAAAACATTTCGTGCTTTAACCTACAATAAATAATTGGTTTGCCGTATCTAAGTTTTCGGCCAGTACAATTAGACAATTCATTCATAGTAGCTAGGTGGATAACGCGATGGCGTTTGAGGTGAACGATACTGGGTTCGAGGCCCAAAGTAAACATTAACTCTAGGTTACAGGTACATATAGCTAATGAGTCCTGAATGGGACGAAACACGCATCCTAGATTCCACTGCTAGCCACTATCCATCTTTGCTTATAATCCTTTTGACTTAAACCAATATCTAAACAATTCGCACCTGATGAGCATATGCGCGCTAATAAGAGACTGTGCAATTGCAGTCCTAAACATCAAATGGGAAGATTCAAACAAACAATACAAAAATGAACTGATTCATTATATTGTTGAGTAAGTCAGCACGAACCATATAAACCACTTTTCATCATAATTTTAGGCCATCAAAAAATGTATTTAAAGTGTTACATTCACAGGCTAGGTGACATCTTACGATATTCTTGAGGCACATTGAAATATGACGTGCTAAGGTTAGCTATTATTATACCTTTTGTCGATTCCTGTGTTATCGGTGTAATTTGATTTCTATAACATATTTCCACAGTTCATTATTAACGTAGAAGACAATATTATACAACTAGAAACAGCAGTACACTTTCTATATTCTCATAAAAAAATCCTGAAAAAAAGATGACATCACTTAGAGTTTACGAGATCAATGAGAAAAACAAATATATGTATTCAGGATCTAACAATTCACAGTTATATAATATACCCTTATAGTTTTACATCGGTTTTCAGGAGAACCAGACACCACTCGAACTTTCACGTAACAAACCAAACAATACAGCTTAATCCCATTTAGCAAGAGAGACAGACACCACCCAGGCTTAAAATTTATAGGCCAAATAGTACGGCTCAATCCCGCTTCTAAGAGAACCAGACTGAAAATTTATAACCCGAGCAGTACATCTCAATCTCGCTTCACAAGAGAACCAGACACTATGTAGACTTTAACGCTACGATCTGAATAATACATCTCAATCCTGTGGCGAAACCACACAAGTACCAAGCACCCTAATGGATCTAACAGTACTTACTTGTAAATATTTATCCTCCATTGAATGTGGTCCATGTATATCTGATTTAAATATACTAAAATAATGAGCAATAATAATTGATAGACAATTTGACCATAATTGATTTTCACATTTAATTGAAGCATTTACATTATTCATAATAGATAATGATAATTTAGTATGTAGACAACAATTGAATAATGATAAGTTATGTAATGTTAATCGAATAAATAATCTTGTTGAAAACACTAATAGTCGTACTGATTGTGGATTATACTTGTATATTGTATCCTTTTGATTTGTATCATTTGATTGATCTATTCTCAATAAAGATAAAAAAGGAGAATTTTCTAGATGAAAAGAATAATGATATACTGATAAAGATAAAGTAATAGAAAGTATTGAACTAGAAGATAACTGATTATATAGGGTATACACAGAGAGAGAACAAGATAAACACTTTATATTCACATCTGTTGGGATCACCGGGTAGGTAATAGTGGAGTTAGACACAGGGTATTAGGGAATGATGGTAAATCAGTTGATGAGGTTGTGAATCTTCATCGACTGAGATGGTTGGTCCACGTGCTGCGTATGCCTGAACACCGAGTACTACGACGCTCAACGCTGACTAGTGTTGGGGATAGTTGCAAGAAGTTTAAGGGCCAGCAAACCAAAACGTGGTATCACTCCTCGAAGTCACTAACTTCTAGTCTGAGCCATGTTGATAGATGCAGACTACTTGGTCGGGGTCCGCGTCACTATCATAACGAATGACTGGAGACTCCGGGTGACATACCTCAGAATCGATCACAATGGTGTCGGTGTATACACTCTCTGTCTTTCCTTAAACTATGATATTAAAATCGCTTCATATCTTTCTTTCTACGAGCTAATCCCTTCTTCCTGTACTATATCCTTATATGCAATCTTTCTTTTATATATTACCACCATTGAATTAACTACTTCTATGAATTCGTTGTTCATGTTGTTGTGCTAATGCGGTATGGCATCTTGAACTGATGCATATATATGCCTGATCCTACGTTGTAGCTGACTGACTGATGTAGTTAACAAAAAATATAATTTGAATGGTTTTTTTGCAATGTTCCTAATAGAGCTAATGTAGATGTATGATTTGCAGAAATAACTTTGCGACCTAGATTATTTAACTACGAAGTGGTATATATAGCTCAAAAATTACATTTATTTAATTACGTAACAGTATCCATAAGCGGGGATATATTTCGAACCAACCAGCTATTCTGAACTTTAGCAAAGCAGTTAGTAGACTTTACCTACACTCACTCATCGCTGATTTTAGCAACCTCGTAAAAGACTGTATGGATAGTGAATCGTTAAAACCAGTTGTGTCTTACACTAGTAAAACCCAGTTTCTCAGAAATAATTTTGACTGTAGAGAAATATTATTTCGGTCATCCATGCCCGCAAACCATTCAGTATAGTCGGTAGCAGAGTTTTCTAAATAATACTGAGATATGGAAGACTGGATTCGGACACAAGAGAGATGATAATCCTCTTGTACTACCACATAAAAATGCAGTATTCGTTGTTGTTGTTTTTTTCATTTATTTATTTATTTAAACACAGAAACATTAGTACAATAAGGCACCAAATAGATAGGTGCAAACATAAATCAGTCAATTTATGTGAGGGCTGGGATACTGCCCGGGTGACCAAAACCGAAGCATGCGGTTTTCTTAGGGAGCCATACCCGGAGCCTTTAACCCGAATGTCTAATCCACAAGGCAGTGGAGCAACGTCAGGAAATGCAGTCCAATGATAGACGGTGACCAAAGATTGATTCACACGCCATTTATTCATTCAGGATACTGGAACCTTTGTATACCATTGTATTGGAATCAGGGTTTCTTATCCCTTCAAGGTGAACACTCCGTGTCGACCAACCCGGTTAGAGTGACGGGCATTCACTTTTCATCCTCTCAACTTCGTAAACATTACCACCCGCCATGACAAGGCAGTGAGTAGAACTTTACTGGTAGTGGTTGTATGCACGTAGCCATGTGAAAGCATTTGGAGGGAGAGCTGCCTTTCCCCACTCTCATGCGTACCAGGGCATTCGGGGGCTTTTTTTACAAATGTGAAAACAGCAGCTTCCGAAAAACATACTACTTTACGACACTATTATCAGGTAAAGTACCAATAGAATGGTCACGTTATGATAATGCAGCAAGGAGGGAAAAATAATTTTAATAGATTAGCATCTGTTTGTCCATGATACATTTTTGGTTGCCGTCCTGAAGATTGAGCAACTCAAGTATGGCTCGAAACAAAGGTTAAGAGTGATTGTTCTATAATTTTCTATTATATTACTCTTCAATAGAATAAGATTCATGATTTAACCAAATGGAATTACTCTTGATTGTATCCTCATATTAACGGTCTCATTTATTGCTTAATACTTTGTTTTTTCCATGCAACCTTTTTGATTTTCCAGCAGCTCGTTCGTCATTCTAATAACTTCGTTCTGAGCGACTGGATACTGTCAAAACAAACAAAAAATTCACAAAATACTTCTTTACGTACTCGAATTCGAATCAATCACATCCTGTGAGAGCTAACGCTACTACTGGAGTACCCCAAGCCAAATACGAAGAAACGAAACCAAATCGGTGATTTAATAGCTAAAGGAAAGTTCATTGACTACGAAACCATTGCTCTACTCACTCTTGAGAATAAACATTTTCGCTCAATGACATAATATGCATAAACGTGTACTCATATATTCGATTTATCAACTCATGAAAAAGAGGTTATTTAACCACATAGTTTGGGGTCGATCAAACTTGAACATTAGGATAAATGGAGATAAAAATAGCTACGAAAATAACCAATCGTAAACATGCCCACTAGAACAAATTGGTATAAGACTCTAGGAATAACTAAGAAGCTCATTTCTACATGAAGTAAGAGCTAATGTTAATGTCCTGAACTACAATAAAAACTCTCCAACTGAATGATATAATTCAGGGAAGTCAACAACACCAACATAAATCTATTAATTAGTTGAAGCTAGTCAACAGGAGGCCTGCTTCTTGAGTATCTCAATGGTAACATTTCAGACTAAAAAGCTGAGAGACATGAGATTGAATCTTACAGGGAGTACTAATTCCCTCAAGATTATGAGTACAACTTGCTCACGTGTATCACATAACAACCAACTTATGTCTACGAATTTCTAGCGATTAGGTTCAACCACCTAAAATTTTAGTATAGTCCATGCAGTATCGAGTTCCTTGAACTAGTGGCCACGTTACACGTCAATTAATAGAAATTAATTAGTATTGACAGGTGACTTACCAAAATATTGATTATCCGTACAAGTATTTGATGTTTTATTTATCAATTCCTCAGAAGTTAATGATGAAGAAGATCGGGATCGTTCATCGAACATTTTATTAGATAATGTTATCTTATCATTATTGGTAGCAGTAGTAGTAGTAGTAATAGTAGTACTGTTGTTTATAAAAGAATTTTCATGAAAGGTATACTGAATAAAATGTACAAGGAACTCATAAAAATTATTAAAACCATATGTTCTAATAAATTGTACTTGTGTAAAAGCATCTTCTAGTATAGTGAATAACTGATCGATTGAATTGTTATACTTATTATGATTATCACTATATGAATCACCATTATTCAATAATGGCTGAAATGTAAAAAGAAAGAAAGAGAGGGAGGGAGGGAGGGAGGGAGGGAGAAAATAGTAGGCAACTATCAAAACTTAATTATTACTATGAAAAGAAACATAAATGGTGTCTGTATGTAAATTTATATTAATTGTAGAAATCAAGAATATACTGTTGTTTTTTATTATCATAATATCAAGTGTATATTATTAACTGTCACTCAAGCTAATATTCCATCCGCTAACAGTTATGTGATTTTATTGATGAGACCCAGAAAATTCCTTAAGAAGAAAAAGTCAAAATGGGCCCTTTAAACAGTGAGGAACATCTTATTTCATCAGTATTCAATAGAAGTTTTACATATTAGGGCAGGATCATTGATGAACACAGTGAATCTGATACAGATGTGAAGGCAAAGCAAGATCAGCTTATTTACAACTGAAAAACATCTGGAACTCAAAACAACTGTCTGTCAACCAATACCAACGTCGGATTTTTATTACAAACGTCAGAACACTTCTATTGTATGGAGTGGAAAACAGAAGAACTACGAAAGCCATCATCCAGGAGATAAAAGTGTTTATTAATAGTTGTCTATGCAAAATACGTCAGACCCGTCAGCCAGGTACTATCAGCAACAACCTACTGTGAGAGAGAACAAACCGAATCCTAATCGAGGAAGAAGCGCTGAAAGTGGATAGAACACACATTGAGGAAAGCACCCAACTGAGTCACAAGGCGATCCCTCACATAGAACTCTGAAGGCCAAAGGACGAGAGGAAGACCAAAGAACACATTACGCCGAGAAATGGAGAAGGATATGAGAAGAATGAACAAGAATTGGATAGAACTAGAAAGGAAGGCCCAAAACAGAGTGGGTTGGAGAATACTGGTCAGTGGTGTATGCTCTATTGGGGGTAACAGGAGTAATTCAGTAAGTAATTCAATAGTAGTTTACCAGAAACATCTAGGAAGCGAAAAGTCAAATGATACAGTTCTAATCGGATAATTACTTATCCTACTACTATGTTTAGTAGCGTTCCAGAACTTTCCAGAAACCTAGGGTTATCTACTAAACCGTTATAATTACCCTTGATTTCCTGTACAAAAACGAACCTTGGAGTAAAGTAATATTTCTCTATTTTTCGCCTTTTCTCTCATGTTCAAGTTACCGTGTGGGCTTAACCTGAGGGTTACTAGAAGAGCTCACGAAACCGAATTAAGCGTTCAATTAGAAGGTTTATCACTTACGCCAAACTTTAGTTAGATTGTATCATTAACATAATTATTGCAAAGATGTATACAAAATAGTTGATTTAAATCATGAAACTATTAAGTGAATATAGTTTGATAGGCTTATCATAATGATTTTTATTGTCTTTTCCATGTCTTTGGGTATTTTTTTCTTTCCAGTTATAGATGATTGCAAGAACCAAGTAACGAAACTGGAATCTTCATTCATTACACCATACCACTGAAAGCATTATGTCTTAGTCATCTCATGAAGCAAATACTGTTTTTCAACTATTGCGTTGTATGTACGATTTATCATTCTAAAACACTCATTACATTGTAACTATATCATTCTTATAGTGTACTTACGCTCTCGTTATACGGCTTATACAAGAAAACAACGTACTTGCAAGGGTGACGTCTTTTATGGTGTATGTTTCAATAATAGTCAGTCAGTCAGTAACAACGTAGAATTTCGTACGTACGTTCATCAGATCAAATTGCCACACCACATTAACAAAGAGATGCAGTTGTCGATTCAAATCCCGTAGTGATAAAGGTAGTAAAATCATAAGCAGTAATCGGAAACATTAGGTTTTGAAGATGTTATTCAAGAAGTATAATCAAGTGAAATAAATTTGGAAAGAGAAAAGATAAGGGACATGAAGAATCTAGAAGATTAGGATTTGGGAGAAAACAAAGAGTGCATGCACCTGCGCAATTGCAAACGATTTTGAGCCATGTAATTCAAGGTCTCTAACCATCGGTTTCTATCATCTCGCAGATCCCAACCAGGCAGTTCTATACTCTATAATGTTACTACCTATGTGTATGAAATATTATGCTTCATACTATTATAACCCTTATGACGAATTGACAAACAAAACAATCTATAAATCCTGTTTTCTCAAATGATGTAACCTCATATTTCCTTACATATTACAGTCTTTTTTGTGTCGACTCGATCATCCTTGTGAACTAAAAAGTAGTCGGTAAGGATTTTCAAAAGATAAATTATTACAACCGAACTCAATGAAATGATAATCCTATACATTTTATTTTATGACTACAGATTTAATGTCACTTAGATGGTTGGAAGAAAGTTATGGGCCGCCAAACCGAAACGTGGCATTAGTTCACAAAATCACTAACTTCTAGTCTTAGCCATGTTGGTGGATGCAAACTACTTGATTGGGGTCCGCGTCACTATGATAACGAATGGTTGGAGACTGAATGACATGGCTCAGAATCTATCACTATGGTGTAGGTGTATACCCTCTCTATCTTCCCTTAAAATCCTATATTAAAAATACTTTATTTCTTTCTTTCTTTTATACATTACCACCATTGAATTAACTACTTCTATGAATTAGGTGTTCATCTTGTTGTGCTAATGAAGTATGGCAATTTGGACCGATGCATATATGTCCCTGGTCCTACGTTGTAGCTGACTGACAAGATATTCAATCAATATAATGCAACTCATTTATTGAATATCAATTTGTACATTAAAATTTGAATTAAGCTGCTTGTATAGGGATTCATGAAACTATCCATTAAGCTAAACTTTAGAAAACAAAACAGGATTCAAATACGTAACCAACTGAATACTTTAAATACTAAGATGCCACTTTCAGAAATAATATAGATGTTTTATGAACCAGTGAACATTGTTATTGTTAACAAAACAACTGAATATTGGTAAGGGTTTTATGGATATTATTAGTAATTTCAATAGTTTAGAACATGAATCAATTGAATCTAGCCCACCATTAGAAAACCTAGAAGCACTGAACGGTCGTATCGTCCTAGTATGAGTCTCCTTAACAGTGTTCATTCACTTTGAATATTGAATAAAAATTCCATTGGCAAGGAATGTTAAATAAAGAACTAGTAAAAAAAGAAAAACATTGTACAATATTCAAATAACATACCGCTATATTTGGTATCATTTCAAGTAAAACAATCATTGGCGGTAAAATTAAAGAACTTAATTGATTGACATTTCGCAAATCAACTACATCAGTAATTGGATCCTTGTAGTTTTCATTTATATAAAACTTTACTTGTATAACTTTACTTATAAATGAAATACCAAGTTCAGTAAAAGATTTTTTCGAATGTTTATTTGAATTCTGAACATTGATTAATGAATGATGAAATAAATTCTGATTTAAATGAATGATCATTGGTGGATTTGACCAATTCGAATGAGAGATTAATATAAGATAAGCTAATAATTGCCAAATTGATATGATTTCTTCAATAGTCTATGAAAATAGGAGAAAAGATGTATTATTATTTATTTATTTATTTATTTAAATAATTTCAATGGTTAGAATCATGAGTCAGTTGAAGCTAGACCACCATGGAAAACTTTGAAGAACTGGACGGCCGTTTCGCACTATTGCGAGATTCCTCAGCAGTGCGCGGTAGGTCCTGGGTTCGAATCGCGCAGGGGGGGGAGGTCGTGGATGCACACTGCTGAGGAGCCCCACAATAGGACGAAACGGCCCTCCAGTGCTTCCACGTTTTTCATAGTGGTCTAGCTTCAACTGACTCATGATCTTAACCACTGAAATTACTATAATATCCACAAAACCCACTTGTTATTTAACTACATAAACATTCGTACACAGAGATAACAAATAGATAGGTGCAAACATAAATTATTCGGTTTGTGTGAGTGCTGGGATACAGACCAGGTGCCCAAATCAAAGCAGGTGGTTTTTTATCTGGGCCATACCCGGAGCCTTCGACCTAAAGGTCTAATCCACAAGACAGTGGAGTAACGTAAAGAGATGCAGTCACATGGAAGCCGGTGACCAACAATTGGTTCATACGCCATTTGTTCCCGCAGGATACTGGAACTCATGTGCACCATTGGTTTCGAATCAGGGTTTTCCAACTTCTCTAGATGAATCCTCCGTGTTCACTATTAATGTCATAAGCATAAGCGTTATTCGTGGAAATGGTAGTTTCCATAGTTAAAATAACGAACTGATCATAGCTAGACCGTCATTGAAATTAATTTTATTTTTATTTATTTGAACATATAAATAGGGGTACAATGAAGAACCGAATACATATGCGCCACATAAGTCACTTGATTTGTGTGTGGGTTGTGTTACTGCGCGGGTGCCCAGACCGAAGCGGGTGGTTTTTTAGGGGGCCACACCCGAAGCCTTCGATCTAAAGGTCTGACCAATAAGGCAGTGGATTAACGTTAGGAGATGCAGTCCCATGGTAGACAGTCACCAACGATTGGTTCATACACCATTTGTTCCCTCAGGATACGGGAGCCCATGTGCACCGTTGGTTACAAATCAGGATTCCCCGTCTCCCCTAAGTGGACTCTCCGTGTCCACCAACCCGGTTAGAGCACCGGATATTCGCTGTTTATCTTCACAATTTCGTAAACAATAGTAATGCCAAGAAAAGGCAGTGAGTAAAACTTCCATGTCAGTGGTTGTATGCACGTGGTCATGTGACAGCATTTGGAGAGGAATAACTGATAATCCCCACCCTCGGTCGTACCAAGGCATTATACGAGCGTCTCGTCCTATTATGGGACTCATTAGCAGTGCATATCTACTGCTCTACTACAGAGGGTTTGAACCAAAAACTTTGGTCTCGAGGACGAATGAACAATAGTTAGACCACAGAGCCGATATCCAATGAAGTGCATATCTAATTATAGCCAACATTTGATGTTCTACTACTATCTTCCATTATTTGCGGTGGATAACTGTCTCACACTCAACATGTCTGCACTCCTCTGTTCACCGCTTCTCACTACAGTTACAGAGATTGCATCTTGAAGCTGGTCACTAGTGTGCAGATGATTATTATCAGTACATTTGGATATAAAGAGGCAGTGTTCTGGTTAATATCAGTTCTCGATTCAAACCGTTATTACTATGAAAGCTATTAAAAATATCCAAGCAGTTGAGGTAACTCTGTTTTATTGTAACAACTTACTTAACAAAAAGTATAATACAATCAATTCAATCGTCAAAATTTAAAGATAATGACGAAATTGATGTTGATAACACAAGGATATACACGGAATTATAACAAACGTTTTACCTTTGAATTCGATGTGTGTAGTAACTTTTCTGATTCATTTAAAATATCAAAAAATAAGCCAGCTGTGGAATACATCAAACGACTTTGTAATAGTTCGTATTCTTGTATTGACGATAATTGAATGTGATCACTGGAGACTGTTGAAGGACGATTCAACTGGACAGTTAAAATATTATTAACTAAACATCTATAATAAGAATAATAATAAGAAGAAGAAGAAAGCTGAACAGTCAACAAAATTTATTTATTTATCACTAAAGAATTGAAATACAAGTAAACTTCTGTTAGCTTAGGTAATGCTCAAGTTATAAAATACTGTCAAGCACAAAAATTGAGCTCTGTAATCACACTTTTGGGTCGTTAAGACAACAACTAACCAAGTTTTCGTTTTAACTATTTGAAGAAGGAATACCGATTCCCTAAAGACTGCAAATACACATTCATCACGAGTGCCAACTAGTATGTAACAAATCTAATGTTTCCCGTCGATTATGTCTTAATACTTAATCAAACTCAGACCAGATGTCGCATGTCAACTTGATTGATAGAATTTGACCAGATTCGACAAATACAATAATAATAACTACTAGGTGATTATACAGTGCAAATTCATAGTATGACCTTAATGCAATATCTCATTTGTTACTATGTCGTTAAGTTAATATAAATATTTTCCCTAACTGAATACATGAATATTATTAAGATTATCAGTGTTTTCATCACCACCTATCTACTTTAATAAATGATTATAAACTAGAAAGTCAATTATCCTCATTAAATTATTTGAATAATTACTAATAAACAATCCAATGGGGAGAAATTATGCTTGAATAAATATAGAGAAATGGTAATCAAACCATAGTGCAAATTAAAAGTTCATCGGACAAGTAATAGGATAACACTAAGCTAGGTGGGTGAGACTATAACTTTTGGACGAGCTTCGAACGACACCAAAGTGACGTCGATAACATCCACCTACTAACAACGACTATATAAGAGTTGTAAAACAGTGTGAAGAATTAGAATTATGATTTGCAGTTGATGTTTAGGGTTAGAAAATAGATTTAGGATTTTCATTACGAACTGACATAAGCTAAAATGTTAAAACGATGAAATCCAAGACCTACTACCCCAAATCTGATTGGTTCGTTCATAAATTATAGTGTCGCCACTCATTCGTTACAGTAAAATTTTGTCATCAGCACTATGTGAATAGTAAAAAACGCACCACTCTATATTCCACGTAATATGTTAAATTACTAATTGACTATGCAAAAGTAATTTGAATAATCAAACAAATTACAAGTTAATTAACATTCATTTCTACTCTTGATTGTTCACTTTTTATACGAAAAATTATTTATAACTGGTACTATTTTGTATAATAATAACAAATTCAATCACCTATAGATATTTATATATTGAGTAAGTCTATGGTTTCGCCTTCGGTAATAAATTCTATAGTTCAGTTCATGAGTCAGTTAATGCTAGACAACCATGAAAAACCTAAAAGTACTGAATGACCATTCCGTCCTAGTTTGGGACTCCTGCTTAGCAGTGGGTATCCACGATCCTACTCGCAGGATTCGAACCCAATACCTGTCTGTCTCACCGGCGAACGCTTAACCTCTAAACTACTGAGCCATCATCATCCAACGATATCAATATCTAACTTCAACCAATCCACGAAATTGCGCCACCATCCAGTACTTCCAGGTTTTCCATGACAGTCTAGCATTAATTAACTCATGAACCCAACTATAAAATTACTAAAATCTCCACAAAATCACTCAATCTGATAATAAATTCTATTTCAATTAGTAAATTCATTAAAATTGAATTATTTGAATATTTTGATGTCACATACTTTGTTCAAATTATTCATTGAGTTTAGTAATTATAAGAACATTCGTAAAGGAACTGATTTACCATGGATTCATTACTTTTAAACACTAACAATAGATATACCTGTTTAAAATAAGCCATTCTTGATTAGACAATATGATATACTTTTTTTATATAACAATTTCAAGTTTTATTGTTAAATGATAAAAAACAAAAGAAATTTGCTGAAAAAGCTTGTAACTTAAGGCTACATTGAGGTAATTCGCATAGGATGCATATATGACAACAAGAGACTGATCAATTGTAGTACTAAATAAGAATAGGAAGATACAAGTAAAACAATATCAAGTGAATTTAAACTTTACCCCATTGTACAAACAAGTGACTATCAGGACTTAGTAGCTAAGTGGATAACGCGAACGGTACTGAGTTTGAATCCCAGAGTGAATATCAAAACTTTGAGATTCATATATATCCAGCTGACAAGATCCAAATAAGACGAAACGCACGTCCTGGATTTCATTGCTAGCCACTATCCTCATCTTTGCTTAAAAAAGCTTATGATTTATGGCTAATATCGAAGCAATCCACACAGGATACACATATACCAATAAGAGAGTACTCAACAATAGGAAGATACAAGTAAAACAACAATACCAGGTGAATTTATTACTAAACCATAAAGAATATTATTTATTTATTTTAACACATAGATATTGGTACAAGGAGGCACCAAATACATATTTCTCGACCGTTGTTGGTACCTTGACGTGGTGGTCGGGCTTGCCTATCGTGATAAAGCAACCGAGCTTTAGTGGCTGGAACAACTGTTCCTCAAGGTCCTACCATGTCAGACAGGTCGGTTGAAGAGCGGTAAGACTAAAAGCAACAAACCCAAGGTCCGAAGGCGAAGTCGTACTTCTCACTGTACAGAGGTGTGACAGCAGTAAAATGTTTCCTTCAGACAACCAGCATGACAGCGATGCTGCCTTCCCACAAGGAGGGGTGGGGTTAGAAAAGGTCGACCCTAAAAATGCACACCTCGCCTTATCCCACGGATATCTGTGTCCGACGGTAAGGTCTCAACAAGTACGGAGCTAACACAAAAATCACCCATAAAAAGGTCGTGTGTGACCGACCTCAAGCAGTTGTCCCTTGGGCACTACGGTCACGCTTTCAGGTCACTAAGACCACCTCTAATCCAATTTCCTTTTCAGGTACCTCCAGAAGAACCCTTCCACAGTGTGGGCAACCGGGAAGTGATAACCGCCCTCATACCTCTAACAGCACTCAAGGCTGAAATGCATATGCGCCACACAAATCTCATTTGATATGTGTGAGGGTTGTAATACTACCCGGATGCCTAAATTAAAGCACATGGTTTTCTTGGTGGGGCCACACTTAGAGCCTTCGACCCGAAGGTCTGATCCACAAGACAGTGGAGCATCGTAAGGAGATGCAGTCCCATGGTAGCTGGTGACTAACAATTTGTTCATATGCCATTTGTTCCCGCACGATACTGGAGCCCATGTAAACCATTGGTTTGGAATCCGGCTAAAGTGGTGGACATTCGCTTTTCGTCCTCTCAATTTTGTAAACATCACCCCCCGCCACGAGAAGGCAATGAGTAGGTCTTCCCTGGCATAGGTTGCTGCTGATATAGAATATTTATATAATGAACAAATCATTTACCTTAACAAGTAATATGAATGATTCACATCATTTATATCCAATAGATTATCCATGAAATCATTGTATACTTTACAATTATTTATATGAATGATTGAATCATTTATAATATAATGAATAGATTGAATTCTCATTCTCATTAAATTCATAAAACATTCTAATATTAAATCATATTCATTGAAATCCATTGAATTGATTTCTTTCATTGGAATCATTACATCATTTATTATGTAATCCATTAATATGATAATAATATTAGCATTATTATTCTCATTATTATTATTATTATTATTATTATTATTGTAATTATATAATAGATTCAATTGTAATTGTGATTGTAATTGAATCAATAATTGAGAGAAAAATTTTATTTTTAATCGAGAAAATTTTGAATTATTTATAAATTGGTAGAAAATTTGTTTTAATAAATTCAATTTTTGATTTTTAATTAAATTCATTAAAAATGTATAAATAATATCATAATAATAATTATTATTATTATTACTATTAGTATTATTATTACTATTATTATTATTATTATTATTATTAGTAGTAGTAGTAGTAGTAGGAGGAGGAGGAGGAGTACTGAAATGATTCGAAATGAATGGTGATATTATGTAATATAATTTAAACAATAGATTAAATATCCATTGAACATATTGATCATTTAATAAATATATAGAAGAAATTGATGTGATATGTATATACATAAATTTTAATAATAAACAATAAATAATTGGTAGATTATTACTAATAGTAGTAGTAGTAGTAGTAATGTCATTATTATTATTATTATTATTAACAAGTAATGTATTAATGTTTGTTCGTGATATAAGACAATCTAATAAAACAATAAAATAAGGAAATTCATTATTTACAATGAAATCATTGTTTGTTTGTTTATTATGATGTAATAATTGTTTATCTAAATGATGAAGTTGATGAAATAAACTCATATAACAATAATAATAATCATTATTATTATTATTATTATTATTATCATATTGTGTATCCATAGTACAATGACAATCATTTACATTAGATGAACAATCATTCATGTACAATCCATTTGTAAATGGTAAATTCATTAAAAATTTATTCATTTCATAATGCCATTGATTGTCAATATAGAAATATTGAGGATTGATATGAATAAGATAAGTAAGTGTATCAATTATGGTTATTTTGAAAGAAAAATATTGAATAGAATCTATGGAAATAAACCATTGAATTAAACATTTATTCAAATTTAATAATAAATTATTATGATTATTATTATTGATAATGAGAGGGAGATTTAAATGTTTACAATATTTTATACAATCATATATAATCGATAAATTTTCACAAATTATTACCACAGTTACTAAGTGGGAATTATCTCTAAAAAGAAAAAAAAAGAACAATCAATAAAAAAAGGAGAATTTTATTGATATTAGATATTTTGTAATTAAACAATTTAAAAATAAATAGAATTAAACGTTTATAAAAGATAACCAATGCATAATGATCTAATTGTGTTAATAGAGGAAAGTCGGTTACGTATAACGTAGGACCAGGCACATATATGCATTAGTCCAAGTTGCCATACCGCATTAACACAACAAGATGAACAACGAATGCATAGTAGTTACTCCAATGATAGTAATGTATAAAAGAAAGATTACATATAAGGATATAGTATAACAAGAAAAATTTACTTCGCAAAAAGATACGAAACGATTTTAATCTCTTAGTTTAAGGAAAGATAGAGAGTGTATACACCGACGCCATTGTGACCGACTCTAAGCCATGTCACCAAGAGCCTCCAACCATTGGTTAAGATAGTCACGCGGACCCCAACCAAATTGTCTGCATCTACCAACATGGCTCAGACTAGAAGTTCATGACTTCAAACAATGATGTCACGTTTTGGTTTATCCGCCCCTAACTTTATTTCAACCATCCCCAACACCGATTAGCATTGCACGTCGTGGTAATCGGTGTTCAGGCATACGTAACACGTGGCCCAACCATCTCAGTCGATAAAGTTTCACAACTTCATCAACTTATTTTTTATCATTCCCTAATACCTTGAGTCCAACCTCACTATTACTCACCCGGTGATCTCAGCAGATGCGAGCAATATTTCTAAGGTATCTGCGGTCAAATACTAGTAACTTACGAGTATTCTCTACCCTTATTGGTCATGTTTCACAGCCGTAAAGTAGAACAGAACGAACTGCCGTTCAGTATGCTCGTCCTTTTATTGATATACAGATATTTGGCCTCCGCCATAGGTGACGTAAGTTGGCAAACGCCAAACGAATGCTAGATGAGATTTCGTCATACACTAACCCATACCATACCACATTAGCATAGAGATACAATTGTCGATTCAAATCCCATAGTGGTATAGGTAGTAGAAGTATAAGCAGTAATTGGAAAGATTGGAAAATGAGTATTTAAATACCTTTAAGATAAAACTGTGGATGTTAATATGGAATGGTGTCACAGTGTATAAAGTACTCAGCCTGAAAAATTATTTTGTCTCATATACATCATAATTGTTTCGACTAAATTTTTAAAATACAAACCTGTGTAAGTGGTAAACTTTATAAAATATTGTTCTCATCAAATACTTTATTAAAAATCGATCGACGAAAATCACTAAAATTCAATTACGAAATCATTCCAAGTACATTACATCTCTCTTCATTACTTACTTAGTTACTTACTTACGCCTGTTACTCCTTGTGGAGGAGCATAGGCCGCCCAGGAGCACTCTCCATACAACCCGGTCTTGGGCAATCCTTTCCAGCTCTTTCCAGTTGTTATTCGTCCTTTCATATCTGCTTTTATTTCCCGATATAATGTGTTCTTTTCTGTCTTCATTACATCATATAATTTTGTTCTACTATTGCTTTCAATCGATTATATCATTACTTACGATTTCTAACTCTCTTGTAAATCAGTAATCTTATCTTAACTAACTGAGATTTGTTTACTTTATTCTTATTTATTATTAGAGTGTATTTATATTGAACAATCGCTTGTATCCAAGTCATTAGGGTTTTGTTACTACCGTATTGTTATCAAATGTTCTTCCATATTAAATACATATTTGTAATATACTTTACTTAATCTTATAAAACACAAATACATAAACATTTTTCCAGTTAAATTAGTCATTAATTCCTTTTGAATTCTTGTTCTCGTTCTCTTCAAGATATAGTAATATCACTACTAATATTAATACTAATAATACTGATGATGATAATAATAAGACCAAACATGAAGTTGGTTACTAGTTAGTGATAATACAGTCCGTTGTAAAAATACTTGATTACTGAAGCTAGAAAACTATTAGTCAAGTTTGAATCAACAGCTCTGTTATTGAAGGACAAATACTTTAACTACTAGGACATCGCTCCACACACACAAAACATTTACATGCTAAACTTTACAAAGAATCACTGGTAATTGGTATCGTTACAACCCCAGGTTAGAAAATATCACTTAATTTACTTACTTAGTCCTAATAAACTTTTCATAAATCGAAATAATGACATTTTCTAGTTCTGTTAAAATATTAATATTGAATGTTGCTAATATATCACTGTGTTGAATTGAATATTCTTCATTCATATGTATGATAAACTGGATCATATTGATATATTGACAAAGAATAGTCAATATATGAGGATATGTGCAAAATTGAGGAAGTTCAGTAGTCATATGCTTTGTTAAATAAATCCTCAACACATCTATATTTGAACAATTCGAATGCTTAGGAGACAGAACATGTTGATGAGGAATTGATATAGACTTTGAACAATCAAAAAGATGAAGATTATGTTCAGTAGGTGATATGTCATTTTCACTAAAAAAGATATGGAATAAATCATTCCGATGGGTTTTTATTTAAACATAATGGTTCAATATAAACTATGAAAAGTTTCTAAACATACCGCAATTTTATAACAAACATAATCACTATTAAATCAGGCAACTATCATTACACTGAATACAACACAAATATTTATTTTAAATTTTTATATCACAAACTTACTTTGGTTAGACAACCACTGAAAGTAGTGCACATCTGCTTTGTCCTAGCATAGCACTCCTTGGAAATGAGTAACCAAAAACCTACCACAGATTGAATTCGGGACATTCAGACCTCATAATAAGCTTCTAACCTTTAGACTATTGAATTGAATTACAAGTAAAAATCATTGGATACCATTAAGTGTCGACAAAATATTAAAATAACTTTCAAATTTTTACTTACCTGAGTAAATTAATGCGCCTTAAAGGTAACTAATTACTGAAAATTTAAGAAATAAGATTACGTCATCCGGAACCTGGAACGATGTTGTATGTTACTAATAACATGTGTATCTTAAGATTTAAACGCTTCGTTCTCACTAGATTACACTCTAAGTAACATTAGACGTAAAGCGCTGACTACTTCTCTAAGTTAGAGCAGGCATGAGTAAAGTTTAAACCATTTAGAGGAAAAAATAGAGCTAATCGTATAGCAGAGATACAAACACGGCCATGTCACATCTAATCTTGAATTAAAGGGAGGATAGCATTACGATAACGCGATTAATTTATATTGTATCAATAATGTACCAAACTACATAAGAATAATATAGAAATTCAGTACCTAACTCTAAATCTTAGGAATATTACAACCTATCATTCATAAAGCATAAATTTTTTCAAGGTAAACAAAGCAGGGCAGAAAAAAATCTATGCAGAAATAATCACTGGAAAGCATCCGTTGCTTGATACGTTTCGAGTGTTTGGCGGAAAACGAAACAAAAAACGATAGGCGTTGTGCAACTGATACTGAACATTTCAAACTCCTCTTTGTTCAAATATGAAAAATCATCTTATTTATCAGAAGGGGTTTTGTGGAGATTGTAGTAATTCCAATAGTTGAGATAATGAGTCAATTGAAGCTAGACCGAAATGGAAAACCGGGAAGCACTGGGCGGCCGTTTCGTCCTATTGTAAGACTTCTTAGCAGTGCGAATCCCCAACAACGCCTCTCGGGATCCGAACCCAGGACCTATCAGTCATGGAGTTCTAGTGAGCAGTGATCAGTGGAGTTCAACTGGGTCTGTTGTAAGATAGTAACTCACTGATGACAATGATGGATGTGTCGCTCAGTTTCGTGGATTGGTTGAAGTTCGACAGTAACACCGTTGGGTGCCGGTTAGCTCAGTGGTCAAGTGGTTTCGCGCTCATGCGCGAGATTGATAGGTCCTGGGTTCGAATCTCGCGAGATGAGATGGTGGATGCACATTGCTGAGGAGTCACACAATAAAACCAGTTGGCCGTCCAGTGGTTCCAGGTTTTCAATGGTGGTCTAGCTTCAATTGACTCATGGTCTCAACTATTAGAAGCATCTTATTCACATTTGAGAAATATATATGGATGGTAAACACAAAGAAAATATACTTACTGTTCAAAATCAGGAAAGAGATTATTGAAATCGACTCTTTCAATCGATTTTTTGAAATGTGATGAGGTAATATTTCTTTTGATTGCAGATTTATACTGGCACTTTCTAGTTTTTAAAGGAAATTGATCTATGGAATTTGCATCCGTAATAAAATCTGAATATGAGACATCATCTTGAAAAGAACTACCTTTCTCTTCAGATTTACAGATGGTTTTCAAATCTAAGGCGTCCTTATAGCACCTGCAATTATATTTCCTACTGAAATCACAGCCTGACGAGAAAATTCGACGTCTATGTGAATCTAGAACAAGATACAATTACTTTAAGTTACGTATTTTAAAAAGAATACGTTTGCTGGAAAGAAATTTGAACAACACAACTTTTAGGTGAGAATAGATGTGATGCACAATGAGCTGTTAGGGAATAATATTCCGTACGAGAATAATATTTTTGAAACCTGACACCAAAGTGCTAGTCAATTATAAATAAGAACATGGCAAACATGTGCACCATCCTCATCTTGCTATATTACGCTGTCAAAGAAACATAGAATTGTCAATGTCAGTATCAAATTAGACGAATTGTACCAAAGCATAGGTAATAAGTGACTTCTGGAGGGATAATCTCCCTTTAGTGGTCTAAATATGAAGGAAACGCTGAAAGTCCAAATTTCGTCTCACAGTTCAAGATACATTCCTTTTAGAGAAAATGAAATAAGTCAAAAAAGTTGGAATGGATGCATAAACAATAAATCTGAGTCTTGATAGCCACTTGCTTGTGCAATGGGGTGAAGTTTAATTCCCTTGATATTGCTTTACTTGAAGCTCAGTAGCTAAGTGGATAACGCGATCACGTTTGAAGCGAACGGTACTGAGTTCGAGTCCCACAGTGAACATCAACTCTGAGATGCAGGTACATCCAGATGACGAGTCCCAAATAGGACGAAACGCGCGTCCTGGATTCTACTGCTAGACACTATCCATCTTTACTTATAATGCTTGTAAATTAAGGCAATATCGAGGCGTACGCACAGTATGCACATATGCCAATAAGAGACTGATCAATTTCAGTCCTAAAACATCAATGGGAATATTCAAGTAAAACAATATCAAGTGAATCATAGATAGGGTTATATCAATAACCAACAGCCAGAAGTGATTAAAGTTTACGAAAAGGGAAGAAGAAATTCGGCTGTGTTTAGAGACGTTCAATATATACAAAGTGGTTAGTGTACTGAACTACTACTCTTCCAGTGGCTTTGAAAATCGCTGGCATATCACAAATCCGAAACATTTCATGCTTATTTGTAGAGAAGAAAGCTTTGAGAATTTATAAATTGTTGTTAAAAGCGCTCAGAAGAACCAGACTTTAGAGATTTCTATCGGACAAGATTGTGTGATTTCTACATTCTGAAGAACTGATTTCACTATGAAGTAGACGAAATACAAAGCTCGTGATAATACCCACTATGCTATAAGGTGCTGTCAGTATATGTTACTGTTGTATCAATATTATACGTATATCATTCTAAAATGAAGAAAACACTATTGCTGATCATTTGTGTCGACATTCGAAGGACCAGTTAGAAGTTTATATAAATAAATTGAAATCAAGCATGATTGACAATAAGACATAGCATATCATTAGGCATGATTTAACTGTCATTCCGTTTAGCATATTAAAAAGATATGTTCACAGCAAAACCAAAGACCATCCCCATGATGTATTTTATCGGTTATACAACCGATTTAATACAGTAACTTTAGGCACTTTTACCAACAATGTCTACAACGTTCCTAATGTTTTTGAAAAATAAAAGTGAAAAAACAATAGATAGTCATGATCTGTAGCCTATTTTTAGTATACGACATGTCGTAAACAACAAAATAGTTTTTATATTAAGTGAATTTACACATCCTTAAAGTCTCAGGATTTAAAGTTATATTTTACTTTATAATCTCAACACTAAACTAATGTGCAGAAACATGAATTTATTTGACTGGTGTGACGCATTGTTTCTTCGTCTAATTCTTTGATAACTTGTAATCAATAATAAAAAATTTCATCACGCAAACATATTTCATTAGTACAGCTTTTTGGCTTAGACGTGATTTTTAACCTACCACTGATAATTTCCTTGCATATAAGTTGCACAGTTGATGATAGTATGTGTAAGCTGCAAAGATAACATGATGGAGAGTAGTAGCCATCACACTGAGTATAATCTAAACAAAAAGCATCCACTTCCAAACACGAAAGTATGAAAATCATTTTGTATAATACAGTAAGATCAGGAAATCCCGAACTCGATTTTAAGCACTGAAAATTGAGCGAATGCTTATAGTTCACCAATTGAAATAATAGAAAGTCCCTGAAGCAGGTCACATATCTAAAAGAGAATAGTAAACTCTGACTATATTTACTTAAATGGAATTTCAAATGTCCCGAATCGGCGACTAATAAAATTGTATAATAAATTCACAAATTCTTCCAAATTATAATCAGACAACTAAAATACAAGTCTGATAAAAAATTCATTTGATATACGTATGAAGAACTTTTTAACTTCCAAAAACATTCCAAAACAGTATTCATGGTAATTTAGTAGGTTTAAACGCTACTACTAATAATAATAGACTAAAATTTTCATTTGAAGGTCACCATCTGTATATGTATATACCGCCTGGACTTCAGGGTCATATAAATTTCATATACTGCAAATAATCCTAAACAATATAGAAACACTTCGAGGGTTGTTTCCCACTTCGATTTGAGAAGAGTAGACAGAATGGAATTTGTGTGAGGATGACAAAAGGCTTACGGCTTCTGTTACTTTTTTCTAGCAAGCGTCTGAAAGCGTGTGGCCTCTCAAATCAGTCAATTTAAGGAGCGGACACCACTCCTTGGGTTCCAGTAAGTGTCACCAGGCCTTATCCAAAACATCAGGCACTTGGGTTACTGGATGTTCAACAACTCACCGATACCCGTCAATATCACGGACAACCAACGTGCAACTGTTAACTACACATCACGAATCGGCCAATGTATCAGTGGTCTCACTATGTTCCTTGTTCTTACTCATACTAAAATATTCCCTAATCTCATCCTTTGCGCTTTACGGTCATCAAAGCAACCGTAGTACCTGGATACGACAAAGAATAATTCACTTTAGGCACTAACCGCTGTTTGGCCTAGCTGGAGTGGGCCCCGATTCAACCGACAAGGATAATCTACGTTAGTGATCTGTAACAAGTTCTTGGTTTGAAAACCAATATGCCGCTGTTACTCTATTCTTTTACAGCTTTCGCAAATGCTTAGTATGTCCTCTGTTTTATCCTGATTCGGTAGGAAGAAAATAAGAGGATATATCAGGTTCAAAATCATTTCTTAGTACTCAATACATCAAAATCATAGATAAGACAGGGCAAAAAGATTTAGCTTCTCAAGCCGTTCTTTGTGTGCTGGAATTGCATCCTCTGTACCTTTTCCAAGATAATTGAGTCGTTTTTCAAATAAGGGCTCGCAGCCTGAACTCAATTCACAAGTTTAGATTTCATCAAAGTTGTACATACTATAGTGAAAAATTTAGTGCTTAACTTGGTAATTATCTGCCTTGGGGCTCATATGACTCTAAACCACTTAACTGCGACCTCACCACAGTGAGCAGCGATTTTAAGATCGTAGATCAATGTTACTCCTAGACCATTGAGAGACCGAACCTCCGGCACAGACTCCTTACCGTTGATGTACATATTTATCATTTTATGTGAATGCCGACACGCTTAGCCGAGTTGAGTGACATCAGCAATTTTTTAACCAACATGTAAAACCGCCTGAAATGAACGAGCATCTTAGTCTTCCATTGTTTCAAGACACATTTATTCCTCATTGAAAAATATTAGCACTGGGGTCGCGACCTTACTCGGCAGTTCATTTTCATATAGAATAGAAAGTAAATGACTGATAATAACAGCCAATTGTGTGGAAGTTTGTCAAAAGCTTTACTGAAGTTTTCGAAAACGCACCAAATTTCGCGTGGTATTATAAGTCTATGAAACATGAATAACTCTTTCTAAAGCCGTATCGGTTTTCAGAGATTGTCCGGTTTTCGGAAAGATGCTTGAATAACGCATTTCGGAGTTTTTTATTTAAACAGCCATTCTGGTCAGGTTTACAGACAGATAGTTCATAGGTTTGTGCTTCCTATATGTTTGAAAACATTATTTAAGACTTGTTAATTGAAACTAGATTACAGACAAAATAAAACACATAAAACTCACGATCACCCTGAGCAAAACCAAATCGACCATATCTGCATCAACAAAAAGCTCAGGAGGACGGTGGAAGACGTGAGAACCGACAAACTCAACAAATTCAAGATAGTCCTCAGCATTAGATTCCAGGCCTTTAACGATCTACTCAGTGGAGAGGGAACTACTGTAGAGGGTAACTAAAAAGGGTTAAAAATGGCAATCACCTCAACATGTTGTGAGGTTCTGGGCCACAAGAAGCACCATCACTAGGAATGGATCACTGTTGATACACTGGATAAGATTCAAGAAAGAAGGAACAAGAAGGTAGGAATCAATACCAATCGAACAATAGCAGAAAAAGCCAAGGCACAGGCTGGATACACAGAAGTAAACAAACAAGTGAAGAGGAGCATCAGAACCGACAAACGTAAATATGTGGAAGATTTAGCAACGGCGGCGGAAAAGGCTGCAAGAGAAGGAAACATGAGACAATTGTATGACACGACAAAGAAACTCTCTGGAAATCGCCGCAAACCAGAACGACCAGTGAAAAGCAAGGAAGGCGAGGTAATCACCAACATTGAAGAGCAACGAAACAGGTGGGTAGAACACTTCAAAGAACTCTTGAATCCACCAGCTCCACTGAATCCACTCAAGATCGAAGCAGCACCCACGGACCTCCCAATCAATGTTGGCCCACCAACAATTGAAGAAATCAGCATGGCCATCAGGCAAATCAAGAGTGGCAAAGCAGCGGGACCAGACAACATTCCAGCAGATGCACTAAAAGCAGACGTAGCAGTAAATGCAATGATACTCCACTCTTCAGCTACATTTTGGATAAAGAACAAGTAACAACAGATTGGAAAGAAGAACACCTGATCAAGATACCAAAGAAATGTGATATCAGCAGGTGTGATAACTACAGAAGCATCATGCTTCTCTTAATACCGGGAAAAGTCTTCAACAGAGTATTGTTAAACAGAATAAAGGACTCCGTACAAAGCCCACCTTCGAGACCAACAGGCAGGATTCCGTAAACATAGATCGTGTACAGACCAAATCGCAACTCTACGGATCATTGTGGAACAATCAATTGAATGGAATTCATCACTCTGCATCAACTTCATTGACTACGAAAAAGCATTTGAGAATGTGGACAGGACAACACTATGCAGGCTTCTTAGACACTACAGCGTAGTTGATAAGTTAGTCAACATCATACAGAATTCCTATGATGGATTAAAGTGCAAAATCGTGCATGGAGGACAATTGACAGACTCGTTCGATGTAAAGAACGGTGTCGATCAAGGTTACTTACTCTCACCCTTCCTCTTTCTCCTTGTGATCGAACGGATCATGAAGACGTCAACATCTGGGGGGATGAATGGGATACAGTGAACATCTAGGATGCATTTGGACGATCTAGACTTCTCAGACGATCGGGCTCTTCTATCTTACACGTACCAACAATTGTAGGAGAATACGACTAGTGTAGCAGCAGCAGGTATCAACATATGCTAAGGGAAAAGCAAGATTCTCCGATACAACACAGCATGCAACAATCGAATCACACTTGACGGAGAAGATTTGGAAGATGTAAAAGACTTTACATATCTGAGCAGGATCGACAAAGCAAAAGCAGCATATCTACAATCGGAGAATCTCTGGAACCCAAAACAATTGTCAACCAACACCAAGGTCAGAATTTGACTGAGGTATGAATCTATACTGCGTGTGTCAACACTAAAGTAACGAAATGAATCAAAGGAGGTATTTAATTACTTCTGAATATGTACATTACTTTTCGAAACCGTGGATAGAGGCATACTGTCACTAGAATAGGTCAATCTAATAAACTCTGAAATGCAGAGCTTGTCATCATCAATGGCGAAACGAACAGTAGTTCCTCTGACTGACTGGATGTGTTCAGTTTTACCGCATCAATCAAGTACGAAAGAATTATTAGTTCGTAAAGCACTACGCAAACCTTATAAACTTACGGAAGATCAAGAGGAAAAATATTTTGAGCTTCCAGATATTGATATTTGTTTCATCAGTCCCAAGTAACCGAAATTCTTTGCGTCTTAATCTTCTCTTACCGAGAGAAATGCAAGTCATAGTACAGAATTTCCCAAACTTCTTATTGTTGCTTAAAGAATAAGCGGTAATGTATTCATTGTGCAGAAATTTCAATATACTTTTGAAGCTGTTTTAAATAGAGATTATGGTTCTCTTATTCGATCTACTGAAGATGCTGAGTGTATAATATCTTGTACATTTGCTTTCCAGATGTTTGGCCTGACTTCGGTTGACACATTCTTATTGTTAAAAGAGATATGAAAACCAAAGACTAGGACTGCATGGTTACTTCAACCTAGTGGTAGCATTTAATAGAGGTTTGTGGCGTTATCCCCATAATGTGTCAATATAAGATCTAGTAAGGTTGATTAGGAGTCCAGATTGTACCTGGTTGCTTTACTCACACGTTGCACTAGAGCAAGTGTGATAATAGAGTCAACTAATTTCCGTTCCAAGGAATCTTCTGACATCTTATCGTACTAGCACTGGTCATTCTGTAAGTTAATAATATGTAGCGTGGGGTCGAGTTGGGATTAACTGTGAACACCGCTACCAAGAAACACGTGCCAAATGAATCAGAAGGCGAGGGTTGGACGTAACCAAATAGATCCATAAAATCCCCGAGAAGCCAAATATCAGAAGACAGTTAATGGACCAAGTCGAGGTTTATTAGCTGGCGATCTCGTGGCATCGAAAGGATACCGAGATCGTGCCAGGATACAACCTTGGTTACAGAAGGTAACCGAATTCGCGCGAAGTTACAATCAAAGTGTAAGTAAAAGAATGGAGGCACAAAATAGCTATAATTAGCACAGTCAAACAAAAGCACGTTAAAACAAACACTGGTACAGTTGGTTATAATAATAATTGTTTCTATTAAACCAGTCGTGTTCTCGTGATAAACGTGAGTCACTACAAATACATCAATCGCAATTCTGCAATACAAAAGGTTGAGAATTACCATAAAATGGAATCATGAAGATGTAGTACGGACACTCCCAATTTAACAAAGGCTTTCGATACTGCGTCACAGTGCTTACATATCAGAAAGCCAACCCAGAACCTATTTCTGACGTTTGCTGGTTCTCTACTTAAGTTTTTTTGGTAGAACTAAGTAAAAATTATTTGGTCGTAGTTCCTCATCGAATATACCTTTAGAACTCAAATGGCCACAGATACCCAGTGAGCATAAGAGCACATTATTGGTTAGACATTTCAAACTTGTTCTTAGGTGTAACTCATCGAGAAACCAAACGAAAGAAAATGGACACCCCTAGAGTTGCACACAGTATAGGTCCGAGTAACAGATATTTATCAGCTAGTCTCTGGTGAATTGGGAGTGTTAGAATTTCCGTCTTTGCTATACCCAGTAGGTTTCTAGTGGGACAGATTACCTAATACTGAATAAATGATAGTCGGGATAAACCCCACAGTAGTACAATAACCTAACAAGTTACAACTTCAGGACTGGTGTAGGCACTCAGGGTGATCAACATTCACTTAAAATATATTTACCTGAAATTTTGAAGATAAATTTTGCAAATATAATAGACACAAATATCTATTAGATCCTGGATCGCCAACTAATTGGGTGGGTAAGAAAGAAGCACATCTATATAAACCTGTTAATTTGTTACCACTGACTTAGTTAACAAGTAAACAAACGACTTCGTCTACTTATTATCGACTCGCACTATCAATTACAAATCTATGATTTCTTAATAATAATCGCTACCACATGACGACCGAAAGTACTATTCAGTTTTTCAACCGAAGTTTGCTAAAAACGAACCAAGAACTTCGATTGTAACAAATGGAAGATCAATGAAACACGTCGCCCAAGAAGCATTTCAAACATTTGGACAATTTGAAAAATAAAACTTTCTACCAAGTATGATTTGACTAAAAGGTAAAAATAAGCTTCAAATATGAATGAAATATAATGCTTTATATTCAGTGAATTAAATAAAGTCTCAAATTATTAAATAGGTATATGATAGGTAAAATGATACAATAATTACAATGATGAATACAATTCATTAAACATTAATACTTCAAATATTACATAACATTGTCTACTTCTTTCTAAGAAGAAATATCTACATTGAAGATTTACTTGAAATTACAAAAAAGAAAAAAATCCAAGGGACTCCATTTTATAAAATAAGGTTCAAGAAAAAAAGATGAACAAGTTGAATATTTTTACAAATGATATAGAATGGAATGAAACCATATTATTGTTGGTAGATGATAATAAAAACATCAACATTTATCACGGCATATAAGACATAACCTATACAATTTAATCATCATCATCATCATCATTGTCATCTCCAAGTAAACCGATTGGCCATTCTGCAACATTATAACGAGGTAATGAGCCTTCAAATAGACGATCTAACCAATTGGATAAACCATCTAATAATTCACTTTCAAATAATACTCCATCATTTATTTGATGCCTTGACTTTAAATGTGAATGATTGTTATTAATATTAGATTGATTGAAATCTTCTTCATCATCTGATTCTAAACCGAATGCACGACCAAATATATGTCTACGTCGTAAGCGTTTACCTTGTTTTTCAACTATTGATGATTTGTCCTCATCTGATTCCTACATATATATATACAGAGACAGAGAGAATTGAAATGAGATCAAGAAGATAAAGTCAAAAATAAAATATTTCCAAAACATACAGAAAACAATAATAATTGAGCATTTAGTGTTTTCTTTTTTTTTGTATGAGGACAAGTATCAACTAGTCAGTCAGTCAGTAACAACGTAGAATTTCGTACGTACGTACATCGGTTCGAATTGCCACACCACATTAACAAAGAGATGCAGTTGTCGATTCAAATCCCGTAGTGATAAAGGTAGTACAATCATAAGCAGTAATCGGAAACATTAGGTTTTGAAGATGTTATTCAAGAAGTATAATCAAGTGAAATAAATTTGGAAAGAGAAAAAAGAAAGGGACATGAAGAATTCAGAAGATTAAAATTTGGGAGAACACAAAGAGTGGATGCACCTGCGCAATTGCAAACGATTTTGAACCATGTCATTCAAGGTCTCTAATCATCGGTTGCTATCATCTCGTGGATCCCAACCAGGTAGTCTACACATACAAACATGGCTCAATCCACTTGTCAGTGACTTCATGGACTTGTGCCATATTATTATTATTATTATTATTATCAGCTTTATTCAATATTACATTTTTGATACAATATAGAATTCTCAGCGCAAAGTATTTCAACATGTTTCCGTTTCTGTTTTCTTAGTCGGTCCTGGCGATAAATATCGAGTGATCGCCAGTTAGATGTTAGCAGTTCAGTAAATGAACATCTGAGTTATGTACATTCTTTTCGTTGTATATTGCCAGCAACCATATTGTCTCTTATTGAGTTTTTTGTAACTTTGACAACGAAAGGTTGTACACTTTTATTGAAACGCAGCAGAATAAGTTATGCGATTAATCAGCATAATGATACATTAAAATAAACGAAAATAGATAACTTGTTGAAATATCTAGATGGCAGGAAAAGGTAGCCCAGATGCTTGGGCAGGCCGCCCTTTATATGTTTTGGTCTGGCCGCCCCTAGCTTTCTTACAACCTACTCCTACACCATAAAACATCACACGTCGAGGCAGTCAGTGGTTGAGCATACGTAACACGTGTCCCAGCCATCTCAACTGATGAATTTTCACCACTTCATCAATTGATTTACCATCCTTACCTAGTACCCGTTTCCTAACAACTGCATTACTTACTCGATGGTCCCAGGATATACGAACAATGTTTCGGAGACACCTATGATCAAATACTAGTCACCAACGAATATCCTCTACTTTTACTGGCCATGTTTCACTGCAATAAAGTAGGACGGAACGAACTACTGTACAGTAAACCCATCATTTGGTTGGTAAACGGGTATCTCGCATACGCCATGAATGACGCAAGTTGGAAAAAGCTAGTCAAGTACTCTGTATCTGTGCTGAGATTTCGTCACACATGATACTATAAGGGTTGGTTATTATTAAAAAAAGATGGATGATACATAAAATGATACTTAAAGTCTACAAAAAGAATTTATCACAAAAGTGGATAAAAAGAATACAGAATAACATAGATAACTGAGTTTTAGACGATAATGAAGGACGGAAGCATCCAAATTCAATCAATTAACCTATTACGACAAATTTAATGTGTAATTGTGTCATGTTTTAAATATAATAGTTGGCATGCTTGAAATGTAGAATATGCATTTATTTACGAAATGTCTCATTTTGATTAAAAATTCGACAAAATTCAATCTATGAAACTTATTAAGTTACAATTCAATAAACTTTAGGATGAAATACTCTTCCTAGAAGTGCAAACTTTTGCATTAGGACTGGTTTGAATCAACATATGACCTGATTATGGATTATGAAGTACATGAGCAACTTGATCACTTCACTTGAAAGTTTCATTAGTAATGGTGAGTCACTGGTTAACAAAACAATGATATGGATTCAGGAAGATTGCTTGGACTTTCTAAACATGCATCAGGTGTGGCATAAGTGTGATATCGATATGGATATCAAAGGGAAAGTATAATAAGCAGTAGTCTGCTCGATTTCTCTTTATAGCTATGGGATATCGCGTATGAAGTAAACAAGTATGGGTTGCTTGTTTGGTGATAGATGTTTTTGAAGAATCACCTTCGTAGAATAGAACGACTAGATGGTTAGTGATGTGGTTAAACGTAGGACCCCAGGTAGGGGTGGGAAATCGATTAACGATGTAGCACACCATTATCAATTAACGTGGTTTAAACACATCTCCAAATACCCTTTGTTTCAATGAACTATGCCGACTTGCATAAGAATAGCTAACAGCAGCTAAACAAAGACGTGGTATTATTACATGAAGTAATTGTTTGATGCACTAAGCATTGTCACTAGACGAAAATTATCTGTTTGGGATGCTTACACCAATCGTGATCACTGGTTGAAGACTATAAGTAGCATAGATTAGAATCGATCACGGTGGAGTAGATGTGTTCATTATTTTTTTTCTTCAATTTTCAGTTTTAAAGTTACTCTATCCTTCTTATTTTTCGAATACGTTCCTTATAGTGAAAGTATACATTAGGAATGAGAAAACGCGGTTTTTAGGTCTTTGCACGAAATTAAAATATCATGCATAATGAGCATCCGAAATACCATTTTATACTACTCAAAATTTTCAAAATAATGATGGAAAATTATTTTGTCACCACAGTAAAAAAAAGATAGTATTCATCACATCAAATGCCTAATTCCGTCTCTACAGATTGTATGTAACAAGTAATTTGACACTATCTCCAATTCTCTAACTTATACCATGAATTGTGAAACAAACCGTTACCTGATTGCATTACATTCTATGGATGAACTAATGAGATAGGGCTTCTTAACTTTTCAAGAGGAATTCATTCATCTGTATAACTAAATTAATACTCTGTAATACACAACTTAGAATAAGAAAACATCAAAATTTTAAATTATGTATCACTTACAGAATTTTCATCAGAACTACTTTGAGAACCTGGAATTAAAGGATGATAAAGATTGAAATAACGACGATAACCATTAACGGCGATAACTGTTCCAACACAGTTCACTGGATTAATAAATAAAATTCCACTATTATTATTATTATCATCAGTAGTATCATTCACATTCGTTTTCTTTTGCATAGTTTTATTAGAACGAATATGTATTGGTAAATTAGATCTGATAGATTCAAGTAATTTTGCAAGCCAACCCGAATATCGATCCATAGAAAGACAAGCACGTTGAATTTGACTTCCACTAATGAAAGAATAAAATTATTATTAAAAAAAATAATAAAACTAAAATAATAATTTCACTAATAATGAACACATGCTTTGATCGGATAGAAATTTATCATTAATTTGTAGTTGCATTTTAGTACACAAAGTTAGTGGTTCTTACAACCATTTTAGCACCGATTTAAACACCTTACAATACGCTAATATCCAGTGATCTAACCGGTTTGGTGAACACGGACGCCCCACCTGGGAGAAATTGGAAAACTCTGATTCAAAACTAATGGTGCACATGGGCTCCCGTATCTCTAGGGAACAAATGCTGTACGGACCAATCATTGGCCACTGGCTACCATGGGACTGCATCCCCTAACGTCGATCCACTGCCTTGTTGATCAGACCTTTATTAGATCGAAGGCTTCGGGTGTGGCCCCCTAAAAAAACCACCCGCTTCGGTCTGGGCACCCGCGCAGTAACACAGCCCACACACAAATCAAGTGACTTATGTGGCGCATATGTATTCGGTGCCCCATTGTACCCAGATTTATGTGTTCAGATAAAAATAAAAATAAGGCTTAACATATCAACTGAAATAAATAGTTAAATTGTGAATTATTTACAAGACCTGAAAGTATTACTCTGCTGATCAAAATAAGCCTAGACTAAATGAGTTGAAATAGTGCACTTCTATATCGGTTAAGGTTTAAATAAGACCAAGATGTGTGATATGTAAATTTCGAAAGTCATTTTAAAGTAAAGAAATAGCGAGAATTCTTTGGAAGGTATCGAGTTACAGTCAATATAAAGAAATAAATGATGTAAATACAATGTATGATTCCGCCTGGAGCCCTTCCGAAGCTATTGCTGGCCTCAAACCCGGATAAAGGAGGAGGGTTGGGCGTTAAAAAAACGCTAACCAGAAAGTAAGTAAATAGAATGTATAATAGGACAGGCGTAATATCGAGCTAACTGACATAATTGATAATAACATAAATTTAAAAAATTCACGCGAACTAAGAAAAAACAACTTGGAGCAAACTGAATAAGACAAAGTAGAGATAAACATAAAGGTTTATGACATGTGATTTATGCATTGGGTGACGCGATTGTGCATCACAGTAAACAGCATCTGAATATAACATTTCTGGTGCATAAGTCAGATTTGTTGTAGCGCGAGACTGAAGGCTCCGATTTCAAATCCCGAGGGCGGGATTGTGGATGCACACTGTTGAGGACGAAAAGGCCGTTCAATGCTTCCAGGTTTTCAATGGTGGCCTAACATTAGTCGGTTCAAGATACTGTGTGTGACAATAGTGTCAGTATATAAAAGCTATTGAAGTGTTTAAATAACGTCCATTCTGATATTAAATTCATCAGTGACGAGGAACATGAGAACAGTATAGCTTTACAGAACATCGTTTTTTTCAGAAAGATGGACGAATTAGTAAAAAGGAATCAATTTGGAAATAATACATTGACTGGTTAGTATATTCATTTCCACAGTTTTACACCTCTTCAGTACAAAATAAATCTGGTTAACCATCTTAACCACAAAACCAAACTATAATGTCCTGAGGTTAGTGTGTATGAGGAAATAAGTAAACTGAATACACTATGAAGTAACGGATATAGAAATAATTTTATTAAAATGTATTATCTGAACTAAAAACAAAACAATCAAACCTACCAAACTCGACGAGTTTTGAAGTCAAACTGATCACGTAATCGATTATCTTGAGTAGTTCCACGAACACATAATACTAGAAGCCTGAAACCTTTAGGGGCATCACGAACAAGACGGTCATATGTGGAAGGATTTAATGAAACAATAGGAGTAAGTGCAGATGACCTAGACATAAATACAAAATAATAAATATTTATGGTATTACTATTAGCTAAAACTTTAGACTTGATACTTACAACAGTTTTTAGTAATTTCTAACGACATTGTTGTCTTATTGTGGTGCGTGCTACTTATATTGATATAAGTAGTATATAACGTGAGTCAAAAGGACGTAATGGCTGGCAGCAGAAGATGGAGAAGATCAAGAAAAGAAGAGCGAGAAAACAATGGAATTTGTAAGAAATCGCATGAGCAATGAAATGCGAGACAATGGATTGATGTTTGCAACAGCAACAGCCCGGTTTGATATGATAGAATGATATTTTGCAAATTAACGATTTACTATATGGTTTTTCTAATTTACCAAGTAATTCTGTAATTTGTCCTAAATACAATTTGGCTGTCCTCACCTGTGTTCTTCTTCACTACATTTGGTGTCGCTGCCTCCACTGAGGATGAAGATCCCATGGCCGAAGGAGTTTGAGGACGGAGATGTGCTGAGCTTCCTGAAGGAGTTTGAGGCCGTGGCGGAGCTGGTGGGAGGGAAGGAGCCGAAGGCGAAGTTGGTGGTGCTGGGGACTCTGCCGAGAGGCAGGGCGAAGGCGGTGTATGACAGCCTGGACGGTGCTGGCGGAAAGACCACATGGGAGACAGTTACGGAGCGGTTGGCGGCGGAGTTTGACAGCCCAGTGGACAGAGAGGACGCGCTGCAGAAGTTCCGGTTGGCGAGGTTGCCGGTCGATGGGGACCCACTGGTGCTGGCTGTGGAGCTTACCAGATTGTTACGCCGTGCGCTGCCGAGTCTGGATGAGGAGTCGGAGGCACAGTTGTTGGCGTCACAGTTTATCGAGAGTGTGCCTGCCACCGTCTCCCAACAGCTGAAACTGGTGAACGCAGCGCAACCGATGGACATCAGTGAACTGGCGAAGGTGACTCGTCAGCCGATGACGCGAACAGTAGCTCCGGTCGGGTGCGGAAAGCAGATGAGTAATGTCGAGAAGAAGATTGAGGAGCTGGAGCGCGAGATTGCAGCAATACGAGTGAACAATAAAAGGAACGATAAATGTTACGCTTGTGGAGGGACAGGACATTGGAAGATAAACTGTCCAACAAGACGAAGACGTAGATATGTTAGACGTTACAACGAGTGTTCTTTCTATCCTAAGAATCTGGGGATTGTTGCGTTAGTAGACAGAGGGGCAGTATATACGAGAGTGAACATAAATGAGCGAGATTTAGTTTGTCTGATCGATACAGGTGCAGCAGTATCGTTAATAGGCAAAGAGCAATGTAAGAGAATCAAGCCGTGTACATTAGCTGTCCACACGATAGGGGGCCATATGTTAGAGGTGTTTGGTGTATCTAACAGTATCGTAAAAGTGGGGGATGCGGAGATAAATTTTCCGTTCGTCGTAACCACAAGCTTATCGAGACCGATATTAGGAGCAGATTTCCTAAGAGAAGTAAAAGCGATAGTTGACTTAAGAAGCGGTAAGGTGGTCACGAAATATGGTTCATTGACAATACACGAAAGTAGCGAAGTGGCTGAAATAAGAGTTGCAGCGGATGTCTCGTCAAAGAAACCAAACATTCACGAGTTATGCAAAAAGTATGCGAAACTATTCACTGGAGATGGGGAGCCGTATGGATTTTGTGACAGAGTAAAGCACGAAATACCGATAAAGAACAGTCGAGTAAATATATTTGCAACACGTCGTGTCCCGGTGCATTTAGAGGCCGAAGTAAATCGTCAGGTCCAGGAAATGTTAAAAGAAGGTATAATTGAGGAAGCGGACAGCCCATATAGCTCGCCGGTACTCTTGGTAAAGAAACCAAATGGAAAGTATAGATTTTGTGTCGACTTCAGAGAATTGAATAATATAACAGACCTGAAGCCTTGTGCAATGCCAACAGTGGTGGAAACATTAGATCGGCTACAGAATGCCACGGTGTTTACAGTGCTGGATTTACGGTCAGGTTATTGGCAACTGCCTATAAAAGAGAGTGATCGGAGCAAGACAGCGTTTACTGTACGGGATAAACAGTATCAATTTAAACGAATGCCGTTCGGGTTGGCGGGTGCACCGTTCACGTTCAGAAGATTAATGACACTACTGCTCAAGAATCTAGATAATGTCGAGGTATATGGCGACGACGTAGTTGTGTACAGTCAAACAGAAACAGATCACATCAAACATGTGGAAGCGGTCTTAAAGCGAATTGACGAATTTGGACTTCGGATTAATAAGGACAAGTCGCAGATAGCGAAAAGTAGCGTCACATTGTTGGGACATAAAGTGGGAAATGGAGAAATAAAACCATTGCCGGAGAAAATTCTTACCATAAAAAATATTGCAGTACCTAATTCGAAAAGGAAGTTGAGACAGTTCCTGGGAAGAGCGGCGTTCTACAGTCGGTTTGTCAAAAATTTCAACGAAATAGCAGCACCCTTATATAAGTTATTGAGCAGCACCAAGTTTACGTGGACTGAGACTGCCGAACAAACGTTCAACCGAATCAAAAACATGCTAGACGATCGCCAGATGACGCTTAGACTGCCCGAACCGGGAAGACTGTTTACAGTGGCCACAGACGCGAGTGATCATGGTATAGGTGCTGTGTTGAGTCAGGCTGATAGAGTGGTGGAATACGCGAGTCGCGTCCTCACACCTGCTGAACAGAAGTATTCAACCATCGAAAAGGAGTGTTTGGCGATCGTGTGGGCAGTGGAAAAATGGAGACCATACCTTTTAGGTAGACGATTTCACATTGAGACGGACCATAAACCCCTGCAGTGGTTGAAAACAGCAAGAGACCCCCGAGGGAAGTTGGCGCGATGGATGATACGCCTGCAAGAATACGATTTCAGTATCGGCCATGTTCCAGGAAAAGAAAACGTAATGGCAGATTACTTGTCAAGACCAGACATGGAAGCCGACCTGCCATTAACAGCATACGCGGTGAATAGTTTAGAGGGAGACCCATTAGAACTCGTCCGGCAGCAGAAAGCTGACCCTAACCTTCGAGAGGTAATCAGAGTGATAAAAGAGGGAGCAGACGTAGATAAACGAACAATGGACAAGGAGGTAATAACGCTGCCTCGGCAAAAGGATCGACTGAGAGTGAACTCATATGGAGTGCTGACCTGGCAGGACGATGATGAAAATTGGGTGGCGGTGATCCCGAAAGACTGGCGGCGTAAAGTGATACACGAGTGTCACCAGGTAGCACATACAGGCATCGCAAGAACGACGGACTTACTACGACAAAGTGCATACTGGCCGAACATGAGAGACGATGTGGCTGAATACGTGTTAACCTGCCAGCAGTGTCAGCTAATGAAAAGCGATCGATACACACAACCGCCATTACAGTCAATCCCAGTAACCGCAGTCGGTGATCTATGGTTGGTTGATGTGATGGGACCGTTTCCACAGACGGCGAGCGGTAACCAGTATCTGTTAGTGATGACGGAACATGCCACACGTTGGGTAGATGCCGTACCCATTGCAGACCAGCGGGCAAGGACAGTGACCGAGGTGGTAATCCGGCATATTGTAGCGTGTCACGGAATACCGAAGATGATATTAACTGACCAGGGTCCCTGTTTTGAAAGTGACGAGTTTAAAGCCCGTTTAAAGCAGTTTGGCATCAAGAGAATACGAACTACACCGTATCATCCTCAGACAAACGGGCTTACAGAGAGAAACAATCGGACGTTAAAGGAATGGTTAGCATCAAAAGGAGGAAATTGGGAGAAAGAGTTACCATTGATTTTGCTGGCACATCGTTCCTCAACACAAGGAACAACCAAGAAGTCACCTTTCTTGCTCATGTATGGCAGACAACCACGACTTCCAATGCATAATAAGACCTGGCCACAACAACAGAAGTGGACGACAACAAGGTTAAGAAAAGAGAGGAGAGAGGCAATAAGGAACGTGGAAAAGAAACAAATATCAGACACAAAGAAGGCAGAACAACAGAGGAGAACGTGGAAACCCTTAGCAGTGGGGGACCTAGTAAAGTGTAGAGAACGAAAAAGTAACATAGCAGGGGGAGCAGGGTCGGGGAAGCTGGCCCCAAAATGGGAAGGACCGTATGTAATCACGGAGAGACGCGGCTCGGTCTACACGATCCGGAGAGAAGACAAACAGAAGCGCGTAAATGCTAGTCAACTACAGAGATGGTTTCAAGATCATCATGGGTGTGAATCACGAAAAGCACCAAAGAACACAGCGGTACGGAGATCAGAAAGACTACGACAGCAACTTGTTAAAAGGGGGGACGAGTGTGGTGCGTGCTACTTATATTGATATAAGTAGTATATAACGTGAGTCAAAAGGACGTAATGGCTGGCAGCAGAAGATGGAGAAGATCAAGAAAAGAAGAGCGAGAAAACAATGGAATTTGTAAGAAATCGCATGAGCAATGAAATGCGAGACAATGGATTGATGTTTGCAACAGCAACAGCCCGGTTTGATATGATAGAATGATATTTTGCAAATTAACGATTTACTATATGGTTTTTCTAATTTACCAAGTAATTCTGTAATTTGTCCTAAATACAATTTGGCTGTCCTCACCTGTGTTCTTCTTCACTACATTATTACTCCAAAACATCAAAAGGTAATGTATTTAATGATCAAAAGATATCATCCCAATGACAGAAAATATGGGCTTTTAATCTACAACAAAATTTCGGCGCTCAGAATCAAACAAAAAAAGGAGGTTTTGAGGACATTCATAGCATTTGTAAGTTGCGATCTTGTATTTCTATAATAAAACCACACGAGTCATGGATTAAAACTACTCGATGAACTTTCAGTTATTGTGACCAAAATTTTAGGAAATAGGAAGTTCCGTGAATTAGTGAAGGAAAAGAAGACAATGGATGTCTACCTATACTTATGGGTCACTGCCCCCCTGAATGCCCTGGTACGGCCGAGAGTGGGGAGAGTCCGCTCTTCCTCTCGAAATACTCTCACACGGCCACGCGTATACAG